ATTTAAATGCCGCATCTATATCGTTACAGGTTTTTGTTTGCTCAATTGAATGGACACGGAAATGTTTTATAAGAGCTTGTGTTCGTGGGTAAATTTACAGGTTTTATGCGGGCTATAGTTTAACAAAACAATGGCGGAAAATTAGGAGCGGCAGCTAAACATCAATAAACATATAATAATTAGGCAAATTTATGGGTTACGAAAATTTGTATAATCCTATACAATAAATAAATTAGATCGTAAAGTTTCAAAATGCAAGAATATTTTTAGCAATTATGCACTTTTAAATGAAAAGGTTAGAAAATATATCAAACTCCATTAAATTCGTTCGTGTTCGTGTAAATTTTACTTGACTTTAAAAACTGTTCCATTTTTGCCTTCATTTAACTTAGTTATCTCTTAGTAAATTTCCACTTCCGTTTCCTGTTTCCATTGCCGGTGTGTTTTTAGCTGCTCTTTTTAGGTTGACTTTCTGTTAACTAAACTTATTAAAGTATGCTTGACATTCACTGACTCCGATTCAGAATCTCCGCTCTGTTTGTGTTTGCCTTGTTCATTGTCAGGTTGTGTCTCACCTATATAAAATAAAATATTTCGCAGCTTGTCGGGTTCAGATTCAAAATCAGCTTTAGCTTTGACTGCACAAACTAGACGACAAATTGTCGCAGGAACAAAACTTCGTTTGCCTTTCAACTCGGCAACCAAATCCTTGACAGGCTTTCCCTCATCCCTTCCTTTTATCCCCCTCCTTTTCCATTGCATTTGATTCAATTTGCGCAGAGCAAAAGTAAATCAACAAAAAAAATAAAAAAAAATGGAGAGGAAAATAGGGAAAATAGGAAATGTTCGTATTCCATAAATTTGCTGGCACTTCAATCTCTGGTGCCTCCTTCTCGCCTCTTCTCCTTCACTCTCTGTTGTTCTATGCTCTATTTATAAAATTTAACATTCCGTTCTTGGTTCCATAGGGTTCGTTTTTTTTTTATGTTTTATATATTCTTTTCTGTTGTCTGTGCCAAGTTTTTGCGGCTTCATTGTCAGTTCTTCCATGTCCCGCATCTTCTCCATTTCTTTCAACTGCCATTGCATTACGTTCCTCGTTTATTCCCCTCCTGGTTCCCTTGTGTTTTTAATAATGCATAATTTGTTTTATAACTAGGTTCGGCTTTCCCCCGCCTTAGTCCCCCTCCTTATTATGCCCATTTTATCTATGCTATATATTGTGCATACTATAGCATACTATACACGGCTGAAGAAAAAAAATATTTTAATCAAAGTGGAAACAAAGCATTCCATTGTTGAAAAGTTATTATAAAATGCTTTGCTTTGTGGGGGATCTTTTCTGAGTTTGGTTCATTTTCTAAAGTGCCTTGGGGGTGTGAAAAAAATAAATCTAGGTAAGTGGGGAACGCTTAATGCTGGACAACTATTGTCTAAGCGAGCTTGAATAATGCAGCTAAAGCCAAAAATTTAATATTGACAAAAGAATGACAGTTACGAAATGAGGATTTATATTATTTGGTCTGCTAGAAGTAAACTTTTAAAAAACCTTTTTCTACTTGCAAATTATCAATCTATTTTAAATTTTTCCCAGAATTTTGTATTAAAACTTTGCTGTGAAAATGTGACCTCAGGCTGGTAAAACAAGTTATTACCAAATTATGGTTTGCCTTTATGAAGGCCTTTCGTGATATTAGAGACCCCTTTTCCCCTCAAGGGCACACTTAAAATGTCATTACCCTGCCTGGCAATTTGGTTTCCACCTACAGTTTGGTTAGGGTTTTCCTTTTTGTCTCTTTTTTTTCTGTTGTTATTTTGGGTACAGGAAAACTCTCATAAAAAACCCCGAAGTGAGACATAATAATAAAGCAACAAAAGACAATTCAGCTCGTAAAAATACAAAATAAATGTTATAAATGTAGCCATAAAAATTACAGCAACAACAAAGGTGAGGTCACACACCCCTCAAGTGTTTTTTTTTCTCATTCAATCTTTGGCAGTGTAAAATATTTTTAACTGATTGATACGCGGGTGGGGGTTGGAGGTCATACAAGTGGGCCTGAATGGTTGAGTGTATGTGTGTGAGTGTATATATTGCGTAACAAAAACAACAGGACACACTTGTGAAAGGACATTAAGGGGAAGAGAAGAGGGGGGACAGATGGTGGGAGACACTGACGAGTGACGCCGAAAAAGAGGCAAACACTCACACGCAGACAGACGCGAGTGAAAACAAATGGGAAAAAATATGTTACAAAGTGTCGCACATGACACACACTGACTCGCACCCAGTCACGCAAACACTCGCGTCCATTTGCACAGAGCACTTTTAAATAAAAAAGAAGAGCTTCAAAAAAATCATAATAAAAGATGCATTTGATTATAACTTTTTATATATATTAAGAAGCAAATATTTAAAACAGTCTTTAATCTTTTTTTACACGTACAAATAATATATTAGTTTTCATTGACAGAAAACATGACATTTTTATTGACCTGAAAGAGTTTTCAAAAGAATAAAATATGCTCACATTTATTAAACAAAGCGATGCATGTATTAACATAAAATAAATCAAACCTTGTTCATTAATTCTCTCATGATTTATAATTTACTTTGATTTCACTATAAATTATTTTCTGTGTACTGACTCGGCTGCACACCTACAGGAGCATGCCACTTGCTCGCCTCGTCATGTCGTGGCAGCAACTTTTACATTGTTTGGCTTCGAGCGTTGTGCCATTTTTACTTTGGCTTTTATGGAGAAAAAGGGGGCTGCTGAAATCGGGGTAAAAAGGGGGATGGGGAGACTAGAGGGGGTTTTTGGGAAGGTAACGCTTTTGTGTCATTCTCGTCGACGCATTCGTGTCAAATTTATTTCTCCTCCTTTTTTTTTGCTTTGTATTTTAGTGTAATTTTGTTGATTACAACGTTGTTGCCTTTCTCCTTCCCCTTTTCGACCCTCAGCAAGTGTTTGTGTTTGTGTGTGTGTGTCTGTGTGTGAGTATGACATCGTTGAGTGTGTAATTTATTTGGAGTGATCCTAAATTATACATGCATGTGCGTGGCGTAACTGCCGAAGATATGGCCAGAGATATGCTTAAATTGTATTCAAATTTTGGGTTTACATTTCGTGCCATCTTGACCTGGTTTATTAAGTTGAAATTCGTGCAATTTAATTTTAGTTGGTAAGAAAATATTAAAACTATTATATATTGAAATGAATACATATACATATATAAATAAAACTAGTGTATTATATTATTTATCTTTGATTTCACATCACAAAACAACTAAAAGGAGGCAAGCCCAGAAAAGTATGCTACACTTTCGCTCGCCTTTCACCTTCATTACGTTGTCCTTTTTATCTTCGCCGTTTTCTTGCCCCCTGGCTAACGATTTTACGGCTACATTATTACTTTTTATGGCGGCACAAGGGAAAGCCATGTTTCGAGCTTGTTAATATAAAAATTGTGGTGGGACCACCGAATTCTGGCACCACCCGCGGCCAGACTCAACGCCAAAATGTCTAATGAAATCTAATAAATTAAAGAGATTTATACAAAAGCCGTTTGCCCGTGGCTGTGCTGCCTTATTTTCGGCTCAACCAGACATTCCCCCCATACAAACTTATCCGCTTTCCTTTCCGCCAGCAGCTTAATTTCGTGGATGGCATAACTTACATTATATTTAGGCTGGACGGAGTAAAATTATTGGCTTTTCACCAGAGTGTAAATTCTTTGAATAACAGCAAGTGCGAAGTGAAAAGTTTTCCCCTTTCCCGCCACTTGTGACACTCTATTGTCTTTTGTTGTAAATGACGTCAAGGACGTCAAGGACGTCAAGCAGATAAAAGATATCGGATAAGAAGTTAAACTTGTTTCCGAACAATCACAACTTTAATCTTAAATCAGAGTCAAAGCTTGAATAGAATGCTTCATTTTAGAACCCCACTAAATTCAATTAAGTGAGTTTATATATCCAGTTTTTACTTTCTCTCTATCCTTGTGTGCATAAAAGTTTAATTGATTTTCAATATTTATGTGTCAATAGGAAGAAAATGAAACAAACAGCAATAGATGGCGAAAAACGAAAGCGAAAAGTGGCCATACATTGGAATAGCTAAACTGTGCCATAGTCAGTTCAGAAATTTAATCAACCTTTCTATGACAATCCTGGCGAGTATTTGGAGGTAGGTCCCGGGAGCCACTTTCCTATAAATCTTGTGCCGCTTTAGGAGGTGCAAAATTGTATACATAAAATACTTCTACGTACTCGCATTCGTTGAGGTAATGTTTTAAAAATGATTTATGGATCCGCATCCCCCATTTCGCAAGGAAGAAAGGCGAAAACAGACCGGAAGGAAGGAAGGGCATGTGTGAGGATCGGAGGGGAGTTTGGGGGGAGGAGCTCCAGGACCTGGCACCTCAAGTGCTCGGCCAGCCATGCAATTACATATATCAGAGAAGAACGGAGAGCTCGGAACTTCACTGCGGGGTGGCCCGGAAAATAAGGAAGCTTCCCTTGTTATTTTTGTGCATGTTACAGCAAGGGCGAATGCATAAATTATTTAAAATTACCCGGCAGCAGCCGAAGACTCTTCAGTTCCCGTGGAGCAAGCTCAGCCTTGTAAAGTGCGTGTTATATTGAACAAATAATATTTGGAGTGCAATAAATAGATGATAAATGTCTTACAGCCGACCCCGCTTTTCCTTGGGAAAGTTAATCAAAGCGGGTGAGAAATGGCCATCTCTTGTCTGCGGAACTGAATAGTTAGAAAGGTTGAGTGTCTTGCAAAGGTTCAACTTTTGTGAAACGTTTTATAAACAAAGGGCTTGCGAGTTCATTAATCATAAAAGGGACATGACACAGTGAGCTTTGCTTCTTCATCTTAAGACAAGAAGTTAATGAATTGATACGGTTTCAAACATGTATAAAAACTTTAAACACACACACACAGTTTTAACTAGCTTTTTTTAATAATGTTTTTCATTTATTGCCTTCAATGTTTGTGTTTTACTCTCACTTCTGATCCAATAAAGATTTCCTTTTCGGTGACCAAGGCTGACCTTTTCCACATGTAGTGCAAATGTAAAAGACTGCAGAAGGCAAAGGACACCCTAAACAGCAGTTGTCTGTTGGGCGTTACCAATCCAAGAATTAGTAACTTTCTTTGAAACCAAGAGCGTCTTACACTCTGGCCAAAACTGTCGATGTCCTGGATGCTCCATCGAAATCCTTTCCTTTCCAACCATCCATAATTGGCCAAAATCTCCTCGAACTGAAGTAACTTGGCCACATGCATCCAGGAAGTGTCCTGCGGAGCACCTGTGATCTTCACCAGCTCATCGAGGTTATGCAAAAGCGATCGCAGGCCATTGAAGTACACTCCAAACTGGAACATGCGTCGCCATTCGCCACTTGAGAAGGTGTAAATGGCACTCAGATGGTAGAGAACAATTAAGATTAACTGAGGACTCAAACAGGCGATCAACTGCTGAGTAAATTTGACATAAGATCCATGCAATCGTTGCAGGGAAATGAGACGTTTCTGTAATTTCCTCACCGCTATGAAGTCCGATCGTAGGATTTTCATGCAGAGCTTTTCATCCACGAGGACCATTTCCTGATTCACCAACTCAAAGGATTTTCGTAGCAGGATAAGCAAGATACCAATTAAATGTGAGGTTACATCCATTATCCAAATGGCAGAAGAAATTGGCACCACGAATAAAAATATGAAGAGCATTTTAAAGCTGGATTCCCTGGGCACCAGAAATCCCTCGTAAAACATCCGAAAGGTGAGCAGCTTGACCAGAAACTGGAAAATCAGTGACCAGGACAACTTCAACTTCCTCCTGCAAAGGCGATGGAGTTGCGGCGAAAGTGCAATGATCCTATTCACCAGTCGCGTTCGCTCCTCGACGACTCCTCTTGACTGGATTAACAGGCAGCACGTGAAACCCACCAGCTGGAGGTGGAGCATCAGGGTGTAGGGATGCAGGAGGGCCAAGGTGAAGAAGAAGGCGAACCAGAGGCCAATCATCCTTGACACCGTGACACTGTAGTGGGTCAAATGCAACGCGTTTCGGGATTCGTCGTAACGGAGCCGCATCAATCCGAGGTAATAAAACTGCGCCAGGTAAAAGCGCAGCAGGAGGAACACGTGCTGGCTGATGTAACGGTTGCTCAGGTGAAGTGAGCGCCACAGGGCCATCGATGAAATGGATACCTCGACTGACATTCCCCACAAGTCTCCAACTCTTACCTGCAATGATGGCCGTCGTTATTTTGATAATGTTCCAATAATGTGGATTTTATGTTTACCAATTAGGGACGGTCAGTGGTGAAAAAGAACAATATATAGAACCAGTTTAGTAGCTATGAATAAGCTCTGTAAAATATATTTTATTATTTTAATAAATTTTTTCTGAGGCTGGTTTAATCCCTTTTTAATTTTGTATATAGAAAAAAACAAAAATTACATATGCATTTTATTTCATTATAAAAACACATTTTTTTCATTGTTTGATTATTTTGTCATGTTGTTAAACTAATCAATTTATGTCAAACAAATTAATATTTGCAGCTAATTTAATAATGAAATGTATAATCAATTAGATTTTAAGCACTACAACCAGTTACAAACTATAAACAAAAACGAAATACTTTCATAACAATGATTGTCAAAGTAATGAATAACCAATTAAAAAGGAATTATGTGGTTTTCATATTTGTTTTCTTTAACTTTAATAATGACCTTTTCCTATGAATGCCATACTGCACAACTTTTTAAAAAAGGCCAAGGCGAGCAGCCATGTACATTAACCAGAAAACAAGACCCTGTTCAAAGGCTCCATGGCCAAGCACATTTTAGTTAGATGTACTCCGGCATTCTTGCACTTCATCAACACAATTTGTTATGCAATTAATTTGAGTGGCAAAAAGTGAGGAACTTTGTTTGAAGGCGCCAAATGGCGAACGGCTGATGCAGAGTGCTGATGGCGAGTGCTGAATATGAAGTCTGGTAAACAAGTTTTGCATAATTTCCATAAAATATTTCATAAACAACTTGAAAAATGGGAAAAAGGCTAGGCTAGGAGCAAAAAAGCAAGGGAAGGAGTCCGAAAAAGAAAAGCAAGCCAGACTCGCAGCGGTAATTAAAAAGTTCACAAAAGAGTCGGGCATCGGGGACTTTGGAAAATTGCTACCAAGAAGAATCCCTCCGATGACAAGGCACAAAACTTGCCGATTGAATGCGAAATGTGAACCCGGGACAATGCCGGACTCCGTCCCACTGCCAATCCAAATAAATTAAAAAGGGAACTGCAACTCGTTGCCAAGTTTGTCACCGCAGAAAAATAATACGAAAAAAAATGTCCTGATGTATATAGAAGTATATGTGCAGGGATAGATATTAAAATATGTAGATGGGGAAAAAAACAGCGCACTGAAGGCTTGGCAGGAACCGCAAACTGTGGTTACTGTGGCGACTCTGGTCAGTGGTTGATACTTTTCCACTTTTGTTGTTATTTTTGCGGTGGTTGTCCTGCCAGCACTGCATCCTGGCATCCTTACATTCTTGCATCGTGGCATCCTTGCAGTGCCACTGCTCATTATTGTCGCCGATGACCAGGCATCGGAAATTGGAAAACTTTCCTGACTTCTTGACAGCCCGCACTTTCCATTTATCTGTTCATAAATATGCAAAGTTGTCAACAAATGCCGATGACACAGGGTCAAGGCAAGAAGAAGCTTTATGGGACAGTAACGGGAATTTATTTTAAAGCCTTTTGTAAACATTAAACGGAAATTTCGAGTGTAAGCCATAGATTTGATGGCTGTTAAATATTTACTACGGCTCATATTATTCGGCAACAGGGAAGTAAACAGCTGACAGTGGCCAAGAACTCTCATTCAAGCTCTCTCCTGGCCATTTTTGCTCTTTTTGGGCCAAGTTACCCCTCTTTATAACCGCTTTCTCTTTGGGACATCAGGGGTAGTTCGAAGCGGTTTGGATTTATCTTAGCGGTTTAAAAGCGGGGAATTGTGCGATGTTTCTTGGCATGAAGCAAATAGCTGAGAACTAATGATGGATACATCTGGTATCTAACTACTGTCCGCAATATCCCTTCGCAACCAATCCACCAGTGAATCCCTGGCGCACTCTGCCTCCGCATCCAAGCAGAACAACTTGCAAATGTCCTCCAGCCAATTGCCAATGATATAGCGCTTAATGCAAGGCATAACTCCCAGTTCGCGGAATACTTTCAGGCAATAGAGTTGCAGGCGAGGATTGTCCAGCGTGGATTCCATTAAACGGCCCACATAACATGGCAGTTCTGTGAATTCCCTACTGCGCCATAGGGCCTTTTTACTATGAAGTCCGTTGAGTAAAGCCAAAACTGTGTATTCCCAGTTTTCAACCTTCTGGCGAGGCAGCAATAACCTCTGATTTTCATTTGGCTGAACAAGGACATTGAAAAGGAGCTTTACGCCATCCACTGCATCGAACCGCCGTTGACCTTCTCCACAGCGGAGCAACAAAGCGAATGCCTTGGTGGCCATATCCCAAAAATTAGGCAAGCGATTCAGGATCCTCGAGTGCAGCAGCTCGAAGAAACCCAATTCGATTCCCTGCTCTGGAGCCACTTCTATCAAATGGCATAGATGATGCCACAAATGCAGAGAATAATGTGGACGACAGGGATCCTGTTTGAATATGTCAGCCAAGGCGGAAAAGTTTTCAGGATCCTCCAGAAAAATTCCCAATACTAAGGAAAATAGAACGGGATAAAAACGATATTAGATATGTACATATAAAATATAAAGAATTGTAATTACCCTAAGGGTGAAAAATATTTCAAGCAAACATGACATTTTTAGTTTTAAAATGTGTTAATCAAATAGAATTCAGATTTCCTTGTTACGATTAAAAAAAACTCACCTTTGGGTTTTCCCGTCAAATTTCGCAGAATCTCCGAAGCCAGATCATCCTTAATGACTTCCTGATTTTTAATAATTTTGTAGAACTCAGCTCTCAAACACTTGCGATTAGCTATATTCTCCGCTCCATCCAAATTACGAGAGAGAATATCTGTGATAACGAAGAATTATAATTTTAATTGCCTGACGAGAACGTAAAATTAGCATTTTACTATAAATCCTTAGGTACATTTCCACCTCTCGGTGTTCCTCTTGGTGAAGCTTTAATCGCATTCGCATAAACGCATTTTTTAACCTGTGGGGTTAAAAGGAATTAAATAGATTTGAAAAATGTCCGAAATGTACACTTACTTTCTTACAAGGTCCATTTCAATAATTGCTCTCTGAGCATTTAAAGGATTTAAAAGGAACTCGGTCAACGAAACAACAGCCTTCCAGTGGGTCAAAGGAAAATCACTGTCCAACTCCTTCATCAGTTTGGGAAGTGCAAACCAGCCATAAGCCAATTGAGCTCGATCTTCAAAATGGGTTGATGATGAAGTGCAGTACGAGATGCACTTGCACATATCACGTTTCCCCATTGCTTCTGCCCATTCTAAAGGACATTTTGTTAGCATAATCCTTACCCAAGTAATTCTTTTTTTTACCTTTGTTCTGCTGCCTGTTTAACGAGCTGGGCTTTAGCACATCTTTGATCTCCTTTTGCAAAAAATGATTGCGATATCTCTCCAGCTGTTCCCACATTTTGAATAAACTTCTTCGAATCAGGGAGATATTTAAGAAATATATAATAATAAAGTGTCAAATGACTGAAAAATATTTGTATTTGTGCTGGAGAAGCATATAATCTCAAATTTGTCTGTTTATCAAGGCTAAGTTTTTCTAATATAAATAGTGTATTCCGTTGAAACAAACCAATTAAAAAAAAATTGAAATTAAACATTTCGAAATTAAAGACATATTTTATAAATAACAGAGTTTTTCAAATTTAAAAATTCTGCTCCCTAAGTTCAAATGTTCTTGGAATATTACGGGAGTCGGCTAGTTCGGGTAGATGTCTCGGCTATGTATTACCCACCATGCATAGCCGAGACACTCACTAGGCGAGATTGGTGTACTTGCTGCATTATCGATAATGCATTTTATCGATAGCCACTATCAAACATCGATGTTTCCAAAAATTTTTAAAACCTGTTTCCATCGATGTTTCTCCTCTAGACTTAAGGCCGGTGCATTTGCGAACGGGAACGAGTTAAAACTGAACTGTAGCGCGGTACGATGTAAATAATACTATATACAAAAAGCTGCCAGGCCGCCAATGCAAACAATAATAGTGCAACTTTATTGACCGGTTGTGCGACGTTATTGCAACCGCAACAATTTAACCCCAAATGCAATTGGTCATAGGTTGTCCAAAGTTCTACAAGGGAATCAAAAGAAGATACCGACAGTGTGCGTGGGAAAATGTAAACAAAAGTTAAATAAATAGCAAAAAAAGCAAAATATCGAAAAAGCGCAGTGTTGTTGTGTTGTGCCGGCTGAAATAACTGTTTGTGTCGGTGTGTGCATCTTGCGCTTGTGTGTGTGGGAAGCAGACAACAAAAGAAATTGCGCTGGCCCTTCTTCCTCGTCGTCCACCCTCTTCGCCTAGTTACCGTTACTTGCTGCACTGCCAAAAAAGCAACAAAACAAAAACAAACTAAAAATAAACGAATTTCGAATAGCATAAATTTACAAGGGCTCTGCCAAAAGGAAAGTCAATTATATAGCCACAGCATCGAACAAAAAGATGGCCTTGATAAGACTGGCAAGGTGAGTTATTGATATTATAACCGAGAACCCATCGGAATTTCCCCATTAAATGTTTTTGGTCCACCCTTATACCTTACTCTTTGCCTTACCACTTAACATTCTATAATTAAGTTGCCCAGAGGCGGAGTCTAGAAATCAGAAAAGGGGGTTTCGTAAACTAGAGCTTGGGCTAAATGAAATTGATTTTTCTAGGGCCCCGTCATCCTGAAAGGCTGACCTGAACTGACCCCATTTTTCATTTTCCACCGCAAAAAAGTTGAGGCCTGGAAAATCCGGCCCTGGCCTTTTTGTTGCCTCTTGGTCAACAGCAAACAGCTTGAGGCCATGTAATAACTTTAAAGCAAATGTTTATTTTCCATCGCCGAGTTGTTGATATTGATGTTGGTCAATGCACTTTAACGCCCCTGAAACGCACTTCAGATATCGCGACAGTACTCAACCATGTTGGGAAATCATTGATAATTGTAATAGCTATACATATAAATGACAGAACAAGAATGTCAAGAGAGATTAAAGTTTTAATAATAATCATTCTTTTAAAAATAAATTAAGAAAAAACGAAAATATACAACTATACGCCGGAGGGACTTGAAATGTTTATAATTACCACTAAACTTTTAAAATAATCCTCCTTGCTCTATATTCCCAACATTTAAAAAAAAAAAAACACAAAAACTGACAGAATTTCAATAAATATCTTTCATGATATTCAGGGACCTATGTAAGTTGTTATAGTTTTAAGATACCGATCTTATAACCAATATAAACCTGAATAAAAAATTGTACTTGAGAAAACAGAAATAAAACTAGCATAAAATTCCACTGAACTGAATAATAATAAACAAGGTGCAATTAAACCTCAAACTAATCTAATTTATTTAACTTAAATATGAAGATTACTGCAAGTCGGACTCCCTATTGTTAAACAATGCTTTCTACCGTATTAATTTCCTTTGTGGCCTTTCCCAACATTTACAACGACTAAAACAATAAACACTTGGGAATTGAATTTCTAACGTCTGCCAGCGACGGCGTAATTATCCATTCATCAGTAACTCCGATTCGGTTTATATTTATGCTGTTAACTTTGTTTACGTTGTTTACGCTGGCAAAGTAAACAATCACACATGATTAAATTAATCAAGCGGCGCACAGAGGCGTTAAATGTGCGATCAGTTGATTGATGGCCCGCTGACTGATTGGCCGCGTGTTTGGGAATCAGAATTGGGACTATCCTATATACTACATATAGAGTCTCATGCACTTGCCAAAGGCTGAGTGTCGTGGCAATTTAGATTACAGCATGGATTAATAATGGCAAATGCTTGAATGCTCGTGTTGGAGCTGGTTCAGAGCGGTTTGCTCTGCCATTGGTTTCGTTTGTGCAGTATATTGAACATATATAAATACATACCTATAAATCTGCACTCTAAATCACTTACCATTGTTGGAAGAGAGTTTCGCCTGACTCATTCGGTGTCCACTCCAATTAAGGGTCCGAAAATAACTTTACAGCCTTTCAGCAATGGAGATTACAGTTCCTAGGATGGACTTCAGATCCAGTAATTGAGTGTAATTGGAACTGAGCACGGGGCTTCTCGCTCTGCACTCCCCACTCCCAAGATTTCTCTAGCCAGATGACGGATGAAGCTGTAGAAGTGCAGCAGATTGCATCCACAAGGAATGTGTCTGTATCTCGGCCCGATGGCCCCAATATGTCCTCGCCCGACCTGCTAGTTCAATTTGCACATAGCACATACATATGTGAAACATTCACATATAGTATGCACAAATACCGCATATATGTATGTGTGTACATACATATGTGGCAATGGATGTGCAATGGAAACTTTTGTGGGCCACAATGAAAATGTAATAAAAGTAAAACGGGAGGCTGCATTGATAAAGCGTGTAATCTATATGACGACATGGTCTCGAGTTACTATGTAAACACCACCAAGCACACCCACTGTATTTACATGCTATGCACACGTATGCGGGTAATCTCCGGCTGCTGGAAGACCTTATTGTTATACGACTCGTGCTGGCGACTCTTTAATTTAATTATGACTATTTCATTAATTGAAATGCGTAGTATTCTATAAATGGAAACGTTGTCGCAACAACAATAACGACGATCAGGGGCATGAAATAAAAGCTTCCAATCAAGATTTGTGCTTTTTACTTTTGCTAACCATAAATCCAAATAACCGGCAACGAAGTCAGTTCGATTTGTCAGGCCACCTCAGAAAAGTCGCATTTTGTCTTTGAACCGATCCTTTGTCTTGGCCAAAATGCACCTCATCGATCAATGGGAGGTCTTGGCCATCCACTCGTGAGTAAAGTTTAGTGTTCCCATTAGCGGTTTTGCAAAATCGAGTGCAGAATTGCGCAATTTTATTACTTGTCACAGTTGGCTCAAATTCTAGTTTTCATTCCCCCACAAACCTGTTTGGAAAATCCAAGCCTCCTTCCCCCGATGATTACATTGTATTATTATAAAATACTTTAAAATGCAGAGCAAACTAGAACTGACACATAAATTAGAGGTTTCGTTGGAAAGTTGTATAATAAATATATCCGAGAACAGATCCTTGAGATATTTAAATTATAATTTTCGTGTGTGATTTATTATCTATAAAAAATAATGAACATTGTTGGCATCTTATACCCCGGACTGTTTCAGGCAATAATCCAAAACCACCAACCACTTAAATACTCATATATCAAAATTCCAAATTGTTGATAATGACACACGGTTATTAAGTACAGAAATTATTTTTAATTTCGTCACCATAATGGCTAAAAACGAATCCGCCTTGCTGTCAGTTAATGATAGTCGTAAAAAAGGCTGTGAGAACTTTCTCAATTGGCAGCATGCCGAAACAGTAGAAACCCGTTTGCATGGAGCAGAAATCAAATAAATTTATTATTATTGCTCAGTTTATAGATTATTATTTCGAACAATTGAATCAAACTCATACACAAACAACTAAAATTGCTGCGCACAAATTAAAGATCAAACAGAGCAATTGGTTGCAGAATATCCACAACGAACTTGGAGCACACCCTACAAAAAACCAGTGTGAGTTCTGAGAAATAAAAAGTGATCTAGCTTTAACCGATCTTAGAGTGTTCTCTGGAAGAATCCAAGCCCACCGGAGAGTGGACCAATGAACGTTAGCGCAATACGATGCCCAGACATTGGCTGGCAATCGGCGTCTGGTTTTCTGATTTCTACAGAGTGCGGGAAATCCGGCTGAAAGCAGTTTTCACCAAACTTATCCAAAGTCAAGAGCATGGCGCACACGAAACTCACGGATACAGATACCGCTGCCGATACAACTGAATTCCGGCCCACATCGCCACCACTACGACTGCGAATTTGGTTGAAAACCGAATCAAGGGTACTGCAACTGAATATTGTATTCAAAACGAATGCAGTCTGAACACAGAGGCCAAGGGGAGTTCCAGAAATTGGGGCCTTAGGGGGCTACCCGCCATCGAATAGAGTAGAGTAAAGCCAGAGAAGGTCGTCATACATTTTTGGCCCGGCTCCGGCCTGGTAAATTTTTATGCACGCGTGTCGATTTCCAGCGCGGCACGCGGGGCGTATGCGCAATAAGTGTATATAATTTACTTCATGCCCCTCCCTACCGCTCTCTTCGCCTTCCCATTCGCTAATTTCTATCAATTGCTATAAGCCAGTCTTAAATCATCTAAATCGTCTCTTCTCCAGGACCTTGACGGTAATCATCCGTAAATAAATACTCGTACCTCTCCAAGTGGCAATTAGCAAAACCCAAGGGGAAGTCAATTGTTTTAAATGCTTAGGTCCCACGTGATTCCCTCTAAGTGCCCTCATAAGACATAGGAAGCTATTTATATACGTAAATATTATCAATTTTTATAGGGATGGGCAAAAAATTATCCGCAAATTTAAAGTATTAATTATTATTATTATCGTATTTTTATTTAGTTTTTATTTTTCATAACATTACTCTGACATATTATGAATTGAATTAAATTTAGATTCTTTCGCTTTTAATTCACACAACTCAATTGCTACTTTGCAATTTTTATTTAATCAGCATGCAATATATGCAAACAATCACTCAGTTTATTTTTAGCCTTTTGTTTTCCTGTTTTGTTGGCTCTATTGTAACCAGGCACGCTTCTCATTTGCTCGATTCATTATACCTCCTACAATTGGGCTAACTACTGTTCGGGCCTTGGGAAATATATAGCTAATTGATAGTGCCTTTTAGTACCGTGACTTGTGTTTACTACACCTACATTGTTAGGCGACAAAGAAAATCGCACTTTACTGCAATTTTCATTGGCCAATTAATAGAATGTGCAAAAAGGGGCTTGTCATCACTTGGTGAACATTTCGGTTTGGAGGTGACCAAATGGAAAACCTGTTGCTGACTCAGGACTCTTTCCAATGAATCACAAAAGGGTGTGGACATTTTAAACGAGCTAAATTTTGCTTTGATTTATTAAAATTTTAAGTAAGTACTAAGAAATACTTAAGGTAATGTAAATTACAGTGTTTTTATCACCGGAAAAACTATTAAAGCCTCGAATCTAGGTAAATACTACACTTTAAACTTCATTAGACCACGAACGTAAATCAATCCTTGTTGTTTAATTTTTGTTTTGTTCGCTTCTATTTTCAATTGATCCTTCCTCCAGTTAACCTCTTTTCCGCGTCTAAATTGCTTCGCTCCACTGGCATTCCGCCTACTTGGCAATTGGTTGCAATTTTCTAAATATAGCTTAACCCATTAAAGTCACTTAGAATGCAAAGCCGACAGCGCGGACTCTTTTCAATTGGCGCAAGTAAAAGTGAATTTAAAAGTGGTTTTCCTTTTTTTATTTTGTGCAGCCTGCCAGCGGCGCAGAGTTCATTCATCCAATTTTATATTGTTTGTGCAAAAGTGGACTTCCGCATATGGTTCACCACCGCAGCACCGCCCCCCATTTTCCGCCCCGAAAAGCCAGGAAAAAAGCGAAAGTGCGACTGTGTCTGCCTGCATTTTGGCCCCTCTTTCTTGTTGTTGTCCATTTAATCATTGCAAATTTTATGCAATCTGCTGTGCACGAGTGTGCGCTGATCTTTTTATAAACACTCTGTGTGTGCCATTTATCAAAAAGCAGATCATGTCGGGCATTTTTCATATGTAATTCAATTTGATTAAATGCTCGTAGCGTGCGCCAAAAGTACATTGACTCCGGAGGCTGGAAGTGGCATCTGGAAAATATAAATTTACCCCAATCGCACTGAGGGTATCCACCTTAACAACGATCTAATCCGAAAAGAAACCCAAACGGAGAGTTAATGCATTTAAATGAACAGTGCATTTGTAGACCGATTATCCTACGATGTCACGCGATTTCTTCATTTGTCTTACTTTTCGGTTCCCATTGCAGACTGATAAAACATTTAAAGGCTTGATTTAAGGTTGCGTACATTTACCTCAAAATTTAAATAATTTCTAAGGGGAAAAATTGAATAAAACTAGGTTTACTGCTTTTAAAATTAATAAAAAAAAACGTCTTCTTCGCTTGCAGAATATGTTATTAACGACTCAAAATAAAAATGGTTTTATTTCATAAGTTTCTTATATAAACTATATCTGCGCTACGACAAAACCCCTCGCTAATCCTCATGATTTATTTTTCTTGCGATTTTGGCAGCAGACGAAAATAGAGTCATGGCAATCTGATTGTGAGATAACCGGTCCAATTAGTGAAAGTAAGAGTCGCCGGCACATGCTTTATGCAACTCGATTTTATCGACCAAACAAACGGGCAACTGCAACAACAGCTGGCATTCGAAAATGCCGCCAACAACCAGTGCTGTAAAATAGAGCAGCGCTGTTAAACCAAATTCTGACCAGGTGGCAACGCTACCTCAGCATGTTTTTCGTGCATTTTGCATGCGGCGCTGAAAATTCCGAAACTCGTTCGAAATTCCTGCGAAAATGGGCGAGCCAAGCAACAAACTGCTCCTGAAAAAGATGCCCTGCTCCCTGGAGGAACTGTCGCAGCTGATCCAGGAGTGCAAGCTGATCTACCCGAGGTCGTTGAACAGCTACGGTCGGAAAAGAGCGCTCATCGAGTACAAAGATTCCCAGGAGGCGGGAAAAGCTTTGGTCCAGCTGCAGGGACTAAGCGAAATGCTGGACAAACCCCTCTGCATCAGTGCCTTTATGATTCGTGGCAATTCGCAAGAAACCACTGCCCAAAAGTCAACACAAACAAAGGCGGACGGAAACGAATCCCGGAAACAGGATCCAGAAATCAACAAGAACATTCAAAGGTTATATGCCTGTAATAATCATTGCGACTTTACACAGCCGCCGCCTCCATATCTAAGCTATAGTTATCCACCCATTAATGGGGAAATTCTGGCCAGGATCGGTGAGAGTTTGCAGAAAAACAGCCGGTTTTACACTCAAGTTCTGCACCTGATGAACCGCATGAATTTGGAGCCACCGTTCGGAAAGCGTTCGACTGGCTTGTTGGTTCAGAACCACCTGCAACACGTGGGCACCCAAACGGAGGTTATTCCCAGTGAGTCGGAGAGTGAATTGGAGAGCGATGCTGAGGAGCAACAGCGGGCCAAAAGGCAGCGTTTCCTGCCACAAACTTCAAGCGAGAATGTTCATCACAAGATCCTGAAGAGAACGCGTCAAATGCTCCAGCAGGCTGCCCATCAAGCTAGTCACTCCAATGCCAAACAGGACTTCCAAAAGCCCACCTTTAATTCACCTAAAATCGAATTAAAGCTGCCAGAAACCCTCAAGCCATCCACTTCAAAGCCAGAAACGCCTAAAACAGGCACCTTAATGCTAGGAAAGCGCCTGCCCACTAGCGAACTCCAAGCTCTTCCTGTGTATAAGAACTACAAAATGGGGGAGCCGAGCAATAAGTTGTACATTAAAAACCTAGACAAGACCGTGGATGAACAGCAGCTAAGGGAACTCTATGCCAATTACACAGCCTCCGAAAGTTTAGACATCAAAGTCATGCAGCAGGGTCGCATGAAGGGACAAGCCTTTGTTACCTTCCTGAAACCCAACGAACCTGAGATTATAGCCCAAGCTCTCTGCGAAACCAATGGCCTCTTGTGGCACGAAAAGCCCATGATTGTCTGCTACGGCAAACAGCAATAGAAGCAGTTAAAAGATCAGTGAGAAGGTTAGGATCTTCTCGTTTTTTTATTGTAAAACTTTTTCGTAGACAGTAGTAGCTGTAGTTAACTTCAGACTGTCTTGTTTGTATACTCAGGACAGCTGACCAAGAAGCTCTGAAAAAACATACTTATTTTCTACAAAATTCCCACCAAAAAAAAACTAAAAAACCACCGACCCCAAAAATAATATTTCCTAAAACTCTGAGATAACGCTTAAGTTTTACATTTCCTATTGGTTTTTGCAGACAACTGGGTCTGATCGATACTATTTATGTGGAGGGAGCCCGACCAGATCCAGCCAACGATCCCGAGGAGTCGCTCAACGAGGACGAAATTACAGCAGCCAACACAGTGCCAGTTAAAACCAAGAAGTCAAGAAAGTCCAAACAACTGGCCATGCAGCCCTATTCGTATGTGATCGCTGTGGACTTTGAGGCAACCTGCTGGGAGAAACAGGCGCCACCGCAATGGCGAGAAGCGGAGATCATTGGTAGAAACCTTTTCCTCCATAATTAGCAACCGGCTATACTGTTTCTATATAATTGCAGAATTTCCAGCCGTGCTGGTCAACCTGAAGACTGGCAAGATCGAGGCCGAGTTTCACAAGTATATCCTGCCCGTTGAGTCGCCGCGCTTGAGTAGCTACTGTACGGAACTGACTGGCATCCAGCAGAAGACTGTGGACAGCGGAATGCCGCTGCAGACGGCGATGATGATGTTCCACGAGTGGCTGCGCAAGGAGCTGCGCGCCCGCAACCTCACCTTGCCGAAGATGAACAAGTCGAATATACTGGGCAACTGCGCCTTTGTCACCTGGACGGACTGGGACTTTGGCATCTGCTTGGCGAAAGAGTGCACACGCAAACGGATGCGCAAGGCGGCCTACTTCAATCAGTGGATCGACGTGCGGGCCATTTATTGGTCGTGGTACAAGTACCGTCCGTGCAACTTCAGCGATGCCCTGTCGCACGTTGGATTGAGCTTCGAGGGCAGGGCTCACTCCGGGATCGACGATGCCAAGAACCTGGGCGCCCTCATGTGCAAGATGGTGCGCGACGGAGCGCTCTTCTCGATCACCAAAGATCTGACGCCATATCAGCAGCTCAATCCCAACTGCGGATTGTGAGTTCCAGCGGCCAGCAATCCCTCCAAAAAAAAGAGCTAAAAAGGAACGCAGAATATCCATTTAGTTATTGGATTTGATTTAAATATTAATACAAAATGCAAGGAAAAAGATGATTGGTACGAAGATGATATGTAAACTGATAGCTAAAGAGATATTGCATGAAATTTTAAATTGTTTTTTTTTTTTATTATTATTTTTTTTATTTTTGCCCTGATTTTCTTGTAACGGCAATTGATAAGACTTGAACAATTCGAAGCATCGCAGCGATCATACATACATATAACATATATAAATAGCTATAAATATGGCCTTAGAGCATACATATTTTTCTACCATTCATACTTACTTGATAATGCTTAGTTGTAGTCTATAATACGGAATGCAATACTTATTTTAACGACTTACACCGCCTACCATTTAGGAGATAAATTAATAAAACGACAATAGCTACATATAAATATGTGCTGTTAATTGCGATATCCAAGAAGAACTAATGTATGTATTCCTTTAAAGTTAAACAATAATGTCACTCGAGAGTCGATGCTTGACGGCCACTTGAATGACCGCCTTCTCGCCAGTGGTCATCCATTGGGGATTGTCTTCGGTTAGCCACTCAACGGTGCAAACTGGCAGCCCGCAGTAAATATCCGACTTAATAACTCGCAGGGCACAAACGCTGGTTGGCTCAAAACCACGAAGACATTGGGAAAAATGGGACGTGGACTTGTAGTTAATGTCGCCCAGAAGTTTCCGGTAGTTGAGGTCGCCTTTAAAAATTACGAGGGCTGCCTCACTGATGAAGACATACAGACAAGGTTGCACCTGCTTCATGTGACTGCAATCGTATCCACTTGTCCAGAAGTAATTTTTGTCGCACAGGATAAAGGATCGATCCCGGATGTAACCTTGTATCTTCCTTCCAAAAGCCCTTAGTTCCGGAGAGTCGTGCGTGCGAAAGTATTTAATCATCCAGCGAAAGTCCTGATGGGTAACATCGGATATAAACCAGGGAATAGCCTTCACATGGAACCGCACCCGACGAGCCAAGCCCGATTCAATGATATACTCGGCCAGCAGGAGATCGGCAAAGAGCTCAAAACCTGCATTATCACACACAATGTCAACGTAGACGGGATCGCAGGCTTCTTCGAGATCTTTCCATACATCTGCCGACTCATCGGCCAAGAGATGTGCATCGTATTTAGGAATCCTTTTGAATAATCTAGCATCCGGCTTTCTCGTTGTGTTAGACAAGTCGCAGCGATTGGCCCAAGTGGATAGTTTAAGTAGACGCTGAAAGTTCTCCTTGCTGCGACTTAGCTTTCTGGTTTCCTTCAGGATATTCCTCATTAACGGAGTCGTATTCCTGGCGGCCGAAGTCTTTTGGTCGCCAAAGTAATCATAGTTAACCAGGGTTTCTGAGCGTTGAAAGATCGACCAGATGCGGCGATACATATAACATTCGGCGTGCAGCCAAACGGCAGAGAACCATTGCTTTCGATCTTCGGTGAGAGCCATAAGAAAGGTATTCCAACTCTGAGTGTCCGGAGCCTTAACCCGGAATATCTGGAACTCCTCGTTGTTAATGATGTCTTCGCGCAGCAGTTCTAGGCTCCACATGGTGCGCTTCAAATCGAAGTGGGCATAGTCTCCGCACTCCTTTATAATTTCTGGCTCTCGATCCCGCAGAAAAGTGATTAAATCCCGGATTAGACCAGGCGACCTTTGCTTAAAGGTGACAAAAGCGAAGCTGGTCAGGAATCTGGCGGACAACTCCTCCTTCTCCCCTGGCGGGGTCACTATAATCAGATTCTTTTCGATGAACCGCATCATCTTCATCTGGTCGAGGGTCGTCTCATTGTCTACCAACGGGGCATCCGCCAATTCGGAGCGACTGCTGGCTGAGCTTTGCATTTCAACTTAAATTTTACGACCCTCTGCCGAAAACAACAACTCAAAATTTAGATTTTACTAATTTTTAATTGCCCCCCGGGCAACTGACATTCATAAGGTGAGTGTGTGTGCTTTGTTAACAATGCAAAAGGCTTTAAAATAAGTGGATATATAGCTAGAGACGGACTTTACGATGTAACGTTAAAAAAATTGTGGTTAATGAGCAAATGAACAATAAGAAATCGTAATTCAATATACAAAAGGAAATTGTAGGAATTTTTATACCTTTCAACCTATCTACAATACCTTTCCGCCTCTAGCAAAATCCACTTAAATTTTTAACAATTAAGCTATTAATTATGACTACAAAAATTCAACTATTGTTTGTCCTCGTCCAAAATTGTATGCTTTACTTGCTGGCAAACTGTATAACGCCGTATTCGCCGGTCAACATCCACTCCTTGTCCTTGGCAAAAAGTCGCTCCGCCACACCATCGGCCAAACCACAGATCAGATCCGCTTTAACCGTACGCAGAGTGCAGAGATTGGATGGGCGAAAGCCTTAAGAAAATGAAGTTTATAAATAATTGAAAGTGGAGTCAATACTTATAGAATCATACCTCTCAGACAGGTTTCAAAGGACTCCGTGCTGTCCCACGAAAAGTCCCCTAATAACTTGCGATAGTTAAGGTCACCCTTGAAGATAACTAACTGAGCCTCTTTTAGCCGGTTGTAAAGTGAAGGGTTAACCTCTGGCATGCGATAGAATTCATAAGGACTCGTCCAAAAGGTTTCCAGTGGCGCAAGCTCGAACTTTCCTTCTTCCGTGAAACGCTGCCACTTCTTGCCCACCTCACTTAATGCTGAATCAGGATGCTCGGCCAAGAATTGCAGGGTCCAGTGATAGTCGTGCTCCATTACGTCAGATATAAACCAAGGAATGGCCTTTGGGTTGAACCGGACTTTGGAGGCCAATCCCTTGTCGATGATATACTCGGCCAGGATAAGATCCGTGTACAGCTCATATCCGGCATTGTCAAAAATGATGTCCACAATGCCTTCGCCGGAGGCTCCATCGAGGGTTTTCCACACCTCCTCGGTGCCGTCAATCAGCAGCTTCTCCTCCAGATCCGTGACCTGGTCAAAGGCATTGCCAGTGGGCTTAACCTGCTTCCCGGAGGTGATGGACAGATCGCAGCGGTTGCCCCACAGATTCAGTTTAATTAGCTGCCGAAAGGTGTCCGAGTTTCGTTCATTTTTCCGGGTTGCTTTGGCCACCGCCAGCATGGCATCCACACTTAATTTAGCCGCCGTCTGCTTTTGTTGACTAAAATAGTCGTGGGCCGCCAAATGTGCCGTGGCCCGGAAAATTGATGAGATTTTGCGGTACATGTAGCACTCGGCGTAAAGCCAACAGGCGGAGAAGTATGTCCTTTTCTCCTTGGGAAGTTTCTCCAGGAATGTGTTCCACAGGTTAGTGTCGGAATCTGAAAATAATAAATAAAAATAATATAATACAATTCTATCTTCAGGTACATTATATTTAAACTAAAAAATCACGAGCGTTTTAAGAGACTTTAAACATTTGCAATAAATCTAAAGGAAACGGGTGTTGGAATAATGAAATGTGTCTCTGCATAAATACTACAGCTTTTTGTATTATTTAAAAGTATATTTAATACCCACCCAGTCCCTCAAAGGGCAACAAAGGACCATTGCTCAGGATGTCTTCCCGCAGTTGATTTACACCCTTTGTAGTTTGTTCAATATCGGCCGCCGCATCCTGCAAAGGGAAATCAATCCGATGAATCCAAGGTCAAGGGAAGTGCAACCCCGAACTACTCACTTTACCATATTTGGCCAGCAGGACGTCCTTGTCCTTGGCCAAGGAATCCGCGATGGTGGCCAAGGTCGAGGGCAGTCGCACACGGAACGTGTAGTAAGCAAAGCTCCTGTAACGGGCGAATTTAAATGATAATAAACTAATTCCACGACCTGAGTGTGTGGGTGAAGATAAGTCCGCGCATTTGTTACATATTCTCATCAAGCCATATAGACAACATCTATACTAGGCGCTATATTTAGCGACCTCCCCGAAACTCACTGCTTATAGAGGGCCGCCAGTTCAGAGTGCCGTGGCGTTTGCCCACTCACAATTCCATTCTTTGTGTCAAAATCCAGGTCGCCAGCCATCTCAAAATATCTGTTATTGCTCCAACGGAATATGTTTACGAATTGAACGGTTGCGGAAAGTTTATAACTTGATAATGTGGCGCGTAGTGTGACCGTGTTGGAAGCAATTCGAAATACCGTTGGGAATCTCGCCATTTGGCCGATAGTTGGTTAGAGTTTAAAACTTCCATGAAATAAATCTTAGGCTTACTTTGATAACAAAACGAACATATAAACTTGTTTTATTAGGGTTATTGTGGATTTAGATTATATATATACCAGTCACTCGTAGAGTGGTAGGGTACTACTATGGATACTATCAAGATTACTTTAAATTCTCTTTGGTTTTTAGATATGTAACGCCTATTTATTTACCAAAAATTTAAACCGCCCGTCCTTTACAAAGTCAGTAGCCAAATTCGCGAGTTACGTCCACAAACTGAATGATTCCATAGCGGCCCGACACCATCCACTGCGGATCCTTTCTGCTCAGCGCCTCACTAACCCCTTTGGCCAGACCGGAGATCACTTCACTCTTGACCCTTCGCAGCACACAAACATTGCTGGGCAAAAAGCCTCGGAGGCAGGTGCTCGTTTCTTGAGTGCTGTCCCAACACACATCCTGTAGCAACTTTCGATAGTTGAGCTCACCCTTAAAAACAATAAGCTGTGATTGCTGCAGGGAGCTGTACAAATCTGGATCAGTTTGGGCCATGCTGTAAATTAAAAACACAAATTTAAGATATTTATGCTATCGTTATATCAACAATAATAACCTGTTAAAAACATATGGCGATGTCCAGAACCGTGAGACTGGCGCCAGCTCGAACGTTCCCTCGTCGAGATATTGCAAGAACTTCTTTCCTATTAGACTTATAATGTAGTCCGAATGTTGACTCAAGTACTCCAGTGTCCACTTGAAATCTCGCTCAGTAACGTCGGTTACAAACCAAGGATGCGCCTTTACATGAAAGCGCACCTTGCTGGCCAATCCCTTTTCGATCATATACTCAGCAAGGATAAAATCGCTAAACAACTCATAGCCTGCATTGTCCAGAATGAAGTCCACCTGCTTCTGCTTTTTCCGCTTTTGATTGCTTAAGCAATCCCAGATTTTAGCTGCCTGGTTGACGAGTACATTATGATTGGTGGCCTCCACGTTTTGGAGAACCTGGCGATTCGTTTGCTTGATTATCTCTGGATCGCTGCACAGATCGTTGAAGTTGCTCCACAAGTTTATCGTCAGCAGCTCGTTAAAGACCTCCAGGCTGTTTTCTGATCGCCGAGTGTACTTGGTGAGGGCCAGCACATCATCCATGCTGTCGGTCAAAGACTGCTCCTTTAACTTGGCATAGAAATCGAAGGACTTAAGGAATATGCTGTTCTCCAAAAACGAGTGCAGTTTTCGATGCAAATAGCACTCGGCGTGGAGGGAGCTGGCCTTGAAAAAAGTACGTTCGCCAGGGGGCAGGCTGTTGATGAAGTTGTTCCAGAGTTCTTGATCGGGTTCTGGGGGAAAAAAGGCATATAGTACTAGTAGGGAATGATAAAACCATGGCCTTGCCTTCTCCCGTAAAGTTCTGGAAGGGTTTGTCCGTTTGCAGCTCATACTTCAGCCGGGATATCAAACCAATTATGATTTTCAACTCCTCGCGAGCAGCCTGTTCAAAATCATTAGAGGCTAGGAAGGGAGACTAGTTAGTAATGGTGCAAAAATGCTGGCAAAGAAATCCTTACCAAATTGGGCAACCAGCTCGGTCTTTTCTCGGGTCAAGGTGTCAATTACGTTGGTTAGGATGACGGGCAGGCGACTCCTGAGGGTGAAGAAGGCGAAGCTCTTTTTGTAGTGACCGGACATGAAAGCATTTAGAGGCGTCTGCAGGTTCACAATTTCGTATTTGGCATCAAATTCCGTTCGCAAAACATGAGATATTTTGTTTTCCGAGGCCTCCGAATCCAACTTAACCGGATGACCATCATCTCGCTGTTTGTCATCTGCGGAGGGGTCCTTCGACAGGGATTCCATCGTATTGCTGCTTTTTATGAGATTTTGTGCGTTACTCCTGCATTTTACTTGTTTTTTTCTGACTGATTTTTCAAAGATTTAAAGTGTTGGTTAATGAAAGACGGTCAGTGTTTATGCGCAGGCTTATTGGTGATTTCGTTTTGTTTCCGTGACTCGAGGAATGTTGCGGCATCTATTAAATAACTCGATTCATTCTTAAATCTTTCGATTTAGGTCAATATAATCAAATGAAAATTGTGTTATATATTTTATAGAAATTGGTGTCCGTTTAAAAATATTTTGTCCATTTAACTAATTTATTTAATTCAATTGTCTGTCGCAGCTAATGGGGGTTGGTGCACTCGCTAATGTAGGATGTTGTCTTTGCTAGGTTAGGCGGCTGAATCTTATAGCTAAGGAAGGTGCAGTCGCTAAAAAAGAGACCGTTTTCCTTTTTGAGATAAGCCAGACCCAGCTTTAAAAAAGCTAAAATGGTAATACTGGATGTGATACCTCGGCAGTTTTATAGCTAGCTGCTCGTCAGTTTTATTTGGGAATCGAACGCGACGAGGTCTGGAAAATGTTTAAAGCGCGAGAAACGGCCGACCAGTGATTGCAACTCGATTGATCCGTCAATCTGATCTGGCAATCGGGCAACGCGAACCGCAGGGCAACCGCAGCAAATGCCATCGTGAATAGAATCGACCACCCACACAAGCACACAAGACGGGGATTTGTGGATTTGGAGTCACCGCAGACACACACACCGACTTTAGGAGCACCACCCGCACACACAAGCACGCAACGCACACCCTACACCACCCGCCACCCCTACAGAGATGTCACACCTACCTCTGCCGCTTTATGGCTTCGCGGCCTTCTTCATGGTCTTCTGGCTGGGCACCTGGATGGTGCACGTGATAGCCATCTGCTACGGCCGCTACAAGCTGCACAAGAAGTCCTGCAAGCTGCCCACGGAGGCCCAGCCACTTCCGGGTGTCTCCATTCTCAAGCCGCTTATGGGCGTCGATCCCAATTTGCAGCACAACCTGGAGACCTTCTTCACCATGGACTACCCGCTGTACGAGCTGCTCTTCTGCGTCGAAGACAAGGAGGACCCTGCCATTCAGCTGGTGGAGCGACTGCTGGCCAAGTACCCGCTGGTGGACGCCACCCTATTCGTGGGCGGCTCCGACGTGGGCGTTAATCCCAAGATCAACAACATCCATCCGGGCTACATGGCCGCAAAGTACGACTTTGTGATGATCTCGGACAGTGGCATCAAGATGAAGGACGACACGCTGCTGGACATGGTGCAAAATATGTCCGAGAAGCACGCCCTGGTCCACCAGATGCCCTTTACCTGCGATCGCGATGGATTTGCGGCCACCTTCGAAAAGGTCTTCTTTGGAACGGTGCAGAGCAGAATCTATCTATCGGCGGATGTGCTGGGCATCAACTGCCACACGGGCATGTCCTGTTTGCTGCGCAAGGCAGTCATTGACCAGCTAGGCGGCCTCAGGGCATTTGGCTGCTACCTGGCCGAGGACTTCTTTATCGCGCGGAGTGTGACGCGGCTGGGCTGGAAGATGCGCATCTCCAACCAGCCAGCGCTGCAGAACAGCGGCCTCTGCGACATCGGCAGCTTCCAGGCGCGGCTCATCCGCTGGGCCAAGCTGCGCGTGGCCATGGTGCCCACCACCATTCTGCTGGAGCCGCTCTCCGAGTGCATGATACTCGGCGCCATCGCCGCCTGGTCGGCATCCGTGCTCTTCAGCTGGGATCCGCTGGTGTTCTACCTGGTGCACGTGCTCTGCTGGTTCCTCTCCGACTGGCTGCTGCTCTCCATCGTCCAGCACGGCTCGATGCCGTTCCACAAGTTCGAGTTCGTCGTCGGCTGGCTGTTCAGGGAGCTGACTGGACCCTATTTGTTCCTGCACGCTCTCTGGGATCCGGCGATCCGCTGGCGCGCCCGCACCTACAAGCTGCACTGGGGCGGCGTGGCCTACGAGCTGAGCAGCCCCACCTCCGATGCTGCCAACGCCCCACTGGCGCCACAACCAGCTCCAACGTTAGAGCCCGCCACCGCCACCGCAGCCAACGGGGGATCAACGGGAACGGGGGAGACGCTGATCTGCACGGGCGCCAAGCAGAGACTGCTGGTGTCGTAGCAGCTACTAGTTAAGTTTGTTATTTTGTACTTGTGAGCAACCAACTCAGAGGACTGCAAGCGACTGGCGGGCGGCGTCTAGCGTCCAGCGTCTGGTAGTAGTATTATTAGCTGAACCTTAGTCACTACGTAAGTCTAGACTTAAAGCTGTGTAAAAATGAAAGGCGAATGCGGAGCGGTATCCACGGAATCCACGTAATCCACCTGGACGTAAAGCGCGGCAGGCGGACCTAGATTAGTTTAGATACACTGATTAGAAGACGAGTGGATCGCTGCGATCGCTCGCCAGAGAGAAGTAGACGTAGGCGTTCGAGCTGATCGACCCGTGCGCAGTTTGGTGGCTTCGTTTGGAACTGGTTAACGATGCTTTCTGTATATATTACGTACACATATTTTGTAGCCAGCCTGTACAGACGTTAGCCCTAGTTAGCATTATGATTGCGTTAGTTCTCCCCGCTTCTGTTGTTGCTTTATTGAATTGTAATTATTTATTTTTGGCCAAGCACCCTAGTTATATTGTTAGCGTTAAGCCTAAACTTATGATTACTTTTAGTTGCGTTGTTTGTGTTTTTTGTTTGCCCTTCCCCAGCTTCTGTACATAAGCGCCGAAAAGCGAATGCCATTGAATAAATCGAATCGAAAACGATCGTGTGAATGAAGAAGCCCCATTATGTTTTGATTGATGTTACTTTAATTTTGTTTTATATTTGTTGGTATCGTATCGGTTTTCCTAGATCGCTTCTGGTTATCAGTTAGCTGACTCAGCGGTGATTTCGAGCAAATAAGTGGGAAATGTTTGGCTGAGTCACGCCATCGCAAACAGAGTAATTATCGTGGCACATTTGACTAGACTCTGACCGCGTTTAATGCGGCTCTAGAAACGATCTTACACCCAAGTTATGTGAGAGGTGATGGGTCAGGCTGGCGACCATAGTAACGTAGTATAGATACAGTCTTTGGAACCTGCCCGTCACATGATCAAATGGGATTGTTCTGGAGGAAAATTCTTTCGATTTCTTTCCACAGAGCTCTTATCTTAATGAACTAAAGCCACGACAACAGAGCGACACAAACATATTTATGAATTAAGCGACTAAAGATAGGAGTACAGGCATATCAGTGGCAACGGGGAGGATGTGAATGGACCCTTCGATACAGGTCCGGAACAAAACAAGGCCGACGCCTTAAGCTCTCGCATTAGGAAATAACAATTTAGGCGGATACGTATTCTAATGAACCAGGGTAGATATATATTTGGTGGGCACACACAATAAACGACTGCTAATACTTTTTTTTTTTGCACACCCGCCTTGCCTAAAATGGGTGAAAATGCAATTAAAACGCGGAATGACGTACTTGGGGGAGTGCTAAAAATTCCGAAACCGGCCTTATCTTGCTGGGGAATTATGTAAATTAATCAATAGTTATCAGTACCCAAGGCACGGCGATCCAATCGAGTTTTCAGTTAAGCGATTAGATAAAATGTGGGTTCTGCGTAAACCCTTCGACTAGAATCGTTGCTTCGTATGCCAAGCTAAATCGAACTATATGGAAATTGTATATGATTAAATTATAACGTAGTTTTAAAGTCAATCCTTAAACTAAGCATAAAGCTAGTCAAAATATTTACTGAATAAACAACAAGTCCAGACCGAAAATAATTGGCGTTTGCTTACATTCTGCGAGCACAAAGAATGCTGTGTGTAATACAAATTTATTTGCGGACCCTGGTCACTGATAAGGCTAAATGGAATGAATCACCCGATTCTCTGTGATTTACACTTTGATGTTGCATTGAGCTGTTAAAAGATTACTCCAAATAGTCGCAATGGGGCTATCTAATCAACTTTTTGGGGACATAAACACGTGAGAAGCGTCACGACCTCCAAAACACAATAATAATTTTGTTACGATAATATTTAAAACCTGCTCTTAATTGCAAATATCTCATTGACATTCTTCTTTAAAAGATCGAAATTGTTTATTTTCATTTATAATTATATGAATAATTCATGTGGGCGGGAGGATATTTTTTGACTTAGGATTTTTATGGTTTGCCATTTTTCTGTTATGCGGACGGAAATGGAACAAATTCTATTAAATTGACCTGTTTTATGTTTACGGTAAAGGGTGCGCCTGAAAATCCCCAATTGGGGAGTCATGGGTAAAAGTGAGGGCGTTTTCTTATCTGGCAAATAGAAAGGTGTGCAGGTTTTGGCGATTTAGATACTGCTTTATTTGCCATTGCCGAGATAGAAAATGTTTTATAGACTCCATTCAATTAGTCCGCCATTGATAAAGAGCCACTAACCTCTATCTGAAAGTGTTCAACGTAATCTGCTAAGGTGTTCAAAACACTTGCCTCTGTTTTTTTTTTTTAGCACATAAATCAAATTCTTAGAACGGCCCGCTGGTCTAAATGGATAGCTCGATAACAATCGAGAGAAGCAAGAATGCTGTCGTTTTGCCGCTTATCAAATACGGTCATACTGGATAAAGCTCTCGAGAATTTTGCAACAAAATTTCAAACAAAGGTATTTGGCGAAATAAAGCCAGAAAAAAAGTAATTTAAACTGCCATTGGCATTGTGAACTGATGTGGTTCGAGAAAATAGTGCTTGCCAGGTGCATCGATTGTTAGTTACCGGGAAAAACCATAAGTTCTGATTGCAAATTGCATGTGAAAAATCCATACAATGCGCAGAAAGTGTTTATCAGTTACACGACACACACACACACGAAGAGAGTAACAGAGAATTAAAGAAAGAGAGAGAGCACAGCTGTCGCCGGTGCATGTGAACGCTGCAAGTATGTGTGAACTTGAGTGGGAGGCGGAAATATTGGGAAAAATTCCTTCGCTTCTCGGTTTGTTTATGTTTAAAAGTTTCCTATTGATTTTTAACAGGCCCCGAAATTTTAGTGCCATTTCAGTTCAAAGTGTCTATTGAGCAAGCTAAACTTTTTCGGTTTTCCTGACTTTGTTTAAATTTAAAGTTTAAGGGAGGCGAAATTTCTGGTAAAGAATAACGCAACTTGTTAAAGTCGTAAATAAATATAATTTAACTGCAATTTCTGACATTAAACACATGTATCTGTTGTTACTTTTTAAATTTAAAATAAATATATTGAGAGTCCAAAAATTCTTGTGCAATAGCCAATATAAAAAGCCGGGAGCACTATTAAACAAAAAAGACTCATACAATTCCAGTAGGAATATACATATTTGTGATATAACAGATACACCCATTAAAAATGTTAATACACCCACAATTTAAATGTTTGTTCTCCACCCGCAGATGTCTTAGCTTCGTCCGATCTCCCCAACAATAAAATTTATCAGACAGAAAAGCACAGGATCGCACTAACCTAAAAACCTTCAACAGAAAGGCAGATAAATTCCAGCAAAATGGCCATGTCCAAGGTGATCCGTGTGCTGGAGAAGTCCATTGCCCCCTCGCCGCACAGTGTTCTTCTGGAGCACCGCCACAAGAGCGACAGCATCCTGTTCGAGTCGCATGCGGTGGCCCTGCTGACCCAACAGGAGACGGATGTGATCCGGAAGCAGTACACAAAGGTGTGCGATGCCTACGGTTGCCTCGGTGCTCTCCAACTGAACGCCGGCGAGAGCACAGTGCTGTTCCTGGTGCTGGTCACCGGCTGTGTGTCCATGGGCAAGATTGGTGACATCGAGATCTTCCGGATTACGCAGACCACGTTTGTTTCGCTGCAGAATGCTGCGCCCAACGAGGACAAGATCAGCGAGGTGCGTAAGCTGCTCAACTCGGGCACCTTTTACTTTGCTCACACCAATGCCAGTGCCTCGGCATCCGGAAACTCGTCGCATCGGTTTGACATTACGCTTTGCGCCCAAAGACGCCAACAAACGGAGGAGACGGACAACCGGTTCTTCTGGAATCGCATGATGCACATCCACCTGATGCGCTTCGGCATCGACTGCCAGTCCTGGCTGCTGCAGGCCATGTGCGGTTCCGTGGAGGTGCGCACCGTCTACATTGGCGCCAAGCAGGCCAGGGCCGCCATCATTTCCCGGCTGAGTTGCGAACGAGCGGGCACGCGGTTCAATGTGCGCGGCACCAACGATGAGGGCTATGTCGCCAACTTCGTGGAAACGGAGCAGGTGATCTATGTCGATGGTGACGTGACCAGTTATGTGCAGACCAGAGGCTCCGTCCCGCTCTTCTGGGAACAGCCCGGCGTCCAGGTGGGCTCGCACAAGGTGAAGCTATCGCGTGGTTTCGAAACCTCGGCCGCCGCCTTCGATCGGCACATGAGCATGATGAGGCAACGATATGGCTACCAAACTGTGGTCAATCTACTGGGAAGCTCAATGGTCGGCAGTAAGGAGGGAGAAGCCATGCTAAGCAACGAGTTCCAGCGCCATCATGGAATGTCCGCCCACAAGGATGTGCCGCATGTCGTGTTTGACTACCACCAGGAGTGCCGCGGTGGCAATTTCTCGGCGCTCTCGAAGCTCAAGGAGCGCATCGTGGCCTGTGGGGCCAACTACGGCGTCTTCCACGCGTCCAACGGTCAGGTGTTGCGCGAACAGTTCGGCGTGGTGCGCACCAATTGCCTGGACTGTCTGGACAGGACGAACTGTGTCCAGACCTACCTCGGATTGGACACGCTCGGTGTCCAGTTGGAGGCCCTGAAAATGGGCGGCAAGCAGCAGAATATCTCGCGGTTCGAGGAAATCTTCCGACAGATGTGGATAAACAATGGAAATGAAGTGAGCAAAATCTACGCTGGCACCGGAGCAATCCAGGGTGGTTCCAAATTGATGGACGGAGCACGATCGGCAGCAAGAACCATACAGAATAACTTACTGGATAATTCGAAACAGGTAAGTTAGAACGCTTCCTTTTATACCCTTACTTACTTACTTTATTTCTTTAAATTATATCAACTTTCAGGAAGCCATCGATGTGCTGCTGGTTGGGTCCACTTTAAGCTCAGAGCTGGCCGATCGGGCTCGCATCCTGCTGCCCTCCAACATGCTGCATGCTCCCACCACCGTTTTGAGGGAGCTGTGCAAGCGCTACACGGAATACGTGCGTCCGCGGATGGCGCGAGTTGCTGTGGGCACCTACAACGTCAACGGCGGCAAGCATTTCCGCAGCATTGTGTTCAAGGATTCGTTGGCTGACTGGCTGCTTGATTGCCATGCCCTCGCCCGCTCCAAGGCGCTTGTGGATGTGAACAATCCGTCGGAGAACGCCGATCATCCGGTGGATATCTATGCCATTGGATTTGAGGAAATCGTGGATCTGAATGCATCCAACATAATGGCGGCGAGCACGGATAATGCGAAGCTTTGGGCTGAGGAGCTGCAGAAGACGATCTCGCGGGACAATGACTACGTTTTGCTCACGTACCAGCAACTGGTGGGCGTTTGCCTGTACATCTACATCCGACCAGAACATGCACCGCACATCCGTGATGTGGCCATTGACTGTGTAAAGACGGGATTGGGCGGTGCCACCGGAAACAAGGGCGCCTGTGCTATTAGATTTGTGCTCCATGGCACCTCCATGTGCTTCGTGTGCGCCCACTTTGCAGCCGGTCAATCCCAGGTGGCTGAAAGGAACGCAGACTATGCGGAGATCACCAGGAAGTTGGCTTTCCCAATGGGCAGGACCCTCAAGTCGCACGATTGGGTGTTTTGGTGCGGCGACTTCAACTACCGCATCGACATGGAAAAGGACGAGCTGAAGGAGTGCGTTCGCAACGGCGATCTAACTACCGTCCTGGAATTTGATCAGCTGCGCAAGGAGCAGGAGGCGGGCAATGTGTTTGGGGAGTTCCTCGAGGGAGAGATCAGCTTCGACCCAACGTATAAATACGATCTGTTCAGCGATGACTACGATACGTCCGAAAAGCAACGTGCGCCCGCCTGGACAGATCGAGTGCTCTGGCGGCGAAGGAAGGCGCTGGCCGAAGGGGATTTCGCTGCCTCAGCTTGGAATCCCGGGAAGCTGATCCACTATGGACGTTCGGAGCTGAAGCAGAGTGACCACCGACCCGTGATTGCCATTATCGATGCAGAGATCATGGAGATTGATCAGCAGCGAAGACGCGCTGTTTTCGAGCAGGTGATCCGGGATCTGGGTCCACCGGATTCCACGATTGTGGTGCATGTACTGGAGTCCTCGTCGTCGCCGGATGAGGATGGACCCACCATCTACGACGAGAACGTAATGTCAGCTTTAATTGCCGAGCTGTCCAAGATGGGAGAGGTCACCTTGGTGCGCTACGTGGAGGACACCATGTGGGTCACTTTCCGTGATGGCGAGTCCGCCTTGAATGCTGCCTCCAAAAAGAGCATTCAAGTCTGCGGATTAGATCTTGTCCTGGAGCTGAAGTCCAGAGACTGGCAGCATCTGGTGGACAGCGAAATCGAGCTGTGCACCACCAACACCATACCGCTGTGCGCCAATCCAGCGGAGCATGCCCAGCTGCTGCAGGCCATCACGCCGGAGGTGCCGCAGCGACCCAAGCAACCGCCGTCACGTCCCCCAGCCCGCCCCCCAATGCCAATGTCGCCAAAGAACTCGCCACGCCACCTGCCCCACGTCGGGGTGATCAGCATTGTGCCCAAGCCGGCGAAGCCACCGCTACCACCTCAACCGCAAGCCCAGCCGCTCATGCCCTCGCCGCTTCAGCCGCAGCCGGCACCACCCCGCCCGCCGGCGATGGACAACACACCATCCTCGAAATCACAATCGCCCACGGAACTGGCCTCGGCCAGCTCGTCCACCTCCTCCTCGGGCAAGGCTTCGCCCACGGCTCCGGCTGTGCTCTCCGGACCGCCGACACCGCCGCGCCAAATGCAGAGCAAGCAGGCCACGCCGGTATCGACGCCCACGCGCCAAGTGCCGTCGCCCAAAGATCCGATTCCACCCGATACCGCCTACGAAACCGCCAGTAATATTTACGAGGAGATCCAGGAGGACGTGCCGGCGCCACGCCATCCGCCGCCGGCAGGGCCACCGCCCGTAATAGGAGGAGCACCGATGGGTCCGCCGCCTCCGCTGCCGAATCGTCGGGGCCCACCACCCATACCAAATAGGAGCGGCAATGCTCCACCGCTGCCCACGCGACCAGCCAACAACTGAGCACCAAGCCACGCATTCAGGGTACTTCATATTGCTCTCTTGGATTCCATTCCTCTAATGGTTTTCCGTTTGATTTCAGCTCGCTGTCTTGCACTCCGATTGCATTCCGAATCGCTGTATTTAATGTTAAATATACTCGAATATATTGGGCCACCCGGGAGAAGAACTCCTGGCAATATCTGCACTTCGCATGGAATCTCTATGTTACTAGTATTATACCTGCTTGTTTGTTTCGATAGTTTCTAGCCGAAGCCAAACAAAACTTAAAGTAAACTAATTAGTTCCACTTAGTAAAAAAAACCCAGGCGACCAACCTTATGTTACACTCTTTTTTGTACTTGTTTAACGCTGGCTAGAAGTACTCAACCCGATCGAACCGGATTTGCCCAAGACGAACAAATAATGAAATATATAAGCGACAAAGTATTATACTACTCTGCATAAATGTAATGTTTAAATGAATTATAGCCGTACTAGTCAAATTATGAAATAAAAGCATAAGCTCTGGAGCAGCAAACGAACTCTGTAACAGATTCCAGTATGAACGATATACTTAAACATATATATCCATTGTTACTGAACAACTATTGACGAAAATTACCTATTATTCCACATTGTTAAACTATCGTTGTAATCGGTCAATTTGAGGCTACATTCAGATTTGTGTTTCCGTTGGCTAAAGAAGTATATCAATGAAATTGAGAATTTGCAATTACTCTGTTAAAAAAGTTGAAGTTACGCCTAAGATTAAATTAATCCCCAACCGAATGACATACCAATTAGAATACAAAACAATAAACCAGTTGGACCGCTGTAGTCGCTATTCCAACCACATGATACCCGCTAAAAATATTGGGTCTTAATTTTAAACTTGTTCAGGATTGGGGTAACAGTATCCAAAAAAGTATCAGATTTTTCTTTGTTTGAAACAACACGTGTTAAATAAATTTAATTACTTTATTTCATTTAATTCCAGCTTGTCTAGCGGGCTCAACTCAAACAAAAACTCAACATCGGAAGCTGTAAATCTCAAGGAAGCTATGGACAACTGAAGCCATTAGAACCACTTGGGCATTGCGTCGTGCGGCAGATTCTTGTGGTTGGGAAGGGCGGTGCAAGGACGCTGTTGGCGCCAAAATTCCTGTCGTTTGTTGAGGAACTCCACCGCCTCGCGGGCATAGGCGGATATGCTCTCCGTGTGGGTGTCCGCACGCACCAAATCCGGATGCAGCAGCAGCTTCTCCAGATACTCCTTGTCCACGCACAGTTCTCCGAGAAGTTTGCGGGCATTGCGTCGCTCCAGATCCGCTCGACTGGGCTTCTGGCGTACCCTTGCACTGGTTCCCGTTCCAGCAACTGCCTGCGATTTTGGCGTTTCCTCGCCGGACTTTCGCGACTTGCCACTCTTGGCTGAAGGAGCTGCTGTCACCGGAGCCGGCTTGCTGCCAATCGTGTTCTCTATGGCCTCCTGGGTCTTCTGGACACCAAGACGAAACAGTGCCAATTCCGGGCGGGCTCTCAAGCCGCGGTGGAAGAACATCAGGCTCTGCTCGAACTGTCCCAGGTAGTAAAGCGATTCGGCCTTCTGGTAGATGGCCCGAATGTTGTTCTTATCCTCGCCCAGAGCCGTCTCCGCATCCTGCAGGGCTTTGGAAGCCTCGCCCAGCAATAAGTAGCACTTGCTGCGCGAGATCAGGGCATTGATGTCGGTGCTGTTCAGCTCCAGGGCCTGGAATATAGAATATTTGGATTGGAGTTATAGCAAAAAAATTATTAAATTGATTCAAATGTAAATGTTTTATACGATACTTAAGGAGAAACATATTTTTTATTTTCTTGGGTCATTTCAAATTTGAGCAGTTGTTCTAAAATATTATAAAATCGAAAATGATTTGACTTTTTTAACTACTTAATAGAGCAACCTGTTAAATATATATACATATATTTAAATTTGATTGTAAGTAGGAAACAAGAGGTTTGGCCTATAAGAAAACCAATATAAATATTTCTATGTAGTATTAAAGAACCAAAAGGACCTTGCAGAAAAAGTGAATTGCGTTCTCGGGATTGGCGTTCTTGATCTCCTTGAGGCCCAGTGCGATCACCGAGCTGATGTCCGCCTCATCGGGAATGAGGAGTGCCTCGTTGCGATCCTGCTTCTGCTTGATCTGCAGACTCTGCTTGATGTCGAAGGCTCCAGCGCTAACTGCTGCCGCCCGATCCTTGTCCGTGTAGAAGTCCACGAAGTTCTCCTTTGGCTTCTTCTTCTTGGCGATCTGCTCCTCGATCTTTTTGCGAGCCGCTCTCAGTTCGGCCTCGATGCGATTGCCCCGCTTGCCGCCCGCTCCATCGCCACCTGCTCCTCCGCCGGCTCCTCCATCGTCCGCCTGCTTGCCATCTCGTCCTCCGCCACGTCCTCCTCTCTCCGTGGATTCCCGCCTCTCCCAAATGGGCGGCTTGTGGGAGCGTCCCTTGGAGCGCCTGTTTCCCTCGTCCTGCGACTCCTCTTCGGCCGCTGCTCCCGTGCGGATGAAGCTCTGCAGCAGCTCCTGCTCCTTGTCCACAGCAAGGATGGTGTTCAGAACGTTTGACATGCCGCGAGATTGTTATGCAATCGCTCGTTAAAAAAATCTCAAAATCCACCGTCCTTAACAAAAGGGCTAAAATCCAACTACTGACCAAATCAGTCGGCGATTGATTGGCGCTTTTGCCAGGCTGTTGCCAGGAAACTGGCGCTCCCAAATGGGTTAGCAATCGATAACAAAACAACGAGGTGCCAGGTGCCAGGTGCCAAGTGCCAAGTGCCAGATATCAGGTGTCAGGCGGCGTGTCTTTGGGAGGCGTGAATGCCAAGAACTTTGGCCTCTATGTGGGTCGCGACCTTGAGGAAAACTTCATTCAAAGCCGAATTTGCGTAGAGATATTCGAGTGGGCATCTCGCCTAACATACTTCATCAACATTTTTCATATACATATTTTTTAAAAACTTATTTTTTAACTTGTTTCGAAAGTATAATAAATGTAATAAAAATAAATCATACTAAAGGTTAAGGGTTTTAAGAATTAAATGCTTCAAACTTTTTTAAACGGAGGACCTAATAGTATTTTTTTTCGCATTTTTAAATGTTTTGAAACTTAACTTGTTCTAAGAGATATTTTGTAAGTTTATGGAAAAAGTTAAGTAGTCTTTTACATAATGAATTCTAAAATTTAATACATAATGAATTCTAAAATGTAGTTAAATGAAAATATTCACGGTTACTCCACAGGTGCAAGTTTTGTGATAAAAATACGAGCTGATAACATCAAACTGTGTCTTGAAACGCGCCTCTAAAACTGTAATAAGCTTTGCATGCCTTTAGTGGGGTTTCTTTCCATGTTGGTGAGCGCGCTTAAATTTATAAAGTTTTTCATGTTTAAATAACAATTGTCGATCTACATAATATTTTATACATTTTATAATATAAGTGGCAAACATTCTTATTTAAATAAAAGTATAACCATTTTTAAAACTTTAAAATTTAAAGTTTAAATCATTGCTTTTTATTAATACATTAAATAAACCTTTAGATAAGCGGGTTTTAATATTTTGTTATAGTTAGACTGGTATTACTTAATCCAATTATTTCGGATTTTAAATAAAAAATATGAAACCAACTTTATTTGGTAAAAAATGCAACTTGAAAAAAAGTAGTTTACAACTTTAACTTGTATTGATTTCTTAAACAAATATTTGTGCCAAATTATAGATAGTATGGCTTGTAAATTGGTTTACCAATAAATAGATATGTGGCTCAACTGGTAATGAAGAATATCCAATATATCGTTTGACAATGTCCCATTATAAGTTTTGACTTTCTTAACTTCCTTAACTATTTCTGGAAAAAAAATCAAACCCACCTGATTGTAGCCGAAAAGTGCCTTTTCGTAAGCCCGAACTTTCATGTGATTATTGGACTGATCACAAAGCAGTTTAATACTGGTCTCAATCTCTTCAAGAGTATCCACTTTCGGTTTCTTTCGCGGCATTTTGATTTGGGTTTCGTTGAGTAGTTATAGGAGACAGAGTTATATTCCGAACTGGGATCGCGTCCAATTAGTTCTTTCGCATTTTTTACTTTTGGGACAGTATCATAAGTTATTTACTCCGTCAGGAAAAATGACGTCTGTTCGCGGCGGTTGTCGTTGGGCAACTAAATTACCTTCCTTCACTTTACGTTTGGCCCGACTTGGTTTTGGTTCTAGACCAACAACCCACTTCCCATCTGCTACTCCAGCTCCTGGTTCTGGCTTTCTTTACTTTGTAAGTTTACATGCGCTGACAAGCAGCAATAAACTTCAATAAAGTTTCATTAATATCTCAACAAACCCTTCTGGGCACTCGAAGAAAAACCCATCCATTTATAATGTCCATTCCCAAGTTTTTAATCATAAAATTATTTTATTTTATGTAAAGCAGTTTTAACCATTTCTAACTTCGGTAACATACAATTCAAAAAAATTAAATTTGCAGGTTGGGAAGTTAATTACTTTCTCTTCAAAAGCTTGAGAAAAACTAAACATTTATAAGTGACCTATTTTAGATGTACAATATTTAAAACTATTTCAAGTTGATTTGCATTGTTTTCGGTGCATGAAAGTTGCATTTCTGTGGAAAAGAGGGAGCTTGGGGGACAAGGGGCCACCGCATTTACACGCAGTTAATTGAAGCCATCAAAATTAAACCCGAACTCGGAAAAGGGGAGTCACGCACCCGGGAACAGCTGATAAGAGAAGGCCAAATGCAGAGTCAGGCAATCGATTTGAGCCAGGTGGAACCCATTTCGAAGCACCACCACCTAAAAGCACCCAGCAATTCTGGGACTGAAAGAGGGGGAAAAGACATTCGCCAGTTAAGGACATTTATTTCGACAAATTTATGAAGCCCAACAAATTGCTATTAATTTTCCGGTATTGTTTTTAGAGTAAATAAATAAGCTTGATGTTTGAGCAGGTCGTAAAGGTGGAGCACGTGAATGGGTGGGAGAGGGTGGAGTTCTTTGTGTGCAGGAAGTGGGTGGTTCTCGGAGGAGCTCGGTGGTTTTGGCCAGGTCTTGCGTGTTCCAGCCTCATTTCGACAGCGGCTGGCAACCTTCGCGGTGGCGTGACGAAACAATTTTATTTGTCCTGCCCTCGTAACGGTGGCCTGGCCTCTGAAAATGGAGGTGGATCCAAAGGCGGATCGAAAGGTGGTTCCAAAGGCGGTGGCAAAGGCGGATCCGGAGGTGGGCCCCCATTTGTGGCCTACTCCCCGTTCGTTTCATACTTTGCAGATGTGCTGTCGGAAATTATGATATTTGCATTTGCTCAAGTTGCTCCCCAGACCTTAATGCCGACTCGCGTTTACGACAACTCCAATTGAACAGACACGACCTCCGATTGTTATGGCTTCGGTTCCAGATTCGAGCAGCTAGCATGCGAGGCTTCAGTGGGACCACCTGTTGAACTCGGAATGGAACTACTCCCTCTTAAATCGCTATCAGAATTCGGATAAAATAATTTACTAATTTTCTAGTATTTATTAACCTTTAGCTTCAAGCACAAAAAATTGTTTTTATATTCCCCGTTTGAAGATAAAGATGCCGATAACATTGCTAACGGTACATTATAATTTTTTAATGTTTTTAAAGAATTATTGTTTTGTTGTTTCGAGTTATTCATATTTAGTTTCATTCAAATTATCGACTTTTTCAATTTGATTAAAAACTGTTCCTTGTACAAAGGACAATTGGGCAAATTTTGTTGATTTTGATTAGAATAAACTCATAATTTGGACTCAAATCCTTTAGGTTCTTCACCTACATTAAAAAACCTGCCGAAGGAACACATTAACACAGTTCAATAATTATTATCACTTACCTTGCCCTTTAATACGGCTCCGGTTTCTATTCTATAATTTAGGTTTTGTACTAAAAACACAAATAGAGAATGGAAATGCATGTTATTAAAAGGAGCCCTTTGGATGTTTGCATATTTTTATTATGGCCATGATGTGGACAACTAAAAAAGAAAATTTAAAATTATGCTCGATAAATAAGTTGTTCTACGTAAGATAAAGGGTTTATTTACTTACCTATAGGGAAAACTACCAAACAGTTTACAATAGGCCAAAAGTAGCTAAGAATTTTGCCAGCCAAAAACAAACCCTTGCCGCTCTGTTAAAATAAAATGTATTAAGTTGGATATTAAAAATAAATGGCTATCTAGCCATTGTATCGATCCTTACCATTTTGGCGCCAACCAACATGAAAATACCGGCCAATAGGTAAAGTATGCTGAATATACCATTACAACATCCGAAATAGTAAAAGACCTCTCCGGCGAGGCTTCCAAACATAAAAACAAAACCAACTACGAGGCCAATAGCACCCCATACGATGCACCATATCGAATAGAACTTGGCGCACCATTCGGGCGATTGGTCGCAGGACTGGCACATTGTGTAACCGATTTGAAACAATCTCTTTTGATTATATATGTAATGTAAACACTTTCTTAGCTGTACGTCTAGACGAGATGAAAGCCGAGTGGAACTGAGTGAAAGTCAATCTGAAGTCCATGAACTGGAAATGCAAGCTAACTAGATTCAAAAGATTTTACTTGATTATTCTGAGTCGTTTTATTTCGCAAGTGTTGTGTTGGCCAACCTATCCACTTGGCTCTAGCATAGGTACATGTACATGGGCTATAAATAATTTAAAGTATTCGCGGTCTCCCCGGACCCCTCCACCTACTGACCCCCAGTCCGCTGCACATTGTCGAAGGGAACTAGAATGCCGGGCGGTCCGCCGAATCGGCTATCTGTCCTTCGAGGTCCGGCGAATGATGGGCGATCCCCCTGCTCCGACTGCTGATGCTGCTGAACCGACTGGAAGGGACGCGGTTCCGAGTGCGACTGTGACTGCGATTGGGATGGAGATGGGGATTGGGATTGGGGCGACAGGACGCCAGTGGGCGCTCCAAAGCCACCATTGTAGCGACCCGGATTCACCGTGGGCTTCGCCTTGTTCGCCTTTACAATTTCGCTAAATTCGTGCGCATTGCCAGCCACATAGATGTCGGTGTTTTCCCGGCCATTCGATCCGGAGTTGGAGGCGGAACTGGTGGAACTGCTCGGCAGTGGCTTGAGTAAGCCCGCCGGTGCTCCGAATCCACCCGTGTATTTCCCATTGTTGCTAACTGGAGCCGCCGTCTCCGCTGGGAAAAAGAAACAAAAAAATTTAAAGGTTTATTACTGAGTTTTATTTGCTACACAAATTAAAGAAACCATTTGTTCCAAAGTAACTCTAACCGATTGACAAATACTTTATTTATCTTATTGGTAAAAGTAGGCTTGGTACTTAGCGTTACTGAAATTAAAAACAGATAAGCTTAGAACACACAAAAATCTACTCTGTGAAACCCAAGAAATTTTTGTATTTATCTTCTTCTTTGTAAATCAAAAATTTGAACATTTTTGGAAGTGCTCCGGCTTTTAACCAAGAAACAATGCTTGTTTGGTAGTTTTTTTCAGAGAGTGCTGAGTAATAAAGTAATAAATTTAGAAAATAACGCTTGTTTGAAATTTTTGTTAGGAGTGTGCTGAGTAATAAAGCAATAAAGTTGATGTAACATTAATTTTTGTTTTGATCTTCCCAAATTTTGTAAATCAAAAATTGAATATTTTTGGTGGTGTTCCGGCTTTTCAACCAAAAAACAATGCTTGTTTGGAATTTTTTTCAGAGTGTGCTGAGTAATAAAGCAATAAACTTGATGTAACAGTAATTTTTGGTTTGATCTTCCCAAATTTTGAAAATCAAAATTTTAATATTTCTGGTTGTGTTCCGGCTTTTCAACATAAAAACAATGCTTGTTTGAAAGTTATTTTCAGAGTGTGCTGAGTAATAAAGTAATAAATTTGAAGTAACAATAAAATGTATCGACTAAATTCGTTGACCAAATTCAATACTCACTCTTTCGCTGATTGCTGGCGACCGGCGTGCTGATGACCTTGCCCTCGTCGCTCTTCGTGTACTCGACCTTGCTGGGCGGGAAGGGTTCTCCACCCGCAGAATTTGGACTGCTGGCCTGTGGCTCGAAGCGCGCTGCAAAAGGCGTTAAAGAGTTGGTAGTGGGAACCGGGCCGCTAGCGGAACCGAAACTGGAACGGGAACCGAAACTGGAACCGGAACTGGAAGTGTCGTCCGATTGTTCAGAGCGCGGCACAAGGACCAGCGGTGGCTCCTCACTGCTGCTGATGCTACTGCTACTGCTGCTGCTGACTGGAAGCGGAAGCGTGACTTTGGATGGAAAAGCAGAGGGGGCGGACGGGACGGTAGGGGGGCGTGGTGGCGGATTGGTGGGGGAACGGGTGCTGCTGCTGGCCGCCGATGGACCAAAGTTATCCGGATCGAAGGGAACGCCGGGACCCACATCCGGATAGTCGAAGTCCCTCAGCCAAGCGGGAATCGTCGCCGAATCGAAGGGATTGCTGCCCGCGTCCAAGGAGCTCGCAGTGGTGCTCTTCGTTTCCTCCGACGGATTATCTGCATTTTGGATGGTGGTTGTGGTCAGTTTCACTGGCGGTGGTGGTTCTGGGTGCGCTTGGGTGGTGTGCGTGGGTGGTATGGGTGCTTTGGTGGTTCGCTGCGTGCTCGGACGTCGCGTGGTTGTTGTGGTTGTAGTTGTAGTTGTCGTTGTTCGTGGCGTTGTTGTTGTGGTTGTTCGTGGTGTAGTTGTTCTTGTGGTGGTAGGTGCTGCCGTGGTGGTTGTAGTAGTAGTAGTGGTGGTGCTGGTTGTTGTCGGCTTGCTGGTGGGCGGTGGCCTCAGCTGAATGTTGCCCAGATCCACAAAAGGCTCCAGTGGTGGCACCAAATCATTTGCTATAGTGTGGTTGTACTGATCGTTGTCGGCTGGCACCTCAAAGGTGACCGCAACATCCAAATCCGGATCGGTGACCTCCTGCAACCACGGAGGTAAGGTGTAGGCATAGGACTCCTCGTTATCTAGCTTATAGAATGTGCCGGGATCCTCGGTGGTGCTGGGTACTGGATTGGTGGTGCGTATCTCTGGTTTCGGTGTGGTGGTAGTTGTAGTGGTGGTTGTGGTAGTTGTAGGGGTTGTGGTTCTCCTGGTCGTAGTAGTAGTTGTGGCCCTCGTTGTGGTTGTAGTGGGTTGAGTGGTGGTGATCCTGGGTCTGGGAGTGGTGCTGCTCCTGGTGGTGCTGTAGTGCGCCGTTCCACGTTGTCGGTTGGGGAAGCGTCCTGGATTGCTGGTCGTAGTTCCCCCTACATGCGCATTGGTGCCATGATTGGCTGGTCCATCGTTGATTTGCTGCTCCTGCGGCTGTGGAGCCACTGGACTCACATTTCCACTGCTCAGACTAAACCGTATATTGTGGCTAATGGGATCCACGATGCCCTGAACCTTCTTCGCAGGCAACTGCTGCGCTTCTGTGATGATTGTGGGTTCCTGGGCAGTATCCTCACCGTGATGGACATCCTGATCCTTATGAGGTGGCAACAGATCCCAGGCAATTACACTCAAAGGGGCTCCATCTTCAGCTGGCTTCCATTCCACTGGACCACCGATATTGGGATCCTCGCGCTGCAACTCTTTGAGGTAATCGGGCAGCTCCGCCAGCTTGTCCTTCTCCGGGGAGGAAAGTGGCACCAGGTGCGCCTGCTCCACCTCCACATCCGCGCTGGTCGTCGTCTCGATGGTTGGTGGTGGATCATGGTGGGGCGGTGTTAGTGATGTGGCTGGAAGTGGTGCTGGTGCAGATGCTGATGCTGTGCCAGTGAATGAGTTCGGTTTCTGATCTTGGCTGGGTTCCAGGCCCACAGCGATGGCATCTGGTTGGAGAGGATTCGGATTCGGTGTTGAGTATTTCGAGCAATTCGCTTTGGCTAGGAAGGGGTTCAAGGAATAGGGACAGGGACTTTGACTTGGATTTAAACCTGAACTTGGATTTGGTTTGGGACTTGATTTGGGACTTGGTTCGGGACTTGGTTTGGGACTTGGTTTGGAACTTGTTTTGGGACTTGGACTGGGATGAGAACCAATTTGGATGAGGGGCGAGTCCTGGCCGTCAAAGGGATTCAGCTTGATCAGGGAAAAGGCGGGCGGGGCGTGGCGGTTACTGGGTGGTGCAATGGGAAACTGGCCGCCGATCGAATCGCGCTTGGCCAGCTTATTGTTAGTGGTGGTGGTGCTAATGGGTGCGGCTTGTGCGGTGCGGGTGCTAGTGCTAATTGAACTATTTCTACTACGACTACTGCTGGTGTGTGGTGCATTTTCTGTTTCTGTTTCTGTATGAGTTTCTGTTTCTGTTTTGTGTTTAGTTTCGTTCTTTGTCCTGGTTTCCGTTTCCGTTTCCGTTCTGGTGGTGGCACCGCTGGCAGCCGCTGCTCGCGTGGCTGATGTCAACTCACCAATGTGCGGCGGCAACAGATCGTCGGCCGGTCGGCGGATCTCCGTGATCCCCGAGGCGTACGTGGGTATCTCGAACTGGACGCCCTGGGCGCTAACCACCTTGCGACCGTCGGGCGTGTCGATGGGTCGCAAAGCGTCGATGGGGTTGCCATAGCTGTCGATGGCCTTTGGCCCGACGCCACCGCCCACGCCCCCTTGGGCGGGGTTGAAGGTCACGTCCGGCTGCAGCAGCGGCGGCTGCAGTTCGCGGGCGAAGGGCGACTCGCGCACATCTGTTGGAGGGCAGAGCAGAATGTGGTGGGTCTCGTTGTGGCAGCGGCGGCTTCTTTGCGAGCGTTGCAAAAGCGTTGCACATAAAGTGGCAAGTGGCGAGTGGAAGTAGCAAGTGGCAAGTGGAAGTAGCAAGTGGCAAGTGGAAGTAGCAAGTGGCAAGTGAAAGTGGGTGAATGGCAGCATGAGAGAGAAAATGAGAATGGAATGTGGCATCCCTAAAAACACCTTCAAGATTCGAATTAAAAACAAATCTTACTTTTCCTTTACTTACAATAAAAGTAATTTGAGAACTAACTAGAATTATCATGGTTTCAAAAGACTAAGAAAGCTACTCTGTATTTTTTGTCCAAATTTATTGGTAAATAATAGTTATGTTGGATTTTAAATAAAAAGAAACTGGTAGCTAAAACTTGATCAGAATATGAGTTCTTTATAACTGTTAATTATCTAGCTTAAGTAAATGAAAAATCAAATTATTTAGTGGTTATTTATACTTTGTTCTATTTGTTATATTTAACTTAGTGTCGGTATGGAAGGTTTAAGGTATTAAGGAGTAAGTGAACATTTTGAATAATCTTTTTAAATCTCTCAACTTTCTTTTCTATTTTAACTTTCTTAATCACTTACTAAAGAAAACATTTAACATTTTTTATCTAAAGGGCTAACTGAATTTGTATCTTAATTTTCTGTCAAGGAGCTTTTGCAGTGGCTGTGGCAGTGGTGCTGGAGGTTGGGTGACAGATGAGGCAGCTGTGGGCGGCTCTTGGGCAATTTGGCTGCCGCAGCGGCTGATTGATTGACATTGACTGAGATGGGCCATCCATTTGGTTTTTTTCGGGTGGCTGCTGCGGTTGTTGTGATGTGTGGCTGCTGTGCGGTGGTTACTGTTAGTTACACAAAGGTCCGCCACCAGATAAAATTCAATTTTAAAAGTTACCCAGGCAGGTTAGTCAATGCGCGAGTGTGTGTGTGTGTGCTTTTTGTGTGGGTGTGACAGGTGTGCAACCATCAAGTTCGTTGCCTAAGTCTTTCGTTTCGGCTGGCCATTGGAAGCGAGTAAAAGGGCTCGAAGGCGTACAGTGCGTTTCATATTGTCATATTATGATATTGTCATGATGACAGAATGAGTACTTATTATTAATAGTAACACACAGCGATAATTTGCTTAAGTGAGCAATAGCTTATTAAAAGCTCAAACCATTTTATTTGACACTCCCCTTTATTGAAAAAAAAACCCATAAATATTGGTGCAAAAAACCTAATAATATTGATACCCAAAACCTATCTGGGAGTACAAATTAATGTCCCCATGTTTTCATCCTATTAATTGATTTTCGATTTGGATATTTGCATAAATAACGAATTAAAGCCGCATTGACAACTCTATTTGTTTAAATGAACTTCAACCAACCTAATATTTTTGAAAACCTTGCATTATAGTCCCGAAACGCACTTTTCAATTAGTGGATGGGTTTTGTCAAACGAGGCACTCATTGTTCTGTCGCTGGGAGTCTGGGAATCGGGGAATCCAAGTGACAGGCCAACCAACAGCAGCTGCCTTTGACAGCAACAACAAGCGAATTAATGGCTAATGATTGCACTGACAACGATTTTGTTTTTTTCACTACGGGCATTGTGATTCGCTCGTGCCGAATGCGAATAATTAATAATAATTCACTTGGCTATCTAAAAAGATTCTCAGCCAGCTTCTGATTTTGCGATCAGCGCCTTGATTCCTGTTTACAGCGGAATAACTGAATAAATTGTACATCTATAATGTAGATATGAGATATTTTGTTATAAGGTTGGCGATGGGGAATTCTGGAAATGCGGTTTCTGCTCTGCGGTCAACTCAACTGGTATGTGACTAAGTGAGTTCGCGATGGGCGTTGCTTCAAATTTGCTATTTCCAGTCAAGTCAGTTCCGGCTGCTAAGCACATGTGCATATCTCTATTCTACGTTTAACAATCGAGATTAATTTGCATTTTGGGACGGGCTTAACAGCGAATCAGGAAGCCATGAACTTTCGCCTGCAACACGGCCTCTCTCGCAATAATATAGGTATATATTATTGTACGAATGTTAGAGAGATAGTGAAGATGACTTGCGTCACGGCTGACGGCCGAAAGTGTTTTTGGATAATACCGAAAACCATTGCGATTCCCCGCACTTCCGCCTCGAAATGCTGCCCAAGTTCAGGCCAATTAATTTTGCTTGTCTCCAACGCCATCTTCATCTTCATCGACATCGCCATCAACATCTCCATCTTCATAGCCATCTCCATACACCCCGCTGCTTGTGTTTATTGAATTTAATTTTTAATTGATTGACGGCTTCACGACATCTGCACCCACCTAAAGACAATGGGAATTTCTGTTGAAAACATTTTGCACTTGCCAATTTTACAGTTTGTTTACCATCTTGTTCATTTTTTGTTTTGGCATGTTTTTTATGCTTGGCCAACCTTCGCTGGAATCAGCGAAAAAAATGTAATGGATTTTTATTAATCTTCGTTTATATCATCTCTCAGGCCTTGGAGTTATCGACTTATTGGGCTGTTAACCCACACACAATCGACTAACGAAATGTGTCAAATCGCAAAAACAAAATTTCAACTTGTAAATTATACTTTTGCATTAAGCCAAAATGAAACAAAGCGTGTTTGTTGCACTTGAAATCGCCAAACAAAATATGATTTTATTATGATTGCCTCGGAAATGTCAAGGGGAAAGACCGAAGTCGAATCTGAAACCGAACTCACCCATAAATACTTAAATATTTATGGCTTAGAATGGATACAGAATGGGTTCTGGCTTTTGTCGGCTGCCTTTGAAAAATTCGCAATAGATTGGCAAATCCGATTTTTTTTGTTAATGTCGAAATCAAATTACCACTGCTCATGTGTCTACATATCTTTATCTATATCCATAACTGGTTGATATCCCATTGTGTTTTAATTACGTTAATCTGCGGCTGAATCATAAATCAAGCCACGCGAAAGTGAGGCACGATTCCCTATTTCAGATCCGTGCGAATTCGCTAATTATCACGTAGGGGTCCATTCATTACGATGGGTTCATTGATTGCCGAATAGTGAAAACGGTGACCGAAATGTAATTATTTCGAGCCAAAGAAATCCATTAAGCACCAATGATATTTCCATCACAGCTGCTTCAAATGAGCTCAGAGTTTATGGATTCGCTTTAATTGTTATTGGCCAATTAACTACGACCAGTTGGTCAGTGGGTTTTGCCCAAGTTTTCGAGGTGCTCCACAATTTTCTAATAGCTTTATTTTTGAAAAATCTTCTGCTATTTCTTTGTGGCTTCTTGTCGGTGGCCCCATGACCCAAAAACAAAAGAGCGCCACAACATTAGTCTCAAGTTGCTGTAAACAACTTAGTTAACAGATCGTCTTGACAAAAGCGTCGCTAAATTTATAGACTCCATGGATCCCCTCTAGGGAACTCATCCCAGAGGTCGTTTAACCCCTTCTTTAGCCCCCGAATGCCGAGAGGAAGACAGATCCACAAACGACTTTGTCGAAGCCTTGCCAGTCACGTTATCTTCGACTTACGTAACCCCCACTTTTGGCTTGGGTTTCGGTTTCTGTTTCTGTTTCAGCTTCGGATTGAGTTTGGGTTTTCTTTGGGGTCTCTTCACCAACGGCTCTTCTCGAATTTCATTTTTCCTACGGCTTTGCCTTTGGGAATCGCGCTGTTTGTTTGTTTGTTTTTGCAGCGGCTACTTCATTTCGCTTTCAACCCAAAAAACTTAATGATCGGCGCCCAGTTCTTCGGTTTGTTTGTCAAACAAAAACAGCTTAAGGCAGCAGTTATAAGGCTCTTGACTGCAATTAGCCTTCGCTGTTCAAGAGCCTTCAGGACAAGTCAGCAGACTGCACTCGAAAAATAAGTTATGTTAATAAAGATGCATCAATGAACACGGATAAGCCCTTCACAAAAAGCAGGCATTTAACTAGATAGCCTTCAGTAAAGAGTTACATATTTTAAGGAAACAAGGTAAAAACAAAGTGTCTTTTAAATATTTAAGAAATTAAAAACTACTCTGGTTATAGCCAAACCCTATACATTTATTTCTTGATTGTACCATCATTCTACAATCTTTTGTCTTAAAATGTACAAGTTCATTGAATATATTTAATTTCAAACCCACTGGTTTTTTCCGCCTGTTGGTGCCATTGTCATTAATCGTTAGCTGGGGGATAACGCTTGTCTCCCAACCGATGTGGGTCATGATCACGATCACGATCGAAGTTCACAGCGGGGTGAAAACTATTAAGTGCGCTGGTGACTTTTGGGTTTTCAAATGCAGGTGAGGTGAGTTTTAATGTGCATTACAGTGAGTTGATTGTACAATTGGAACATCTAACAGATATTGACAGACAGAGGGAGGGGAAGGGGGACTTGGGTTCAGAATATAACTTAGTAGGGTTCTGTAAAATCGTAAAATTAGTTACAGATAAAGTTAAGAGGAAGCTTTAAGTTGTGGATCCAGTGAACTTTCAAGTAAAGAACATTTCTAAATGGTAACGTGTCTGAAACTGGTTCGACAGGCATACAATTTATGACTAACATTTAATAAATCTATAATTTTTATCACAGCCATAAACTCGTAGCTTCCTCCAGAAAATACGCAATAAGCACACATAACATTTAAAACGTAAACCGCAAACAGAAATGGGTAAAGTAAGATAAAGACAAAGAAAGCGAAAAAGATCACTGATCCAGATATCGGATTCGCATGCTGGTGCAAATTAAATATGCGATACCGATAGCGCAATCGCAATTGCATTCGCCTTAGTTTATTTATTTATTGTTCATCTACGAATATATATGTATATATTTTTCTTTGATTTAATACCAGGCCTTCCAACGGCGAATTCGGCGCCGATGATCAGCAGCAGCATAACGGTAAAGCTAGCCACGCTGCCACCACATCGTGGCTTCGGATCGATCTGCATTATGTCGTGGGTGAGCTGGTGTTTCGTATTTATTATTGTTATTTTTTATTTTATTTTTTTTTGCTGGGATCTCCTTCTGAATTTGTCACGCAATTAACAATTTAGAATTGGGCATTGCCCAAAGGGGTTAAACAACAAGCCGGAATAATTATCGCGTAGGAGCCGCCGACTAACAATGATCGCGATGACAAAATCGCAGGCGACGCAATCGAAGCCGACAACTATAATGTGTAATATTTTCACCGCCTTTTCTCAATCGAATCTCAAAATCCGCGGCACGATATCACGATCACTTCGGTGTGCGAGCGAGACAGTGCTATTCACGGCGAGCGGGTGCGAGCGAGAGATCGTAGGTCGAAGTTGGGAGAAGATGCGCGATGCGCTCGAGCGAAACACGTCCGTAGCTCACGGATTCTGCGCTTTCAATAAACTTGGCCAAGAGCCGCTGCTCGGAGCTTGACTTGTCTGCGGCGGCGACGTTGACGTCTACTGCGACAGCGAAGCCGGCAGAGGCAGAGGGCCGGGTGTAAATGAGCGAAGGAAAATTTGAATTTTGATCGCAAGAAAATCCCACCTATGCAAAATACTCCCTCGCCTTTCTCCTCTCTTCTGATCTTGTTTCACTTATCTACTATCGACCGGGAAACTGGGCAAAATAATTGTTTTAATTGCCGCCTGGTGATCAGCATTTTTTTTTTTTTTTGCATACTGGTTTGTCGCCACAGTTTGACGCATTGCCAATGACGTTCAAGGTCAGTCGAGCAACCTGATCACATCCAGCTCTTAACCCCATGATCACCAATTTTGTTAGAATCATAACTATATTTAAATCTTACACAAAGCCAAAAGATACTAGCAAAATATGTATGTATATGTTTCGTGATTTCCAAAAAGGTATGTAGGTAAAGAAATAAATATAATGACTAAAAACAAAAATTCGAATCATTAGCCTTATTAATAACGGAATTTGATTAAAAGACATTAAAAATTTGATTTAAAATATAGCATACCAAATCATGGCAACAACCCATTTAGATTTTGCTTATAAAATCATCCCAAGGAATGAAGAATAGGAATAAATGGATATAATCAAGCTCACAACTATTCATATTTGGAGAACAAATATGTTCTACTTGCAGGTTTTTCTGATGATACATAAAAGTCACCCTACTTCATAGAGTGTTAATATTAACATTCAGCCAACAGACGTCTAACATTATGCCTATATTTCGAGTGATTTACAAGACAATAGGCTAAGCGGTTCCCAAATAGACACAACTTTCGCATAAATTAAACACACACTAAATGCAAATGCTTATTGAAAACGAACGTGCTCCGATCGGTTTGTTTATTTTGACAGGTTTGGCTTGATTTTCGAAAAGTATTATGCTAACAATTCATAAGTTATTCGTCCATATGTCACAGATTCGCAAGATCCTGTTCATCCGGCAAGTTCTTGTTCTCGACTCAATTCATAAATATTCGCCGATAGAAAGACTTTAAACGCGTTGTTGACATAAACATTATTCAGGCTTTTCTGTTTCTCTCATTGCATTGAGTTTTTGACTGGGCTGAGTCAGAACCCATCCATCAGACTTTTGAGAGATCAATAAAGATGCGTTGAGTTGATCTGCGGTGTCAGTGATCGATGAACTTTTGGCATTCAGACCGCCCGGCGATTAACACGACCGGTGATTAGATCATCTTGTCTCGTGATCAAATGGCACCAACATTTTTTGGTGCTTATAGAAATTCTTTTGAGATTTTGCATATAAAGAGTTTTAGTATAGTAATCCCCAATTTGTTTAATCACTAATGTCTCCTTTGGTGTCCTTGAATAGCCAACGCACTACGGTCTTCAAATTTAAATGCGTTAATGATCGCATTTGAAAGCCAACCATGACCATATCTTCAGATGCCTCTGGAATGTAATTATCATTTGGCTCGAGCAAAACTTTTATTTCGCGCCCATCACAAAAAATTATGTCAGCTTATTGGTTCCGCATTTGAGCATTTGTACCGGCATTTGGCTTTTGACGATCAAAGAGCCAGTTTCCTTGCCTCATGATGGTCCACCAAAGGGTGCGCCGAAAAGGGGTAAACAAATATTAAATATGAAATGGAAAAAAGCTTACTAATGTGATCACACATTTAAAAACATAAAAAAGATAATACATTTTTTAGTATTTCATTTTCATGAAAATAATTTAACTTTCTTAGAACTATAAAAATATTTTCATGGTTCTGGAAACAAAAACATTTTTAATACTCATAAATTATTAAAAAGTAAGTAAAATAAGTTTGTTAATTTTATTCTTTTCAACACTAATACGGATTAGAATAACATTTCTTCTGGACAAGCTTATTATTCTTCTTGATCTGTTGCTGGTATCGAGTTTCGTTTGTTGTTGACTTAAAATACATCACCTATGGAACTGTCTTCTTAAGATTGACCCCTTTTTAGGCCATGCCCCTGGAGACAACGGCGTTGTCAATGATTGCCCAGTTGGCTGGGGCATCGGCGTCGGGAATCACGGCTGTTATTATTGTTACAATTACAACAAAGCTATTGCCAAATGGACCGCGATCCCGGCAAATGGCCAACGGTAGCCAACCCGGGGGCCTTTGTGGATCTCGACTTGAGCACCTCCGCCCATAAATCAAATCGCTTAGGGACGCACAAAGGGGGCCAAACTGAGACAATGCCCATCAATGGGCGGCTGGCGTCGAAGAAGTAATCAAAATTGTATTACGAAAACAAACGTTTTTATACATTTCAGCCCGCTTCTTTTCGTTTCGTTTCGTTTCGTTTTGTTTGGATTTCTTTTTGGCCGCAACAATGGCAACACGCTGGCATCTTGGAAACTGCAAAGTCAGCTAAAAGCAACAACAATGCGCGACACATATTATTTACTTTAATAGAGTCGGCTCAGTTGGGAAATGTCGCCGCGACCCTTCACCCAAAGCGCCTTATTAATTGTTTATCGTCATTAATGTCACACAACAAACTTCAACGGTTTTTCTCCATGCGAAATCCCACTTACGGTTCGAATTGGGGAAGCCCTGCATAATAAACATGCAGATTTCAAATTTAAATGTTATGCCTTTGTCGTTTTTTTTTTTGCAACTTCACACGATACAATAAACATTTTTTTTAAAAGCCAAACTCTTTTCGTTGGATAAAGAGCTTGTGCTATAGTTCAGAGTTTTAAAATATATTGTTAAAAATCGAAGCTTTAGCTATTTTAAGACTAGACATATGAAGTAAATATCAAATGGTTCTGCTAGGTTCTGCTAGAAGTATAATACTATTACAAAGTTTACGACAGTTGCCTGTATCTACCTATAAAAATATATTTTTAATGTGTATACGAGTATATTCTTAATCTTTTTAGAAACATGATTCCCAAAAGACAATAAACATACAAACAACTGTTTAACAAACATTTGTATTTCAGGTTTGTAATATTTTATTTAAAATTCGGCTTGTACATTATTTATACTCAAAGTCCATCCCAAAAAACTGTAAACAACAAACCAAACATGTCTGTCTTACAATTATTGCTTGCCAAATTTGTTGTGTTATTATCGATTTTGCAACCAGTTTTGTATCAATAAAATTCAATAAAATGCAATTTGCTGAATGCAGCCCACATGGAAAACATATTTTTGAAAAACAACACGCCGAAAACAGCTGAAAAGTCAAACGATTCGGCGGTTGCGACCAGTTTGCATTTTGAATGCTGAACCAGTTGGTTCGCGACGACAACAGCGACGCATCTTCTGTAAAAACAACAACATTTTTATTGCAAAAATATTGAAAAATGCGTTGACAACAACAGCAACATGCCATACACAAACATAAAATCGGTTTTGTTGGTCACCGTGACCTTAACACAAATTTTGATTTTAGTATTATATCAACTGGCTACGTGCATCGGGGTTTTATCTGGTTCCCCCAAGTCGGGATGGTCTTTCATTAATAAAATTCCCTGACGGTCGAGAGATCTAAATGAGTCATCCTTGGCCACTGAATATATGACGGTTCATTGAAACAAAACCCGAAAATACCCAAGCACAATAACAAGACAATAACAAGGGGAGATAGGAAAGATCCAAACGAAATCAATTAATATTCTGTCGAGTTGACGGTTTCTCTCAGAGCTGTTGCTAATTTGCGTGGGGTTTTTTCTGGTTCTCATAATCGAGCGTTCACACATAAGCTTTGATTCGAGAAGAAAGTCAAGAATAACCAGAACAGGTTTAAGTAGCTTACCGTAGCTCTTTGAAAAATCTTAGATTTGACCTTTTTGATTGGCTTGACGAGCATTTTTGTAGGTATTAATGGTCTCAGTTTGATTTGCTCATAGATATAAAAGCTTAATTAATTTTTGATTTATGTGGAAACCGTTACGGATGGTAAATTTACATCAGTTTTGACCACTGTACTTTAAGAGTGGCCATGTAGTATTAAGAATTTAAAAAGTGTTGCCTATCGATAACTTACGGTCGAGAGTGCTTTTAAAGCTTATAAAAATAAATGATATTTATAACAACGATTATGATCAGACTTTTAAAGTTAAAGATCAATATCGCAAAAAGCAAATATAAAAATTTAAGTTACTTTTTACAAAGTTTAAATTAGTTGTTGGTATTTTTTCTTTGTTTACATGGGGCGGTCACACTTTGGGGCAGATTTTTTTACTCATTTCCAACGGCTCACGGAAAACCATAACAAAAGGTCAGGATCCACAACCAAATGAGCTCCCTGTTCCGCAGCCTTAATCACTTTTCATCCAAACGTGAAAATGTCGTGAAGGAGGCGCTGATAAATACTCTAAACGAAAATGCCCGCGAGATAGAGTTCGAGGTGAAGCAGAAGAGTTTGGGTAAGTTGTGGGTACTCCCCGGAAATTGATATTGATTGGAATTGCGTCTTGTTTTCAGAGGTCCTGGGATTGTGTGAGCAGACTAGTGCCTTATGTACCACTTTGGAGGCCCTGTTTCTGCACGGGTTGAAGGACTCCTTCCTCTCTGCCACCTTCAATGTCATCGCTGGCGACGTGGAGCGTAGGCCAGATCCCAGCTTCTGGTCACCTTGCATGGTCTTCATGCACAAGCAGGTGATCGAGCAGATTCAGGGCCTCAGTCAGATCACCTCGGAGATTGGACAGTGTCGCGCCTGGGTGCGCCAATCCTTGAATGAGTCCGTTTTCTCCTCCTACCTGAACAACATGCGGAAGAATGGATCCGCTCTGTCCCAGTACTACAAGCGTAACGCCCTGGTCAGGGACTCCGAGGGTCTGGAGACTGCGGCCAAGATTATGGAGAGCCTGGAGGCATATGTTCAGTTTGATCTGCCCGTGAACTCTAGTCTGCTGAACAACTGGCCCGACTACTCACTGCAGCTTTCTGATCTTTGGACACCAGCACTAAAGTCCTGTCCGGTATGGATCTTTAAAGGGAATTTATATATATTAATTTCTCATAACATGAGCTATCATTATACTAATTATATATTATCTGCTTCCCTTGTAGATTAGTAGCGGTGTGGACATAGCCAGCTCTCTTGGTTCTGATATTATCGTCATACCAACGCCCCAGCCCCTACAAACCAACGAACTTTTTTCGGAGTCCATTTCGAATAGCCCCTTTAGCCGGAGCGGCAACTTCGGAGTGCCTGATCTCAGCCACCGCGAAAACTTGGATTTGTTGATACAAAAGATTGATGAGATGGATGTGATAGACGAGGAGCAGACATCAGGTGATGCTGCGAAAGGAAGTGAAGCTGAAGAATCGGAAGCTCCATCGGGTAGTAAGCCTAGGACCCACAAAAAATCTAATCGTCAAATGGAGCACTCCTTCGCCGAACTAGATCTTGAGGCACCCAGCCTTCTCCCTCAAGGAAGCAACTCACTATCCAATCTGATGCAGACCTCTTGGTCTGGTGACCTGGAAACAACACCTACTTCACCCACCGAGGACCTGACGGGATCAAGGTTTCTCCAGCGATCTGTAAGCGTCAGTAGCGCCGTTAGTCTGCGTTCCCCCAATACAGACAGGTGTAGCTACAATGCCCTGCTGCGAAAGCACGAAAGCAACCGCGAAAGTGGAGCCGGATGGTCAGAGATCTGGGAGAAGTTCCGGGCCAGTGCATCCAACCTGAATGTGGCTCAACCGCAACGGGAAAGCGATCCGCCTATTTCGGAAGACCTGAGTGATTTGCAGTCGCTGGATGTAAGTAAAGCAGCTGTTTAAAACAAAAACTTTTTACTACTACTTTTTTTCTGTATAGACCAACTCAGAATTCGAGCTGCTAACTTCCGAATTCGACATGGTCGAGCTGCAGCAAATGGTAGCGCAGCTATGCCAACTAGCACGCGAACCAGGACTTAATGTGCAGGGATTCCTTTGTAAGAGCTGCCAGCATCCTTTGGGGATTGGCTACTCTAACTTTCAGTGAGTACTAAGCTTGTTTTTCTTAAGATCTGTTATTGATTTTCCTTTTCTTTAAGGGTTTGTGCCTTTAGTGGCAGTTACTACTGCAACAGCTGCATGGATGTAGAGATACAACTGATACCCGCTCGTATTATCTACAACTGGGATTTCCGGAAATACAGTGTCAGCAAGCGGGCAGCCACCTTTCTGGCCGAGTTCCGATCACATCCTTTTCTGGACATGCAGCTACTAAATCCCAGGATATATTATGCCTCTGATGCCATGGCTGAGTTGCAATCCTTGCGTATCAGACTGAACTTTATACGGGCTTACTTGTACACCTGCGCTCCGAGCAGCATAGAACTTCTGCAGAATCAATTTTCGGGCAGGGAGTACCTGTACGAACATATTCATCTGTATTCCATAGCGGATTTGGCTTTAATTCAGCGTGGAGTGCTCTGCCAACAGCTGCAGAAAGCTTTCAAGCTGGGCGAAGCCCATGTGCTTAAATGCAAACTGTGCCAGTTCAAAGGATTTATATGTGAGGTCTGTCAGAGTCCGAGAGTCCTTTATCCTTTTCACATCAGCACTACCTTTAGGGTAAGTAATCTTAAAATAATTTTTTTGTATGATTTAAATTGATTTCCATTTCCATTTTAGTGCCTGACCTGTGGAGCTGTTTTTCATGCAGAGTGCCTCAATGAGAAGCAACCTTGTCCGAAATGTGAGCGTAAACGAAAACGCGATGATCAGGGCCTCCATGATGCGGTGCAATGTCTCAAGCAGAAGAATGAGGTCGCTTAAGAGCAGCCATATTTAGTATTTAACTTCAACAAGTGCGATTTGTTTTATATGTAATCAAAAAAAGGCTTTACTTTACATTTATACTAGGATTAAGATCTTGATTGTTATGGCTTAACAGCATTTACACTTACTCAAATATAAAGCTTACTCCACAGCTTTGTTTAAACGTTACCAGTTTTGTTGAACCAACGAAAAACACATGTTGCTCAATTTTTGAATGACTTCGTAATTTTATTTATAACTGCAATGATTTTGATTTGGAATAAAATGTAATGCAATTGCTGAATAATACCTCTAATGACACCAAGTCCAACAACAATGATTGAATTTAATAATAAGAATAATAATATTAATGTGTATTATGTTCACTTGCAATAGTTATAGTCCAAAAAGGAGTTTAACAAACGTTTACCAAACCACAGATGATAGATAAATACCTTAATACTCTGGAGATTATCACACAAACTCTCGTATTGCACATTGAACTAAAGATAATTGAAATGGAATGCGGCGAGTTTCGTTGAAATGCTCTCGGTTGTGCTTCAGTATTGCATTGTTAACATTTTTCTCTTTGTGTGTGTATTGCTCTAGGGGATTAAGTCGTACAATAATCGATTCTAAATATCGTATATAATTACATTAATTAATTGTTGCTGTTGGGTTTTAACATGTTCAGTCTAGTAAGATATTTATGCAAAGAGGCGAGCTCCTAAATGTACATACAATTTTTAACACCCGCATATAAAAGGTATAGATGCCGTTTGATAATTTCACTAACTTCGTGCTAGTTCTATATACAGTTTTTTGAGTGGGTTTACATTTTTTCAGCTTTAACTATTAATGTGCAGCCCGGGGAAGACGCCAACGAATTTTTTACGGGAATTTTTGTAGATTTTTACTTAAGCTCTCCTTGCTTTCAGTGTGCTATTGTGTTCGGTTTATTTTAGGCGCTTTCCATTGACATTTTGAACATTTGCCTGTGGCACATAACACTTCCTCCCACACAAAACAACAACGAAGCCACAAGCACACTCCACACGCACACCTATTTACAAATCAAACACTAAGCTGCATCCATTATCTTCCCTCAAGATGACCGGTTCAATAGACGGTGGAGTTCCTGGGCCCAATCCCCGCCGGCTGCGACTGTGGTCGTATGCTGGTGGAGCCACCGGAACCACCTGCTGCTCCGCCGTAAAGGAAGCTCGACTGCCGGATGACTGACACCGTGGCGGCTGCCACGCCCGCTTGAGGCGGTGGTGCTGGTGCCCGGTGTTTCTTCAGTGGTGCATACGCTGGCTTCAAAACTGGAGCTGCTCCTCCTGATCCACCAGGATTGGGAGTGGGATTCGGGGTCGTATTATTATTGCTGGCCACCGAGCTGTTGTTGTTGTTCACATTGCTGTTTCCGGGTGCTGTTGGCGGGAGATTCGAAGGAGCGGGAGAAAGAGAGATATGTACAAACATGGATAGATAGATAGGATAGCTGAGATCGATCAAGGTGGTAAGCTAAGTCGAAGGAAACTTTTCTAGTCGAGTTTTTACAAGCGATTTGTAGCGAAAACGAATTACAAATGGGAAGAAGTAACGACTATGTGCAGAATGCAGAAGAAAATAGACAAAATTGAACAATGAAAAAAGAAAATATTAAGAAAGTAAAACAAACCAAGCTGAAAAAACTTTAAAATCATCAAATAATATTCGTATAAATGGAGAATCAATCCAACCAAACAACGAGGGAGGATATTTTCCTGGAAGAATATTATTTATTTGGACGGACAAATGATATCGAACCAATAACCAAACACGAAGAGATCCTCCTCCGAACCAGCCCATAAGATGGGACAAAATTAAAACACAAAATGAAACAAATGAAATATGTTCATATATCCAAATGAGTTTTGGTTTATTGTTTCTTCAAAAGATAACTTCAAAACTAAAACAAATACTCGTTATGTGCCTGTTGCATACTAAAAATTAAATATTCATCGGGTATAATATGCGTGTATATATAGAGATGTTCGTAGGTACATAATATAAAAAATGATAGCCGGGAATACAAGTAAAAGCATGCGCTACATGTAAAAGTAATGTATATGGGGGCGCAGGGTATTACAATGCAATATGGATGGGCTTCTGTTTACACGTACATATAAAATATATATTAGATTAGTTAAAATATAACTATGCGTAATCATATAATGTGTGCTTAGTTGTAATATCGCGAAGGGGAAAGCTTCCCTTTTGAAATTTAACAAAGTATAACATTAAAATGTATCAATATATAATGTTTGGATAAAGCTATTCAACTTTAGTATTATGCAATATACAAAATAACACTCTTCCGCTCTAACAGTAAAATAAACAACAATAATCGAAAGGATTCCTAAGATCTGCGGGTTTAACACATGCCTGTGCTGTATTGGATTGCAATCTGGGCTTCCCTCTTGCAAACAATAATATTCTATAATAGTAGTAATACACTTTTAAAATTATAATTATTTAGAGATAAGAATCGTTGTATCGTTCGAAACTAAAATGCCAGAGCGTGTGCCTTAAGAAACAATTAATTATATAACAGCATTCCAAATGTGTGTGTGTGTAGTGTGTGGTGTGTATATAACAATACTCGCAGTTACATATGCTTCTAAATGTTTATGTACTAAATTTAAAACACTCACAGAACAAACACATTCGCTCACACACTCGACTACATACCGTTGGTGGCCTTAAACGTGCGACTAGGATAGACTTTTTGTATATTTAGAAACGGCGGCGGCTTTGGGAACTCGGTGACGTTGTGGAATCGCTTGCCAAACTTGGTCTCCAAATCGTTGACCAGGCGACCCACGCTGGCCGCAGTTCCAGCATTCGATCCCGACGACAATCCCGAGCTGCTGCCAAACTGAAGCGATGAGTTCGCCATGTGCGTGGGTGGCGTCGATGGGGCGTTGGGCCGTATGGAGGAGTGACGCTGCGGCGGAACTGGCGCTGATCCCGATGCGGAACCACCCTGCAAGAGAAGATTATATGTTAATTACGTATCACAATTTGTTTTTATGACTATATAGCCAGTAGTTACGTTGCGCTTGCTGTTTAGCATCAGCATTTTGATAACCTTGAATGGCAGCCCACCGTGCTTCTTTTTGCGTTCTAGGATTGTCTGCCTTAACAAGCACAGCTTCTGGCGCATCCAGCGCCTCACTCGGTCCTGCTGGAGGAGCACATGAATGGAGGCCACTGGGCCACAAGATTCGCTTAGGGCAATGGGTTGTGTGCAAAACAACTGTGTTTTGGTCACGTCTCGTCTTGGAAAATCAATCCACCGCGCTCAACGCGAAAATAGGTGAGTTATAAACGGAACACTCGCACGGACTGATTTGGACAGGCGATGCGCAGCCAGGAGCGCTCACAAACAGGTGGAGCGCAGGCGCTGGGAGAATCCCAATCGAATGGAGAAATATGGGGTGGAAAAGGTGGCTGCCAAGAAATCAGGCAACAAATGCACTGCGCAAAGCTGGATGGTAGGTTTAGGATAGGTCCGGAGGAAACCAATTTAACAATATTACCCATACCTATGATATCTATTATATTATTAAACTAAGAGCAAACTATTGATCTTTTCATTAGGGGTATGCCTGTTTCTGAATCTGCAATTCAATATTTACCACCGCTGTATTAATAAAGCAACTTAGCATCATTTGTTCACCCTTATAATCTTAAAATAGTAGACCCAAAATAACAAACTCTGACTCTCTTCTCATCTCTCCCCATGAAAAACTCCCAAGGTAACCAAACCAAACTGTCCATTAAAGTTCACCCCTGGCATTTGGGCCAACCTGTTGTCATTGTTGCCATTGTTATTGGCGTCCGTTGGCTACTCACATTGCTCGACTGTCGCTGCGGTGGAGGCGGAGGTGGGCAGCTGCGATGCGGTGGCGGCGCTGGCGGATTGAGAGGACCTCCATTTAGGATAATCGGTTTGACATTGTCGCGCAGCATCGATTTGGGACTGGCGGTGGCCGAGGATGAGTTGGAGGTGGGAGCGGGCGTCGGTGGCAGGGGAGGCGATGGTGCCCCATTGGACATTCCAGCGCCCCCACGGAACTGGTCACGCAGCGCGGCCACGCTGTTGCTGCTGCTGGACGAGGAGGGCGGCTGGGTGACCGGTGGCGAGGGAGCCTGTGTGGTGGTGGCCGAGCTCTGGATCAAGGCCGTGTTCACCGCACTAAAAGGCGACGATCCGCCAATGTTGTTCAGGTTGCTGTTGGAGAAACTGCGAGCCGGCGTGGGCGGTGGCGGTGGTTTAACCGATGGGCGGGCTGAAAATAATGAAATCAATAATTAAAACAAGGTATTTAAATGCTATGAATATTTGTAAACAAACAATACTTCACAAAATAATGAGTATAAGAGTTTACTATCAAACATGAAATTACCAAGGAAAGGACTCTTACACTTTGGCGGGTTGGGGGCACATCGCATGCTGCCTGCGCTGGTGTTGTGTCCGCTGGATTCGCTGCCATGGAACTGCAGTGGACCACGCAGGGTGCCCAAGTGCTGCTGGGTGGGGAACACCGGACCATTCACACTGCCCACCGCTGGCGGAGATCTGTGGGTAGATGGCAAAAGATTAGTTAACTTGAAATTCAAATTCTTAAACAAGCTTAATTGCGAGGTAAAGTGGGAAAGCATAAGCGTAAGGCAAACCCCGAGAACGAGTTTGATTGATGAAAGCAGATGAGCTGGAGCTGCGGTGCTGGGTTATGGGTTACTGAAGCATGTAGCTGAATCTGGATCGGTATACCTGGGCGACTTCATGCTGTGGTGCCTGGTCACCGCCGGACGCTGCTGTCCGTTGGCCAGCGCCAGTTGATTGAGGCCCGGTGGCTTCGGCGCGAAATTCGGCTTGCCAAAGCTGATGGCCGGTTTCATCTGTTGCTGCAACGCCAACGGTGTGGCCGTTACCGAGGGCGTACTGTCAGCCGTCGAGGGCGGCGAGGACTTCTGCACGGACGCATAACCACCACCAGAAACTGAACCGGAACTAGAACCACCGCCGCTGCCACCAAACAGTGTCGATTTATTGGGCGCCAGATTGCGCATCGATCCCGACGAGGACGTTTGGCTGGAGTTCAGCGACGTGGTCGAGGCACTCGTCGTTGATTTTGAACTATTTACAAAACTATTGCCTAACGAGATACTGTGGGTGGTGGGTATGAATACAGTTCGTGTGTGTGTGTGTTTGGTGTGCGAGGATAACCACAAAGTTCCGTCAAAGTAAACCGAAAATAAAGAAGAAAATCAAGAGAATTTTTAACGAATAATTTACAAATGAAAAACCAAAACTCCACCAAACAAAAAGGTGGGCATTGATAGATGAAGGGTCTCTACAACTTTAATGGAATATGTTTCATTATATGCAATACGAAACTGTTGCTTTTAAACAAGTATAACTTATAAAGTTCCATAAATAAAGAAACACAAAATCACTTTTCAAAGCCATATTCCATTAAAACTGTAGAGTGAATACCCACTAACCAGAACCCAATCATTCGCTCGTGGCTGAAAGATGGCACTTACTTGAGGTTGGCCGCCTTGCTCTTGACGCTTCCGCCTCCACTCCCGCTGCTGTTGCTGCCGCTGTCCGAAAGCGTGGGCGATGCCGCTTTGACACCCGAACTGGCGGTGAAAGAGGGGGTTGGCGCTGTGCGGGGGATGTTCATGCGCTCCAAGATCGAATCACTTGAGTTGACTGGCTGCGATGGCACAGAAACGTAGATTAACAATAGTTGGATTAGTTCCGTTGACAATGGGATTGTGTGCGACACTTTCTGTTCCACTGTTTTACTTAAATAGATACAACCGTGGTTATTTGCCTTTCAAAAGCTCAACAAATTTGCTTTAATGACTAATCTCCGTTTTAAATAATTTCTTCTAATGATAAAAGGTTCAGACACTTTGAAATCTCGCATCTAATTAAACAGCATGTCTAGACAGCATTCTTAGCAAAAGTCACTTAAAGGTTAGCTAGTAGCATGATTTAAGTAGCTATAAATTTGTTTGAATGGCCTTTCAGTAGATGCAAATCCTATGGAAACATTGTATAAGGAACGAAGTTCAAACATCGTTAAAAACTACGTATCTAAATCTTTTCCAATAATTATTTAAAGCAAACCCCCACTTCTTAATTTCCTTGCTTCTTTTCGAAGTACTATCTTTGGCAACCTTTCTCCCCACAATTCTATTAATAGCGAATCCCATCCATCTTTCTCGCCATGGGTCCACCTTCCCAGCGCTGTTCCTCACCTTTGGCGGTTGCGGTGGTGGTCCCCTATTTGTTCTCAGATTCGCTTCTGTTGCATTTATATGCGAGTTGTTTGTCGACGGCTGTGACTGTGGCTGTTGTTGTTGCTGTTGCTGCTGCTGCTGTTTTTGGCGCTTCAACGTTAAGTGCTTGGTGAGCTCCGTGTTGAAGTCCATGGGTCCGTTGCTGGCGTTCGAGGCGGTCGCCGCGGCTGGGGGGCTATTGCTTCGCTGCTGGGCCGTTGAGTTCGATGTGGATTTCGATGTTGCTGTTGTTGCTGCTGCTGCTGAACCGGCGGATGGCGTTGCTGCGTGGGCGGAAAACGGAAATCGGTTAGGCAACGATATTCATCAGAATACAAAATGTAGTAAACGTACCGCGAATGCCGTTCACGGGCTTCAGTTTCGGCATTTGCGATAGGCCTTCGAACAGGCCTCCCAATTTGGCGGCTCCATTGCCAAGGCCATTGCTGCTGCTGTTGTTGTGGTTGCTTGTGCTCGTATTATTGTTGAGGGCCCTCTTGGCGCCAACTCCCCCGCCGCCGTCTCCTCCGCACACCTTGCCACTTAGCGCCGGTCCGCTCTTGTCCACCGTGGTGGTCTTCTTCAGCTTCGTTCCCTTCTGGATCGAGCTGAGCAGGGCAGATCGGGCGTCCGCTCCGCCTCCTCCTCCGCCGCCCAACTTGAGGCCACCCATCGCCGGAGGCGGCGGAGGTCCTGGCGGCGGTGGCGGTCCCGGTGGTGGCGGTATAGCCATCTGAAATGAAAGAACAACACATTATTTAAATTGTGTAAAATTATAAAAGGTTCATAAAGAACTATCTCTACAAAAATGTTTTATTTTTAAGCACTCAAGCTTAAATTTGGGGAACAACAATGTAGATTTATAAATATTTTATGAACTCCAACTGATATAAATTAAAAGACAAGAATATATTCGACATAAAGCTAACTTTGTTAAGTACTTTTTGTTTGGAACTTCGTTTCAATCTCATTTTTGTGATGGGTGGATAGGAATATTCCGGCTATGAGAAAATCACTTTGAGAAATTCACAGCGTCTGCCTCTGCGGAGCTTTGGCTTAAGACTGGCTTGGCGTTGATCGAGCGACTTAAAATCCGAGACCGCTGTCACCACCCACACACCGTAACACTCACACATGCTGGGTGTTTATAATACAATTTCTATACTTATTATTTATGTCTTGTTTTCTGTTGTTTTCAGATTGACGACTCGATAAAGAGACCAAAAGATGTGGAGGCACCGAAGCCTGAAATTCTCTAGTTTGAACTATTTGTTAAAAGTGCCTAACATTAACAACTCATAAATTGTGTTATTATCTTTACATCTTTAAATTGATATATTTAATAAATAATTTGTTTAACAAGAATATAAATGATTTTAGAAGAAAACTTGTTTAATACTTGTAAAAGTTTTAAAGTGGACAATGACAATTATAAGTTAGTTTAAAAACTTAACTCCGTTGAAAGAGTTATGTAACACATAAAATTACACACAAATTTTGAATGGCTTAATTCCTCTTAAATAATATCAATAAAAGTGTTCATATTTATTATACCCCTATGTAAACATATCAAACCTAAATAAGAAATTTCAAGCTCAAACAGCGCGTAAAACGATACAGTTTTAAATGAACTGGGACACAGCCCACTTAAAAAAAGCAGACAATCCCACGTGATCCGAGATCTTAAAATATGTGTATGTATTGCCTTTGTTTTGAATGCTTAAATTTCTTTAGCTACCTTTCAAAATCACATTAAATTCGCAGAAAGAATTCGGTGAATGGAAGTAAAAAGCTTTAAATAATTATCAAGAAATCATAATCAAGTGATTGAAAGGCAACTGATTAGAAACGGCACGTAAACAAAGCCAATTTCTGTTGCCCTTTGTTTGCAATAAAATGTTTAGCAAATTATAAATTTCATTAGATTCTAATCGGTTCGCTAACAAAATGAAGTTCTCTGGCTTGCAATTTTTTCCTATAAGCGTGACTATTTATTTGATTATTTTCATCCAGGCAGAGGTAAGTGAACCTTAAATAAAAACTAAAACTTAAGTGGAAATAAAATAAACAAAACTCTTGACAGACGCTGAATGTAATTGAAGACTTGGAGACAATATTTCAACTGTCCGAAAATGTACTTTTACGGTAAGTTATGGAGTAAAAAACTAAATAACATTTAAATCATAGTATTCTGCAGTTTGAGGGAGGAACTTTGGCAAAAAGAAAATAAAATAGGCTTAAATACCTCCTCTGTTAAGATATATCCCACTTCCTGTCTGAATTCAGATATTAATGAAAATGGATTGTTTACTCTGAAAGTTCCGGGCTTGGATTCATTCCAAGTTTTCTGCGAAAATAAAATAGCTGGTCCCGGATGGATTGTTATCCAAAAAAGGTTTAGTGGAAACGTCAGCTTCTTTCGCAATTGGGAAGAGTACAAGGATGGATTTGGAGATCTAATGGGAGAGTATTTCTTAGGTCTTGAAAAGATCCGTGCTTTGACTGCTTTGGAGCCGCACGAATTATACATCCACCTAGAGGATTTTGATGACACAGTAAAATACGCCAAGTTCGATGAATTTGCAATTGGTAATGAGGAAGATGACTACGCGATGAATGCACTGGGAAAATATTCCGGTACTGCGGGGGATTCCCTTCGATCGCACCGAAGAATGAAGTTTTCCACCTACGATCGGGATAACGATCGTGAATTTAATAGAAATTGTGCGTTTTACTATTTGGGAGGATGGTGGTACAACGCATGTTTGGATAGGTGAGTTGATCAACATATTAAAATCTAATAAAGTATATAACATAAATAATATTTCTGATGATTTTAGCAACCTCAATGGGCAATATGTGCCGGGTGGAAAATACGAGGAGAGTTTCTTCGCTAGAGGCATGTGCTGGCGATCTTGGCGTGGCCACAACTATGGATACAGAGTCACCCAAATGATGATAAGACCCAAGTGCCGAAATATACCTGTGATTCACCACTGACTTCCCAAGAGGCGGTTTCAAATATATTATTGTTATTTGCCGTTCCCTTCCTTTGGTTTATTGACATTAAGATCGACGTGAAAACAATTTGTTAAGTACTTCATTAATATGCAAAGGTGTTGCCATTGAATCACCACATTTTTGCTGAGAACATCAATCAGAAATGCAAAATATACTATAATCCTCATTGAAATCGTATAGTTTTCTAGACTTCCTGTTAGACTATTTCTCAAGGGAATTGCATTTTCAATGCAATTGATAAGAAAAAATGTGTTATAGAAATTAATTTCTGAGAAGATTTATAAAATCTTTATAATCTAGATTGGCATGAGCAGCGCACGGATCAAGATCATGAAGTTTTATATGATGTGTGTTTTATTATTCAGCTGTGGCAGCATTTTTTCCAATGGACAAAACAATAAATTGGAAGTTGTCTACGACAAAGCCGAAAGAATGGTTTCAAGGTTGGTATACAAAATAATTTTAAAGCTTTCTTAACTTTTTTAATAATTACAGTTTTAAAATGCAGCTGGAAGAACTAAAACAGAGCTACAAGGAGATGTCACCATCAAAAGAACATCACGGTGGTAAGTGTAAAAGTTTCACATATGTTTTCCAATGAGAAATTCATTAAGTGGAATGGGAAGAATACGCTGTAACTATTAAGGATCTTGTTCATCCTGTAAATCTTTTTCTATTACAGATGTTCTTAATCCTTCATCTTGTCTGGCTGCTGGCATTAATACGAATGGCGTGCATGTTATAGAAGTGCCCGGAATAAAGCCTTTTTCTGTATTTTGTGACACTCGACTGGCGGGATCGGGATGGACTGTTATCCAAAGACGTCAAGATGGGGGTGAAAACTTTTATCGCAGTTGGGAGGAGTACAGCCAGGGATTCGGAAAGCTCACTGGAGAATTCTTTTTGGGACTGGAGAAAATTCACTTTCTAACTGCTGCGGAACCCTACGAACTATATGTTTACATCGAGGACTTTTATGGAGATTCACGAGAGGCTCAATACGATGACTTTGCCATCGGCAACGCATCCGAGTCCTATTCACTGAAACTTTTGGGAAAATACTCCGGAGATGCCGGCGATTCCTTGAAATACCACAAGGGAATGCCGTTCTCCACATTTGATCACGATGTTTTGGGCCATGGATGTGCCAGGATTAATGTGGGAGCCTGGTGGTACGATCAGTGCCAGAGAAGGTATCAAATAATACTCCTTCCCTTGGGTAATATTCACATATTGTTTCCCTTTAAGCAACCTCAATGGCCAATACTTGGAGAATGGTAGATTCGAGAGCAAGCTCTCTGGTCGCGGGATCACCTGGATGACCTGGCGTGGCTACGATTACGGTTACAAGTTCACACAAATGATGATCAGGCCCAAGTGTTCCAACAACCTACGAAGGCAGCGAATGCAAAATGCCTTCAAGGCCCATTGAATTCCACACGAAAACCGAATGGAAATCGCTTTATTTCTTGATAAACACTATCAACGTTTTGAGCTTTTATTTACATTTTGATAATAACCGTTTCCCGCTGATTTGTTTGTTGTATTGTTAGTTTTCTTTTTTTTTTTTCAAAGCAACTATTCCATGCACGCACGTAAACAAAAGTTGTTTTGCAAAGTATATATGTATATATATTTTTTCGAGGTTTTGAGTGAATCGCGCGTGGCGCTCAGTTCGCAAGTCGAATTCCAACTGAGGCGCTGCGCATGCGATGCCCCAGCGATAAAACTTGAACAGAGAAACCAGAGACCCAGGGAGAGTCTCCAGCGAGACTCGGGGAACGAGAGAGAGATATCGAGGGGGGGCCCGAGCACAGTAGTGAACACATTGATAAAAATAAAATTAGCTGCGCCTGACGTCACAACGGGTTGCTCCAATCCCCCAGTAGCCATGGAAATAAGTGATGGAGACAAAGCCCAGAAGCCCAGACAAAGAGAAGCCACAATTGCAGACCGCACTTGTCATCAGTCGCCGAGATGATGATGGGAAGAATCTGCAGATCTGCCGAAGAAAAGCTGAACCGTAAGCCTGCCAGCCAACCAAACAGCCATCCAACCAGCCAGCCAGCAAAACGTGCGAAATACCCGGCGGTCTTGACTCATTAAAGTGGCACAGTGGGACAGGTCTGGTGGAAGCCGGCAGCTCCTTAATTGCTGTCCACTGCGATCTCCCTTCTCTGGCCTCCAGCGCAGATGAATCACTCAATTCAACTTGATTCATCCAGACGGATTGTCGTTTAATTGAACAGCTGCTGTTGTGAAGGGGGATCTGGTCCCCACTACACGGAAATTAAAAAGTTACAATGTAATCTCGGGCTGGACGCAATTTCCACTTAGGATCGTTCATGCATTTGAAAACAAACACAATTTTGATATGCGTCAAATCATTTCTTTGACCATGAATAATTTTTTAAAAATATTTATATCGAACATATTTACCCCTCAAAAGGAAATATATTTCCTAACGGAAGAATTCCGATAATTTTGTGACGAACTTAAAACAAAATTGCTTTACTCATTCAACATTTGCCTTAAATATAACATTTTTTTTCTGGGCTAATCTTAAAGAATTAACATGACTTCATGACACCCCTAAGTGTCTGACCACTAAAAATCACTTAAAAGTCAAATCAAATATTAGCTGCAAACGATGATTCATAGGAGAGCGACTTCGTTGGAAATCTGAAGCATAAGACCCCAGGTATTTATAAAGTTGCTATATCTTATCAAGAATTACCGTTTGGCAGACAGCGCGAAAATAAAAGAATTTATTCAAGAACGTTTGGAATGAGAGAACATGTTTGAAAGCGAACTTGATGGGAGAATGATAAACAACCCTGCGTTTCATAACTATAAAGCTCAGGAATATAACTTATCTAAATAAAATTAGCTAAAAATAACCCAACATAAATTTCATGAATAATAACAACATCCTAAAGAAAATAAAAGAGATGAGTAAAGCTTGAAAAACCCAAAAGAACTTATGATTCAGTTTCCGTTCAAAGTGGACCCTTTTTACCATTCTTAGGATTTCGGTTTTTTCGGATTATCAGTGGGCAGTTTTTATGACTGCTACAAGCACTCTTAATTTCATTATATGTTCTTGTACACTTCTTGCTTATAAAATGCTATTGATATGGAAGGTTCAACGACAGCAAATCGATTAATTGAAATCGCCGCTCTTTGGCAATTTCATTCCCGATATGGGAAGTGAGTCACTCCCTTAAGCGATTCCATGTTGGCGTTCCTACAATTTGGCCTCGCTTATGGTCCTGTTTTTAGCTCCTGCTCTTATCCTCCGGTTACAAATTCAATTAACGTTTTCGAGGTGTGTCGCCACTTTCACCCCCACACTCCCACTCCCACTCCCACTCCAAAAATGGAAGGAAAACGCTTTCGAATTGCCCCAATAAACTGTCATCAAGTTAATTGCCCCAAATGCACATATAAACAAGGGCGTGTTATGTTCTGCGGTGGATGGGACGACATCGAATCAAATTGAATCAAAGCGGGGAAATCGAACCCACTGCCCATTTCCACTTGCACTCCCGTTTCTTCAGGCACGAAACCTAAAAACAAATTGCTCGACTGTCAAAATTTATTTCCATCGCCGGCCATTATGTAAGTCAAATATTGGGTGTTAAATGTTCAGCACGCCCATTGGAAACGCTCGGTAAGACTATACCCGATACCCAAACACCCGGTAACCGCAAAAGATTGCGCAAGTTTTATAAGTCAGGCCGCAAAGTGGCCCCCAGTTGGATTTCTGCTGCGACAGTTTAGCAAACCTCCAGCAGTTCCCTTAATGATGGTAATTTTCTGAGGTTTTTCTTGATTTTATTTGTTTTGTTTTCTCAGTCTTGCTTTTCTTTCGTTTAGCTCATCGTTTTGTTTGCTTGGCAATTTGCGCAAATGTTTCACTGCGGTTCAGGTTTTAAGACTGAGACTGGTTTCGGAATTAGAAGTTCTGGAGTGAGATTTTGCAAGCTTTGGAGTATTTTCAACCTCACCAAAATGATTATTTTCTTTTCTGAAAGCAATGTCCCGCAATGTCCCACACACTAGATTTTAATCGCTTCGAGGCTGAGAAGAAAATCTAAAGTGACTCATGTGAGTTCTGTAGTACATGATACTCTTAAGGAAAAAACCAGTTTATATACACACAAGACTCTAAATTAATTTGCTGCACAAGTGTACAGACTTTCGCTTTCAATTTCTTTAATTTATTTTTGTCGTTTAGCTGTGGCCAAGCTCCAATTACACAAAAGCCAAAACCGTTGGACTAACAATTAACATTTACATTTCAATTGCAAGTCGTGCCAGCTGTGGATTTTTTGATGATTTCAAAGGGAGGGGAAGCTGGTCATTTGTATCATTGAAATTCCAAAAGCCATGCGGTACGATAATAATATGTGACCGCCGTGCAAATCGCTCGGAGTATCAAATGCTGAAGACAACACGCTCCGCAACCATTTCTTGTGCCAATGTTTTTATAGTTCATCCACGCCGATTTTGTTTATAATTTTTCTTTTGTGAATGACCGTTTATACTAGAGATCCGCTGACGTAAAAAGATATTGTGGTGAATTTTTTGAGGTGAAAGAAATTCGGGAGGTACACAAAGCGATTTAGCTCTTGATGAAGATATTATTGTGCAAAAAAAATATTTCTTTAAAGGCCAGAGGTCTAATAAACACAATTTGTTATGCAAATTACAATTTCTCTGTCAAAGAAATATTGTCAGTTTGTTCTTGGGGTTGCTTAAATGACTCATGAATAGTTGAGCTATAACCTTTGATCGGCAATAGTTGAAAACGGGTTTTAAATTAAGTTAGTCATAAAAAACTAGTTAAATATATATCTCAAAAGGTTACCGAATAAAATATAACAAAATTGTTTTCAAGTGACTGAAATACTTGAATACATTGACATCTGTTATTTGGATTTCCACTCCATATTTATTCTCCTTGATTGACCCAACCTTCCTGCAACCTTGTGTCGCTTCAGTTGAGTCTATATTCCATATATGAATGAATACATTAGATTCAATAGCCTTTTTTCAGCCTAAGCGCTGCGTTTTGAATTACTTCTGATCTAAGCGTTTCACCATGCATCATTTTGCATTTGCATTTTGTAATTGATGCTTCTGCTTTTGCCCCACCGCCTCGCCCATCGGCCACCTTCCTCATCGGTTACTAAGAGTGTGTGATGTAAGGCACATATTCACTTACCGTCAGCAACACACTACACCAGATAAATATTGCATTGTTGCACTTGCTGTTAGTTGTTGCTGCTCCTCCCGCTGTTGTGTTTTGTTTCTGTTTCTGCCGCTGGCGGGGTTTATTAAAATGCGGTTTTCAGCACCGTCGCACAATGCTTAAATAACTAACGCAAACACATCATGAGAGCCGGAGACGTGACAACAACATCAGCGGAGACAACAACGATGAACTCAATGACAACAACGGTGTTAGGTTCGGTATTTTGCATACACCACACAGGCAGAAAACAAAATTAGAAATAATCATAACGAAGTCAAAAACTTGGTAAAGTTTAACTTTTAGATTCTAGAATGAAGAGAACGCTTATTTAGAAAAGAGGCCGATATTGCAAATTCTTGACATACGAATACATATGGTTTAAATTTATATTGAAAATTCGTATACATCTATAAAATGTCTTAAATATAGCATTCAAAATTCCTCTTTTCGATTCTATAAAAATGTATTTGGTTTGAAAACAATAATTTAATTTCAACAACTTGGACAACTCGTTATAAGATTTCTGCTTTCCACTATACATTTGCTTGTTTAAGACAACAAGATTTACTGCAAGCTTAAGGATCGTTAAAGACAGTATAATTTTTGCAGTGCACTTGCAAACATGATGTAAACAAAAGTCAAACACAAACTATGAGTCATACACATTGAGGAAACGAAAGCCCTCGGCACGGGGCTTGAAACTGAAGTCAGAAAGCGGTTCGCGGGAGAGTCCACTGTAAATTTATGATTCAGTTCCAGGTTACACAAGGAAGTGCAGCATAAATCCGGAGAAATAAAGGCTGAAAGAAACGACCGACTCTCCACTACGTGCCAATCAAAAACCTCGTGTGATGCAGTGCTCGAAAAATGCATGACAACGAATTCAACTGACAAATGGCCGCACACAAGGCCGACAAGTGCCCCATACCAAAGACTATAGAATATCAAGATGTTGCATCCCATACAAAAAAATTTTTCGTTTCTGTTTCGAGCTTCATGATGCGGTCGGTCGGGGTGAAAAGGGAAAATCTAAAAATAGAAACACGACGAACTGCTGCTTTCGGCTTTCGTCTTCGTTTTTAATATTCGTCGTGTTCCCAAAGTGGGAATTTGTTCATAGCTAACAATTTTCAGTTTATCGGGCTTTATACACTTTACAATAGTAGAAGAGTATATCAGACTTGTAAAGCATTAATATTTAATTTTCTTTAATTTTCATTTAAATCATAATTTTTCGTTTATAATAATTAAATTAAAGAATTCTTAGGTGCAATATTAATAATGTTCCTTATTCAGATAATTGTGTCGTTTAATTTTCACACATGCGAATGTACATACGCGTGTTAGGGTATTTTGCTGCTCACCATGATACAATTATACAAGGTAGTCCACTCGGCTTGCCGAAGTCGTTCGGTTTTGGTCCCTTATTTTCAGTGCGTGCCTGCTTGTCAAACTGAAGCACAATGTAGCCGTTTCACTCACACTTACTTGACAAAGTTAAATTAGGGGACTATGGATTTTGCCGAGTGGACTACCTTGTATAATTGTATCAGGCTGTTCACCACTTGTATGAACGCAAAAAAAAAATTATAAAAGCAAAAAATTGAAAAAAAATGTAAAAATAAAATAATTAATTAATTTACACAAAAAAAAAAAAGAAAAAAAACTATTTATGATATGATATGGCTGGGGGGGCTCGGCGGGGATACGAACCCGGGCCTTCATGTACACGAGGCATAGAATCTACCACAACACCACCGGGCTTCATGAAGCGCGGCGAACTAATTGAGTATATGGTCTTAGCTGCCTTTAAAAGTGCAAAGTCATGTGGGTCTCCATATCAAGACCCACCATAGAACGATTTTTTTGAGGTCATGCAACATCTTGATATTCTATAGTCTTTGCCCATACACACCCCACCCCTCCAATCATCCAATCTTTGCGTGTGTCACTGCAGCAGCACTCGATATTTCTGTATGCCCTGGCAGTGGGGGATGGATACAATAGCCGCGACAATAGACTGCCAGGCAGACTCCTGGACGGAAAGGGACGGGGCTCATGTGCCATGTGCCCTGGTATCCTGGCCTACCCCACACGCCAATGACATTGAACCCGGCGACTGAGGGGGCGCCCTTTCGCGGCTAGGAAAGCCGTTTGAGCAATGCATAAAATTACGGAAAGGAACTCGCAACCCCTTTTCACTTGGGGTTGGCTTAAATAGTACACTGGACATTCTGTACATATTCATATTTTATTAAAATAATTAAATATTTAACAAAAGTAATTTAAACTAATTTTAAGCCTTATTAAGGAAATACTTATATTTCTTAATCATATACAGACTCAATCAGCTTATTCACGATCTGTACTTTTCTTTGTTCTTTTCTATTGATAATAAAATTATTTCTATAAATGTGCTGCATAATCAAAACCACAAATCGTAATACATATTTCAAATATAATACAGAGAACCAAATCTTGGATCGTTTGTCACCTATAAAACGTTATTTGCAATCGGAATAGCCCCACTGAGCTCCCACATTATGTAACACCATCAACATTTAACTGTCACAATTCGCACTCGCATCTCTTCGGCAGAACTTAGGCAAGTAAATCAACCCTTGGCTGGGAAATTTAGTGTTGTTAGGCCGTCGAGCAATGCACTCTTTGTAGGTCAGTTATGGGGTGGCATGGGAGGTCTTCATATCTTCCATGGGTATTTGCTGGCGGTGTTGCACTTGCTTTCGTCATGCGTCGCGTGCCAACCGTTTTGCTTAATGTGATTAAAACAAAGCGACAGCAAACCAAAGCGAAATGCATTCGCCGATGGAACCAGAAAAAAATCACAGCGACCTGGGTTTATTGCACCCTTTTTAGCCGGTTGAATGGTGAAAAAACCTTTTCATGTTCTTCAACACAGTGGAAAATGGGTGTTAAGCAACACCTCAAGTTTTTAACAGTAGTTTATTTTAAATATATTCGGTTATTCGAATAATAATAAAATGGAAAAACAATATTATTTAAACAATTACTATTTGTACAGCTGCAAATATTCCCATTAAAGGTGACCATATTAATCCAGAATGAAAGAATTAATAATTCTATTTTTCTGTGTATTTCAAGACAGTAAAGATATACCCATATCTTGGGCAAATGCAACTTTACATACACACAATCATTAGGCGCAAATATCATGGCGAAAATAGTCGGCCGATAAGATAATTGCTTATGTGGAACAGGTAACGAAAAGTTCTCCGAATATTCCATAAATTACCAAATTTCTAGGCGCCATGCGAAATCGGATTGATAAGCCACCTCGATAAGGCTTACACTGCTCCGGATTTGGAGTGCCGAATGCACTCGATAAACTTATTGAGTCCAGAGAGACAAACGGGTTAAATTTACAAACAAACTCACCTTGAAGCGGGTTTCTGTTTTCGACTGGGGCCTGTGCTTCTGTGAATGAAATTCTCGGATCTCTATATTGTTGGCTGACTCAAGTTTTCAGCAGGTGATTGTCGTTGTTTTCTGGCGAACGGGCAAACGAGCGAAAGAGCGAAGATGAAACAGCATAGCAGGCGGTTCAAATATTTTCCCACAAGGTTTCGTCAGTATCCAAATCCAAGTGAGTTTCTATAATCCGCGGGTTCGAATCCTCAATCTTTTTCGAAAGTGCTGGTGTTGTATGTAGTGTGTGTGATGTGTTCTGTTCCCCCAAGAAATCCCACCCACCTTGCTAATAATTGTAGAAATGTGTAAAAGCCTGTTGAAATGCCTAAAAGACGTAGAACGACTAACAAATGATTTTACTGATTTTCATTTTTACACAAACACGCACACTGCGACGGCACACTCTCACTCACGTACACACGAACACGGGCAATATGGGTAGCCTTTTGATTTCGTGCGGTTTTCGGGGACTTTAGGGTGTCCCAATACGACTATGAACTCGATTTAGTGTTCTATCGCCGCAGCATCTTAAATTTGTTTCGGATATAAGGGTTTTCTTTGCAATCGGTTGAGAAAACAAAAAATTTATTGTGCTGCTGGCTTTCAGAGTGACCGACTTTTGACCTACGAAAACATACTAAGGCGTACTTCTTTTTTTTGCTTAGAAACAGCTAGACTCCACTGTGAAATAAAGCTGATGTACATTCAAATAAAACCCCATAAGCGTAACCTTTTAATATGTTTAATTTATGAACTTGAGTGGCCCCTTGCAAATTAAGTTTGTATCAGATTAGATGAATTTAAAATATTTATATCGCCAACAAAAAAAAACATCTTTCAAAGCGGCGCTGCCAACCTTTAAGAAAGTATATTTTTTTAGTATATTCCTTGTCAGTATATTTGAATGCTCAACCTTCGGGCACTCTGAAATAAAATTCAAAACAAGCTTCTGGCGTCGTCTTTCAAAAATTCGTGAATGGTATAAGATAAACGTGGAATGGCGTCCAAAGTGGAGCAGCAGTACAAGCTGCTTAACGCGGAGCTGATGGACCAGGTGCAGAAGCAGCGCATGGAGATCGGCGAGTACAGGAAGCGTGTAGTAGCGCTAGAGCGGGAAAATATGGATCTACGGGAGGCTCAAGTACTGCAGAACGATCGCCAGCGATTAGAGAACATCAGCATCGTTCGTAATTTAATGCAGCGCCTGAATCTTGAACACGACTGTCTGGTAGGGAATCAGGATTCAGCTCACGTGGTTAGCAGGCCAAGTGTCCAGCGTCGTAGCTCAAGGGAAATCTGCAAGGACATGCGAAGGACAAGCGCATTGGCCCGCACGACGAGAACCACCTCGCCTACAAGGACTGCTCCAATGTCTAGCACTACTTCGTCAAGCAGTCGGCGATCCAGTGTCGAGGCGCATACCAATGTGGAGGACGCAATAGCAACAGAAGAGCGGAGGCCTACTAGGGTAACTAATACTTCAGTTGTAATATTCTTTGAAACTCGTTTATATTTGTTTGTCTACAGCACACACCGCCGCCACGAAGACCTGCGGAGATGATGTTCGACGAGGATGAATCTGAGGAAGAATCCAGCGCAGAACCTAGCCCAGTGCCCCAGCAAAGTAAAAGCAACGAGGAGGCAAGGACTGACGAAAACCAGGAGAACGAACGCCTGTACAGCATTGTTGAGGAAAACGACAGTGGAGAGGATGCTTCGGAATCTTCTTCGTCTTGTGAGGCCATCTACTGCGACACCACCATAGAAAGTAGTCCGCCAAACGGCGGAGCCCCTGCCACACCCTGTGGTCGAGCTCTTCGAGAAGTAAACACCAATGTCCCGGAATCTGTCTCGTTAATTCGGGGAAAAGAGACTTCGAAATCCAGACTGGCCATTCCCGGTCAGGAAGAAGACTCCGTACAGGAGCCGAGTATACAGTGCCCCAGACTGACTGTCACTAGGCCCAGTTACAGCTCCGGAAGCTTCCCTGATATCGGAACCACTCCGAGGCGAAGCTTGTTCAACGGCATTGCCCAAGTGGCCGGTTGCACCAGTACGCCAAAATCGTTTGTCGTCGAGGAAGTTCCTTCTGTTAAAAGTCGGACCAGGAAAACGGCTCAAAAAAAATCGGACACAATTGATACATCGTGTTCTTTAAGCACTAGCGGGAGACCGAGACGCAGCTGTCGCCCTTCCAGTATGGCGGAGCCCAATCTTAAAAAGAAGATGCGAAACGAACCGAAGTCCAAAGCCAAGAAGTGACCTTTAGGGCTCTTACAGTTGTTACTTGTCCTTAATGTTCATGACGTTTCATAACTTTGTACAATTAGATATTGATTATTTAATATTTTTATGTATCAGGCCAGTTACGACTTATGCAGGTCGAAATTTGAATTTAACTTTTAATCTTTAGCCAAATTTCATTTACCAAGCTCATTTCAGTAAAATAAACATTTCAGCTCATCCAGTCACAGGGAGGAAGACAAATGTCATCACGCAAAGAAGCCAATAGGATTTTATAATAACGTTTTAATGCTACCCTTAAGAATATTTTCAATTGTGAATAAAACAACGTTCAAGATGATTGTTTGGTAATACGTTCTTGTTGGGGCTAAGTTTTAGATTCGTCTTAGAGGCAAACTAAGGTTTATTCGGACACATCGTTGGAAACATTTACAAAAGAGTCAGGGGGCCAAAATACAAATACATTTAAATACAGTAGCAAAAGTGAATAACTTTACGTAAGCAGACGATAATTGCACTTTGCGAGCAAGCGACCTCCGATATTCTAGACCACCTCGAATTTGCCCAGGCAGCAGTTGAGATGATCGCCTGCATGATTGTGGGTTGGCTGCTCCGTGTTCTCCTTTATCTCGCTGATGATGTCCTGTATCTTGTTTATGATCTGCTGCGAGTTCTCACCCTCGTTGGGTGCCTGTTCGTTATTAGCGACCGCTTCTTGTTGCTGCGACTGACCGGGATCTGAAGGCAACTCCACTCCCAAACTAACCACTAGTTTGTTAAGTGTCTCGATCTTTTCACGAAGCTGCTCCCGCTCCGCTTGTAAAAGTCGCATTTGGGCGGCCTTCTCGTACTCGCGCTGCTTGAGCATTCGCCGCTGTGTTTGATAGAGGGCAATGTACTCGCCAATCGTCTCTGTTTCGCTCTGCAGCTGCAGCACCAGATGTTCCAGGCTGTGCTTCTCCTCTGTCAGGTCGGCCACCTGGCTGATCAGCGTTGTGAAGCGCGATTGCAGGCGTTCCACGGCTTCAGCGGTGGGCAGGGTTTTAGCTGCCGGTCTGTGATCAGTTTGGTGCTCATGATCATGAGGGTGATTATTGGAATGATCGTGGACATGATCAAGAGTATGATCGTGGGCATGGTCATGAGAATGATCGTGGGCATGGTCATGAGAATGATCGTGGACGTGATCATGACAGTGATCGTGGGAATGCTCCTGTGAGTGATCATCGGAATGATCATGTGGGTGATCGTGCGAATGACCAGGATGATCAGTAAGGTCGTGATCCTTAACTTCCTCAGCTAAATTTGCCGAAGCGTCTCCACTATCTTCCCTTTGTTTTCCCTCTTGACTGTGGTAAGCCTTGGCCTAAATAATTAAAGAATTTTGTAAATTTCTTGATTAATTTTAGAAAAGCAGTCCATCTTTTACCTCATAATGCTGCAGGCGGTCCAGCTGCTGCTGCAACATCAACTGCTGGCGCTGAAGCTCAACGTTCTCGTGCGACAGTCGAATCATCTCTTCGTCTTTGAACTTAAAGCGCTCCTCGTTGGTGTGCAGCTTCTGCTCTATGTTTGCAAAATTCTGTCGGATTTCGCGGTTGGCAAACTCTTCAGCATCCAATCGGATAACTAGTTCTGCTTTGTCGTTCGTTAATTGAACAAATCGCTGCTGCAGTTCGTCCAATTGGTTTTTCATCTCAACGTTTTGAGTTAAAGCACGCGAAGCCGCCACTTTGTCCGATTCCATGGTGGCCAGCAGTTTCGTCTGATCAGGTTGTTCTGCCTGAAGACGTTCTAGCTGCTGCTCCAATTCGGCCAGGGCGGACTCCTTTATTTGCAATTGATCGTCCTGCGACTTGATTTTTAGTTGAAATTCGTGGCGTTCAAAGTCAAAGTCGGCGAGTCGCTCTTTTAAGGCAGCTAGTTCTTCCTTTAAAGCACTCTGAAAGAAAATTATATTAATATTCGAATTTGTACTATATAATTTCCGAACTAAGTGTTTACCTGATCGCTGACCTCTTCCTTGGGAGGCTGCTCTTGATTGGCCTCTTTAAACTGAGCCTGTAAGCTGAGGTTTTTCTGAATGTCGCGTTCCAAGCCGCTCACATGCTCTATCAGTTGCCGCTCGCGCTCTCGTAGTGTGTTGACTTTCTCGGCCAATTCCGCATTTCGTTCGTTTAGTTTGGCAATTTCGCTGCTCTGGTGCTGTACATAGTTTTGGTACTGACCGGCTGCCTGCTCCTTGTCCTGCGTCAGTTGACCGACCATGGCCTGAAGGTCGCGGATTTGCTGCTCGTACATGTATTGGGTCTGCACCAGTGACTCCACTCGGTTGTCAGTGCTGACGCTGGACTCATCGGACAACTGGCGCAACTTGAGCTGGGCCATTTCCAGCTCGTTGGACTTGCTAGACAGCTCCTGCTGCAGTTCCTCCTGGCGCAAGTTACTCTGCTTAAGCTGAGCATCCAGTTCGTTAAGATGGGATTGCTGATCCTTGATTTGTGCCTGCGATTGCTGCAGTTGAGCCTGTAGTTGCGCAAATTGCTGCCGCTGCTGCTCGCTCGTCGACTGTTGATCCTGGTAGTGTTGCTGCAGTTGTTCCAGGCGCAGCTGGTTCTGGTCCTTCAGGGTGCGCAGCTCCTCTAGCTCCAGTTCTCGTTCCCGGCAGGCTAGACGAACTTTAGTTAGCTCGGCATTGAGCTGCGCCTTCTCTGCAATTATCACTTGTATGGCTTGCAGATTGGAGGGGTCAGCTAGCCCGCCATTCTGTTCCGGCTCATTTTGTGTGAAATATGAAGCGGCTGTGGGCAGGACGAACTGTTCCTGCTGCTGATGGACTCCCGTTCCTCCGCCGTTCACGTTCAACTCGCTGTCAGAGCGCTCGGACAGATTACTGGCTATGCTAACTGTGGACGAGTGCGATTGCGTGGTGGGGGCCACCGGTTCCTCCGTTCCCGGCTGCCCATTGTTGTTGCTGGCCCGCTGCTGGTACTCCTTCAGCTGTGTCCACATAAGCGTGTTAAACAAAATCAATATTAGTGAGCCAATATGTGTCCACGTCACAAGAGCAAAACAAATGTGTGTGGCACTGGTTGTCGCACCTTTTTCCTCGCCGCGGCCAACTTCTGAGCCTTTGCGTCCTGCGTGTCATCGGGCATGTCCTTCGGGTTCAGCAGCGGCACCTATGCCACACCTGGAGTCACCTGGGTTCGAAAGGCGAGCCCAAAAATTTAAATAAAACAAGGCAAAAGTGGCGATTTACTCCAAATGTTGATAACAGGTCAGCGGAATAATGTGGCCGCACGTTTTGAGTGGAAATATACCGGGTGCACGGGCACACTTAACGGAGGAGGTGAAAGCACAGCATTACAGTTGGAAAAATGTAACTTTTTTTCTTGGCCCCCTTATTTATAAAAAGTAGCTAGTTTTTAAATATTAACAAAAACTTAATTTAAATTAATTTTCCAAAAGACAGAACAAATATTCTTTACTACAAAAGCTTATACCGGTTTTTAAGTCATGAGAAATCAAAATGAAATTAAAACATTATTAATTTTTTACCATAACCTTCCACATGGTAACGTCATTTTTAAATTTAAAAAAACTTTTTGCTTTATATATCGATTGAAATAAATTAATCGACAGCCGTGCCACTAGTGGACTTCGTTTCAGTCGGAGGAGCACTTCAGACGGATTCAAACGACGGTTAGGAACAGTCTTCCGGGAGATACGATGGATAACCTTATCAAGTGCTTAGTGGCAATGTGCTGCTGTTTGTTCCTGGTACCGCTGATTGACCAGGCGGAATCGGCACAGTCGCAATCGAGATTCAACGTTAGCTTCTCCCAGCTGGATTCCTGCGAGAGCATTTCGATTCCAAACACAGGATACGGTTACCGGACCTTTTTCATGGTCCATGAGCTGGACAACAACAACAGAAAGGCCGGGGAGTGGTTGCACTTGAAATTCTACGTTATGACCAGCATGGATGCCCACATACTGCTCTCGGTGACGAATCATCTGCGCGGAAATGATCGTGTTTACGAGATTGGTAGGTTTAATAAAAGTTACTTATCATTTTGGACTACTGTTATTGGCGTAAAAAATTAAAAAAAAAAAATTATATTTTTTCTCCGAATTTCTAATGTTTAAATTCAGTGATATAAGTTATTTAAAATGAATGAACCGTTCTTATCGAAATCAACGGCAAAAAATTAATTCTTTAGAAATATCAATGAGAAAGAATGTTATGTTTTGCTACTGTTTTTAAACAAGAGAAAAGGAATTTGTGAATATGATTTGATTCAGATTTAACGACTGACCGACCTTTCATTGAGCTGTTTTATTTAAAAACCCTGCATAATAATTTATTTAATATCGTTTCTCCGACTGCAGTGATAGGCGCCGGCGGAAATACGTTTTCCGCTATCCGAACCGCCATGGGATTCCGGCGTGTGGCCACGAATCACGATCACAACTTGGTATCACTTCACGAGCCAACGCCAATTGAGATCGTCCAGACCCAGAGTGAGTTTCTACATATGTTCTTATCTTTTTCCCCATGAACTTCAACGCCGAATACGATTCACAGATGGCGAGCTGTTTGTTTATATTCCCGGCTTCAAGAAGGAACCTCTGCTGCAGTTCATTGATGAATCACCGCTTTCCATCAAATACATCAGTTTCAGCTCGTTTGGCTCTAATACTGCGCGGTGGTTCTACGACTGCGGATTCGATGGTTATGGTAAGAATGTACCCATAACTCTTATTTAAGATCAAGTTAAATATGCTTTATTTTACAGAAAAGGAAATATCTTCAGTGGTGACTGAATTAAAGCCGGCTCAGAAGCTTTTGAATCTACTTAACTTTCAGGCGGAGAATGCCAGCTTGCCGGCAAATCTGAGCTCCATATTATTCCACTTCCAAACGCGATCCCTCGCCTATGAACAAACCAATTCCTTGTTTCGAACTGGCATGCATTTGTTAATGGTATTTAAAAGCATAATCTTAAACAAATTATTGATATATTGTATATTAACTCTTGAAAATTAAAGCACTGGGAGGACAAACGATTGGGTTGGAAACCAGCAGAGTTTGATGGCTTGGAATCTTTTGAGCACCCGGAACTGCAAGTGTGGACACCGCGAATGAACGTGTTGAATGGCGCTCTGGAGTCCATGGGTGAGGTCCTCGTATCCCACGAACTGAGGGTCTACGCCAACGGAAACATCACCCTGTATGCCCACAACTTGCAGCTGACCAGTTGGTGTGTGGATAGTGCTCGAAACTGGCCAAACGAGCGGGTTACTTGTGACGTCGAACTGGGCCTAATTGGCCAGGAGGGGCTGAGCATAGCGCTAGTCTACGATAATGAGCGCAACCCCATCGCTCCCAATGAGCACGTGAACCTGCCATCCGGGTGGTCCTTCTCGGAAATGTCCGTGGTGCAAGTGGGCAACGATTCGGTTAGGCGATACACTCCCAAGCAAATGCTGCAAACCGTCGCCGGCGATGTGGCCATCGAGTTCACGGTGCAACGAAACAGAAGCTTCTACAGGGCCATCTTCTTTTTGCCGATCTTTGGTGAGTAGATGACAATAGACATTTCCTATTTTTTGTACCAATAACCTAATTACCATCCTTTAAGTAACTTCAAGATTTTAATTAAACTTTCACAAAGGATAAATGTGTACAGCTGATGTTTTTCAGTTTGTGTTTTTTAAAATAAGTTGAAATAAGTTAAAGGTATAAGTCAGAGTTTTTTGAAGCTTTTCTAGAAATTTAAGAACGTTGTTTTTAAAAAAAAAGTTCCTGAAACCATAAAACAATTTACAATTTTATGTATTGTAAATATAAACATACATATATCTTTTTTTCCTAATTGTTTTGTTGCTTGATCCATTTATTAATATATTTTTGCTGTTAGATTGATTATTTATAATTTGTATTATTTGTCATTAGTACTTTTTAAATAATTCAAAAATAATTCTTGTATTTCAGCCTGTCAGTTGTTCTTGATGATGTCCTTCGTGCTGGGATCTAATTATAGAAGTTCCCTCATCTTCATCGCCATACTGATAACTGCCTGGGGTCTAATGTATATGACGCGTCTTGCCTCCCCACACTATGTTCCTCCTATAAGTAAGATAAAAATGTATCCAATATGTTTCCATTTATGTTTAGTAGTAATCTAACAAATTCATCAAATTTTCTATCTAAATGTTATTTTGAATATCCTTTTCAGTGACAGCATATAAGTTGGTAATGATGGTGGCCACCTATTGTTACCTCCTGCACATTTGCATCATATGGTTGGAATTTTATCCACCCAGGGCAAAGGCTCCTGGCTGCTTGGTGGCCCTCATCAATTCCAAAGCCCTGCGCTGTTTACTGGGGCTGCGATTAACAGATGTGAGTATCCCTTGACATTTTAAATTACTAAACATAATGACTTATAATATTCTATGCAGTCCAGCGACTTTTGTGAAGTTCAGGAGAAGCCCTGGCATCATTTCGCCAAGATCCTCAACAATTTTAGCTTCAATTTGGTGTTCGTTGTGTTCGCCATTATTGATATTACTTGTGGTATTTGAAAAATTGCCTTTTCTTTTATTTTGCCTTTTAGAAAATATAAATGGATTCTTAAATAAATAAGAAGTATGTAGAGAAAAGAGTGAAGATTTTGCGACTACAGGTTGGAAAAAGAGGGTAAAGGGGAGAACGTGCCTCGTCTGTTGCGACTCCTCGCAGCTTTCTGCTCCATCTGCTCCACCTCCGATTCGGGATCGACTTGGAGGTGTTCGGTGTGCTGACCTAGTGGTATCCATAGCCGTGGTCATCGTAGCCACCCAGGGACAAGGCCGGAGCAGCGTAGGACTTCACCAGCGGAGCTGCGTAGCTGATGGCTGGGGCGGCATAGGACTTGACCACCGTGGGAGCGGCGTAACTGATGGCAGGAGCGGCATGGGCGTAGCTGATTGCTGGAGCGGCGTAGGACTTAATCACGGCCGGTGCAGCATAGGACTTCACAATGGGCGTGGCATGGGAAACAACCTGGAAAATGTTGGTACGAAATTAGTATAAATATAAAATGTTTTAATCACTAATGAGATAAAAAGAAGGAAAAACATAAACTTCAGTAAATAAATATGTTTAAAGGCAAATGAAAACAAAAATATTTTAAAGAAATTATAAAAATTTTCTCATATATGTTTTAGAAAAATGCTTTTTAAAATTTTCTGGGAATGGAATAACGGATACCGAAGTTCCTTAAAATTCAAAATGTATTTTTCTGTTCTGAAGTAGATCCCACTCTTACCGAGCTGAAGTGCGAGTAGCTGGTGGCCGGAGCCGCCACCTTGACCGCCACTGGAGCGGCGTAGGACTTGACCACCGGAGCGGCGTAGCTGATGGCAGGAGCAGCGTGGGCGTAGCTGATTGCTGGAGCGGCATAGGACTTGATCACCGGAGCTGGGGCGGCATAGGTGATGGCTGGGGCAGCGTACGACTTAATCACTGGAGCTGCAGCCGCATAGGTGATGGCAGGAGCAGCATGGGCGTAGCTGTAGTCCGGTGCCGAGTGTCCGTAGTCCAGGAGTCCAGGAGCGGCATTGGCCACGGCCAGCAGGGTTGTAAAGATCTGTTGGGTTCAATAGAAAAGAAGTTAGATACATTTTATATTAAGAAAATATATTTTAAAAAATCTAAACAGTTTCCAAAAACATTCTAAATATTTGTTTTTGAACCGGAGTGGTCAAATAAAATTGATCCAAGATTCAATCAGGGATAGAACACTTTACTTTGTATTTTTAAATTTGAATTCATATATCAGTAGATATATCGCTAACATAAAATTAAGGACACAACACTTATGTGTTTTCATATAACCCTGATCCTTATAAATCAAAACCAAAGATTATAGAACAAAAAACCATTTCAAGCAAAATCAGATCTAATTGATATGTTTTTTAGTCTGTTTGTATGAGAGACCTCCTGTCCTAATCGGATTATCCAGATCCTTAATCTAATCCCCACTCACCAGAAGCTTCATGCTAGCGTTGGTCTTCGATTCACTTGGCTTGGAGGGAGAATTGCAACTGTAAGTGGATTGCGTGCATTGCGTTACTTTTATACCATTCGACGGACTCGCCGGCCTGAAACGCACTCGTATTCGTACTCTTGAACGGACAGTGGACCGGCGGACGGATGGACGAGCGGACAGATCTTGACTAGATTTCGATCTGAGCGTCGTCGTCGTCGGACACAAACAGTCAGCGAGCAGTCAGCAGTCACAGTCACAGCCAACAAAGCGGGCCAAGCAGCGCCAATTTGTGAAGTATGTATCTCGGCTGAAGTGAAACTGCAGTTCTCATTGCAAGTTGCGCCGCAAGTTGGAGAGGCCCCAAAATCGCGGATGACGCAACGACATGTGTGTGGAGCCGAAGCACTGGGAGTTGGGTGCTCCGATCTGAAGGCAGACCACTTGCCGCCTAAGGAGTCGCAGGAAAGGCGGCATTACCATTTCCATTTCCACTGGGGGTGCCAATGGATTCGTGCCCCTCGAATGGGAAAGCGCGCTCGCTAATTGAAATCGCTGATTAGCCGACCAATTTTGGATAGCAACACACCACACCCCTTAAAAAAAAATTGAATAAACATCCAGCCTTGTCACTAACAACTTAATTAGCCAGTGGAGAATGTCGTCTAATTGTTCTCAACGCCAAACTCTCGAGCAAACCAAATTCTCGGTGTCGCTGGGAAATTCTCCCCAAATTGCATAATGATGAATGCTTGCCAAATCGGCGAACGCCTAAAGCAATAGCAATAGCAATAGCAAACAATCCCCGGCTGGCCGAAATATCTAGGCGAGAGCTTCATATTTATCTTTATCGTGCCACGAATGCCGCTGCGTGCCACATTTGACCACATTTGGATGGGCGATTTCAGTCGCAGCCACGCCGTCTCGTCTCGAGGACACTTGTGCGTGAAGGGGGATCGGTTTGGATCGGTTCGGATCGGATTGTATCTCATCGGATTGGATCCGAGTTGCAGCTCTCCATCGATCGACTGCCCCTTCTCCAGCGAAACTCAATCGTTTGAGCATCTGGCAGCTCGTGGGATTTTTTATCGCCACCATGATTAACCCCATGGGGTGGGCAGCCGACGACACGATGGCATTGGCTCATAAAATTATTAATTATGCTACAATTCTTTGAATATATAATAGTATATTGAGCTGACAAAATAGTTAACACAGATTATTGATTATTTATTTGATGATTTATTTTGCATGATTTTTTTTTGTGTTCTGAAAAAGAAGATATGTTTTGATTAATGTAATGGACAAAATTATATTAAGGAAGATATTGTATAGTATTTTACGGCATGTGGTAATGATATTTATATATCCTTTTTAAGTTTTTGAGATTCAGGTGTTCAAAGGGATATACTACCTTGTGTATTTTCCCATACACCTATGCACAGTTAAATCATAACAAATTGCATTAATTCGCCATGTCTTGTATGCAACTTGCAGCACTTCAATGTGTTTTCCTCTCAAGAGGTATCCAAAAAAATAACGCCACAGCAACATCTCGAAGATACTTAGCACTCGGAGCGAAAGAGACAGCATGCGGCGACCAGAAAGAGACAGAGAGTCTCCTGCGATCGGAGTTCATGCATAAATCATGCCAGTGGAATGTGATTTATGTGAAATCTATTAGCAAATATTAAGTCAATAGCAGCAATTGTTGCCAGTGCCTGGCGACTGCCAAACAAGTGTTCCATGTCCATGTCCAATTCGATGCGGTGCGGACAGATCGCTTTGTTGTTGCTGGTGTTTCGCCCCGCTTTATAAATAAAAGATTTCCCAGCCACTGCCCCACATTTTCGGCCAGGTGGAAAGCAATTTTCCAGCAATCGATACGGCCAGAAGGGTGGCAAACTCGAATGCCAAATTGCCACATACTAAATGCCGACTTAAGGCGCTCGGCGATCCCCGTCTTTTTTTTTTTTTTACTTTTTTGGCTTCCATCGCGAGCCAAGTCTTTAGCCACATTTGGCGATCGGGTGGCGTGCGCTCCAAAATGGGTGCAAAATGCCGCGGATTTTGGATGACGGGCCTAATTAGCCACTGGCCACTAGAATGGATGAGAATTCGAGACGATTGCCCAATGGCTTGCAAGCGCAGAATTCTTCGCGGCGCACGCTGCGTATGCGTTATTTTTTTCGATTCATTCAATTAATTATCGCCGCTGTATTTGACTTGCAAATGCCTTGCGGAACGGCCGAAAAAAAACATTGCAAAATGGCAAAACTCCGTTTAATTAAATCAGAAGCAAACGGCGAATTCAACGAGGCAGAAAAACAAAATACAAACCGCGTGGCATTTATGACGCTTTGCCTGAATTAATGAATGAATCGTGGTGGACATGGAAATGGACTTCGGTTTTCGAATTTGGGAGCTGACAAACATCGAGCCTCGCAGGTGACGTGACTGGGGGATTTTACTATGCACAGAGAAGAGTTTTGGGTTTTAAAGATCGATTAAAAGGGTTATAAATTCAAAACAAATGACAATAAGGAAATTTGTGTTAATATTACAATTCAATTCTGGACTAAATGAGGATCATTGATGATAACATGGGAAGTTTTTGATACTGTATAAATCCATATTGTAACAACTAAATTGTTGTGTATTGCGAAGCCATTTTGCGTTTAGCAATCTCTACTGAAAGCAAACCAATGACATTTTCCACATTTGCTGGCAATTTTCTCGCCTTTTTGTTCGTTTTCGTCAACAGGATTTTGTGGTAAGTGGTTTATTTATGGGATGACTGCATCGAGGTGGTCAGTTGTGAAACGGTAATAGCCTTGTTTACGATCAATATGAAGTGTATTGCTTGTACGCTTAAAGATCTCAAACAACAATTTATGAACAACTTGTAGGTCCCTTGCCCATATTAATGGGTTTGCTGCATTCAAGCTGAAAATTAAAAAAAAATGTATGCATTTTATTTGTAACGGCTGTCGTTATATAAGTTAATCAAATCTAACATTTTTTGGTTTCTGAGCAAAAATTGTTTGTGGCGCCATCTCACTGTCAGTTTGGTAAACATAACTGACTCACAGATGGCGTTAGACACTTTAACCCGCTCATGTAGTTACCATGTATGTAAGTTGTAGAATAAGTTATTTCTATAAATTGTTAAATTGTTAAACTGTTAAAATTGATTCTTGTGTGGATTTCTAGAAATATAAGTATAAAGGCTCTAATCGTTCCAAAAAAATATCACCTCCATTTTTTAAGACACATACGTATGCGGATTAAATTTCACAAACTATTTCTTCAGCCAGAATCTACCAGTCGAATTCACCAGGCCCAAACTCTTTCCTTCCTTATTGATTTCCATGGGATTTCCACAGAAAAAGCTGCACCCCAATCAATAAAAGACCCAGAGACTCGAATAAATTTAGATCAAAGTCAGTGAAGTTAATGACGTATGAGCAATTCGCAACACAGCTTTGGGGTGTCGTCGATTTAAAGGGGTTAAATGGCGGTCACCGATTCGCTCCCCTCAGAATTCAACAGGTAAACGAGTGGGTGGGATGGGGAGTTCGATGTTCTTCGTTGCACACTGACCTTAAAATCCAAATTTAAAACCCTTCTGTGGAAGAAAGTCCCCCCTTTAAATTTGTAGTGCGATTGATTGCTGGGAAAATAAAATAAACAAAATATATGTATGCATATAACAGAACAGACAGAACGAGATTATTTATTCTAAAAAATGTATATTTAAAGCCGAGATTATAAACTATTTAGTTACACAATCTTCAGTGACTGACTGCACATTGAAGATTTTTTTATTTATGCGTTTGTCAAGTGCAGTTTGAAATTCAAGTTGCCTAATAACTTAAAACCCCAAGCAGCTTTAATGGCCATAATTCGTCTTGGCCGGGGAAGAAGAAGAACCCAAAGGCAAAAGCCAAAAGGAGTGTCGTGATGTTGTTGCATTTGCCTTTGTTGTTATTGCGGTGTTAATGTTGTTGTTGCAGACGCACTATTGACATTATTGATGGAAATTCTTTTGTGTTTTACAGAAAAAAAAAAAGAAATGAAGAAAGTAAAACGTCAGTTTAGAATAACGAATTTTAAATTCACTTAAATGTAAAAAAAATATATTTTTGATTTATAAAAAAACTTGTATTTAAATTTGTTGACAAAAGCTCTAAACTAAACATAGAAGTTAGAAATATTAAAATTTTACAAAAAGAATTGTAAAATAAAATGGTTATCTTATTAGAAATGTTTTTACTTTCGCTGAACTGTTTAGATTGTATTTTTTACATTGTGGCTTGAACTTGCTCACCAAAAAGTTACAAATTGTTTTTTAGAAGTATTTAAGTACCTTCTCATTTGAGTATTTAGGGTACATTCGGTTAAAAAGAAGCGACGCGCGCTGTTTACTCTTTCTTAGCAGCAAATGAAAGCCCAACGGAGAAGTCGCTTGTGTTATGTGGACAGGTGCAGTGCCCATGTAAATTCAGGTGTGTGCGTGTGTTTGCCTCCGTTTTCATTTGCCGTCCGTCTGTTTTTTTTTTCCAATGCAGCCCATACCGATAGCCGTACTAATACCAATACCAATACGAATACTATAACCATTACCAATATCCATAACCAGGCCCAAACCCAGACCGATGGCAAAGCCCCCAACTTCTGGGCCCAAACGAACAGTTATGCAAATCGAGAAGAGGCGCAACTCCCCCTTCCTCCTTCCCCTCCTCCTCCCCCTCCTCTTTTTCCTCCACCTTGTTATTCTCCCACTCGAAAGGTTTACTTTTATTTTTTTTTGTTTTTTGTGTATTTAGCGCCTAATACCCAAGTTTATGTCGCTTAATTATAGACCTTAAGCAGCCGCCGCGAACCGTTGGCCTAACATGCTAATCGGTAAACTCAGGGTTTTGGCCCGTTTTTCCCTTTTTCCCATCCTGCCGGCGGTATCGGATGACCTTCTTCTGATCTGAGACGCCACTCGATGATCGAATAGGGATAAGTTATAGGGCTATGGAAATTCTAGTAGCTTGGGAGCGGATATCCGCGATGCGAAAACTTTTGTTAGCCATTTGAGGTAATCGATAGTACGCTTCGATTCCACACCAATAGACGGCCTTTTTTGGCCATCTATTAAGCGGATTTGGCCAATTCGGTGGCAAGCAGAACTAAACAGAATCGAACGCAGATCTCATTTTAATAAGGCTTAAATGGCTCTCAGCCGAAGCGATTAATTTGCCATAAATGTTGGGCTTTAATTGGCCGACGAGTGGGAAGCCCAAAGCGTTAACTAACGAAAGTGTTTGCCAAAAGAGCAGAATATGAATAGATATCTACGAGTACACTGGTAAAAAAAATTAGTGAAAACTTTGAGGTAATTTTTAAGAATAATATGATTATTCTTGTAAAATTAGTTTTAAATCAAACAAACAGGGGTCGAAATTTCAACCATTGGAAAATGGAAATTTTAAATGCAATTCTATAACGAGTGCGAATACAATCGTTTAGAGGTATGTCACTTTGGAATCAGATTAAAATTGGCAATGTTATGGGCTCTGTAAGTTTAAGAATCCCTGTTTTTAGTTACAAAGAATTTTTCCCAGTGCAACCACATGAATATGATGTAAAGTTATTCATCTGGCATTGGGAGATAAGAGTTGAAACACGTTTCCAGGTGCTCTTTGCCCTTTGCACAAAATTTGAATGCCAAAAGGACTGCATTCAGAAGTGACAACCCAACAGGTGGGCGGTGTTCGAGTGGGTGGTGCTCGAATGGGCCGTGGGCAGTAGTTGTCCTTCACATGCCCCTTTACCTATGACATTAAACGAGGGAAATTGAGTGACTGACTCGATTAAACCACTTGCTCATCGTACATGTTTGCTGTCCCATCTGATTATTGAGTGCACTCATAATGCATCCATTTAGCGGGGATTTTAATTGTATTATAATTTAAAAGCAGACTGCTGATGCATTGGTTAATGGGGAATACCCTGTTTAGTGGACTGCACTTATCATTCAGTAACGTGGGCTTAAAAATAGCTGAACACATAATTTATATTCAATATATAAATTAAAATAATAAATTATTTTTACTACCTCTCTCTCCTGCGCACAATAATAAATTTATTTGTATAGTTTATTTTTCATAAAAGACGCAAAAAATTCTACAAAATGTTTAATGCGTCTCAAGATTTATCGTTTGAATTGTTTTGAATATTGGGGACTTTGTTTTGTTTATTATAACTCCTCCACTTAATGGACCATAATGCTCTACCGCGCTCTCCCTTTCTCTTTAAGGCACTTAACACCCACAACTCCAAGAGCGAGACACGTGTCATAGCAGTCAGCTTTTTGTAGTCGACATAGTCTCCCACTTGTTGCTCTCTGAGAGTCAACACCCGTGGGGAGAGCTTCGAGTGAAAGAGAGCGTGGTGCAGTGAACTGGCCTAGGTTAAAAATTTGTTTAATTGCATATAAATGCATGTTTGTGTTTTCAAAGTCATTGTGGCCAAAGAACTCAAGAGACAAAAATATTATTATCTGTTTTTTTTTTCATTTGAAGAAGATTCCACATCAATTTCCTACAGTAAATGCCTTTCATTTTCAATATCTTCCTAACAGATGTCGCACCACTGTGCGTTGGGGAGAGAAAGAGAGAGCCCCAAGTATTTAAGCCACATCGCACCGAAACTCGTGCTCAATCTCTGTTTTCGCAGTGCGGCGGTCGCATCGAAGTTTGACATTCGAACTGAAGGTGCTCTAAGAATTTGAAAAATACATCTAAATGATTTGAATTCATTACAGTGATATTCGAAATTGCTTACCGGTTTTTGAGTTTCTTACCCAAAAAGAGTTTTTTGTATAAAAAGTGTTTTAAAGTGCAAAAGAAACCAATCAAACAAAAACGGAAAAAACTAACATATGAAGAACAAATAAAAGTGAATATTAGCGAAAACACAACCTTATCAGAAAAAATATATTTAAAAGTACGAATTAATTTCTGTGAATGCAAAAACAAGTTTAAGCAAAAGCCAAACTGAAAGCTAAGCATTTATAAATTTGCTGTTTTATTCGATCGAAATATTTTTCACTGATAACTTCGTAAGCTTGACTTACAACAAAAAAATAAACAGAAACAAGTGTGAGTGCAATTGAAATGAAGAATGTGCTAAGCAAATACGGCAAATAACAATAATTTAACTGTAACTGAAGCTACACAGTGAGAATATTAGTGTGATATTAAAAACATATGAGCTGTTATCGTTTATATTATTTAAATTTTATTTTGATTTTTATAAAGCAGTTTTAAACTTTTCTAACATGAGTTATTATATGTTTTCTTGTAACGATCGTCAATATATGTTTAAATAAAAAACTGTTTCCCATGCAGTTTAGAGGGAAATATAGAAAAAGACAGGTTGATTGATTTGTGCCAAAGAGAATAAGAGACACCTTAGACGTTACCAAAAGGGAATTTGAGGCACTTGAGGTATTACCAAGTTCAGTGAGCAAACGCCCTAATGTCAAGGTCTCTCTCTTTGGGATCGTGTTTTTAGCCTAATGGACTTGACCCCCATTTTTGGGGCTCCACGAAATCCGCAGATTAAGTTACCGAAAACATTTTTACTCAATTAGAGTTGAGGCCTTTTGGCTTAAGTTGCAACATGTGCTGAAAAGATTAAAATTTTTTCAAAAATTAATATTTTCTAATAAGTATTCCTAATTCTTGAATTTTTTCTCAAAATGTTAAGTACCCATAAAAAAAACGACAATACCCATAAACAAACAAAATAAAAGAAACGTTAAAAAAAAACAAGATAGTGTAAGAAAAGTTTAGCAACCGCGAAAACGACTTACGAATTTTCACAACAACTTGATGTTTTGTAACGGATTTTCAAGAAACTGGTAAAAACTTTATTGTGGATTCTTCTGCCGCTTATTCTTCGCAACAGCTGCAAAAATTTAGTGGCTCTCTGCGGATTTTTTGGAGAACGAAAAGCATTCGCGGTAAGTTGTGCTAATTATTGCTAAATTATTTGGTTAGCTTTTTTTAATAAAATATCTAAAGAGTGATTCATGTGAGGAATCGACAATGGCATTTGCCCTTTAATGAATCAGCTATATGGTATGGCCGACTTTAGGCGACAAGTGATAAAAATAGAAGATGCTGATAAAATAATTGCAGTCGCAGCAATTTTTTTATTTTAGCTGATAAAGAGGGGGCTTTCTTCTTGGTTTAAAATAAAAAGTTATATTTTAAGTGCTGGTATTTCAACCGCAATGATAGGTGCTACATATATATATTAGATATATTATAAATATACATGAATATAGATTGACTGGCTCTGTCAGCTGTCCGTCAGTGGTTCAGATAAAAACCGAGCCAATTCGAGTTGAATAAACCCAACCGCAACCGAATCGAAAGCGAGAGGCACCGGCACCTGAACTCTATAATCCGACCACTCTGATCTAATGCCGCTGAAATCGCACAAGGTTGTACTTGTACGTAGACTTAGATATATGGTATGTGGTGGTTATATAGCGGGTCCAACCCATTCCGATTCCGATTTCGGTTTCGCTTTCGAAGTCGACTTAAACTTGGCACCTGTTGCGGTCAGAGCAACACTCGCCTACACTGTCGAACAAAGTTCCGAATCGAGACGTATCGAATTGACGTAAAAATGGTTTGTGGTCGAAAGTGCTGTTTCTTCTGCCTCTTCATGAGCTTCTGGGGCTTTCTGATGCTCAATCTGCTGGGAATTTGCTTCTACCTACGATCCCTTATGCTGCTCAACGACCTGCAATTGCCCCAAGATTTCAATAGTCCGGAGAGTTTTAAGGAGTATACCGAAGTGGCCTACCAGGAGGTGTCCATTCGATGCTTCATAGCCGCCGTCATCTATCTGGGATTCGTGTTTGTTTCGATAATCGCCATCCGGCGTGACAACAAGAGGAGGAAGCGACTCTACAAACGGCAAAATATGCGACACCCTCGTTGATTTGTGTTATACTCGATGATTGGTTGCTAAATAAATTATATATTTCATGGTTCCAATTGCGCACTTCACCCACTCGACAACGTCCACCCACTTGTAAGAACGGATCAAAATCCGAATCAGAACCAGTTTGTTGACCGCATTCTGCGATTAGCCTTAGCTTCTTTTTATCTAGCAACCACTTTTCGTGTCTGGCCATTTGGCTGGCTGTCCACTCTAGAGTATATTATGCATTCGTCTCGACCAACCAACCGATTTTTGACAGCGCACGTGACACCTTCTCCGAGGTGTGTTCCCTTTTGGGGCATCATAAATTTCCGTGAAATTCTCTTTCCGAAACATGCTAATGGGGTGTGGGTTCGACCCGGTCCCCATTCTGGAAGTTATGTTATTCTTATCGGCCGAACTTTTGTGTTCTACACGAAAACCGTTGTGTAAATTACCGTACACGATTCTCCAGTTGTACATTTGTGTATCTCGCTGGTTATCACCATCAAGTGCAGCCTGCTAAAAATTGGTTCACTGCATTTTAAGGGGAATTAGGGTGAACTGATTTGGAGATCTTTCAGTACTTGGAAAATGATCTGAATTACGCATAAGAAAATAACTTATGTTGATCAAAATACATTTCTTTTCTACTAGGTGGATCAAGTAGTCTTTCGTTTATCCATTAAACCATTTTTATGAGTTTGAAGGTGTTCATAAATTTTTGAAATTAAATACATTTACTTTTTAGAAGCAATATTTGATGTAAGTTGTAAAGAATACTATAATTTTAGTGGTCCAATCTTATAATTCCTTTATCGCAGTACATGAAATACGAACGAAGGAACCTTCTCTTAGCTTAGTAGCATTTGATTTTGACATCAATTTGTGATTTTTAAGTTAGCCACTGGAAAAAATTTTATATTTTAGTAAAGAAACACTTGGCTAAGAAGAACCCTGATTTCCAAGACCACAATCGTGACTAGTGACAAGTTAGAACTATGTCCCGATTTTTAGGAAAAGCCAGAGATCGGCTTCAGCGAGGATGTAAGTTGTGTTGAAAAGATTTCCACGTTCCACATAAAATTTATTCCTTGGATCCTTCAACAAAATCCACCTGAACCCCCAGTGCGTTTTGGTCGGATGTTGATCCACAATACTGTTCCGCAGAAAATGGCCACTAAGGCCGCAGAACCGCCACTCAAATGTCCTGGTGGCGAGAAGAAGCGAAAGCCAGGATTCTTTGCCAGCGGCGGTCAACATGCGGTACTCAGTGATTGCCCAAAACCAGAGGGCGATTTCATGAAGGCCTGGTCGGAAAAGAACAGTCGCTATAATCTCTTCCTTATTTCCGGCCTCCTGGCGGCAGGGGGATCACTAGGATTTGCTTTTTCTTCAGGTAGGATCATTCATAAAATATTGTGGTATCAAATATTTTAGGTTCTAATAATTTTTTACAATAGTTATGCATTTTACTATATATTGATTTCAAATCACTGTTCTCTGTTTTGCAAAGACTTTAAATAATAAATTTTTAATTAAGACGCTAATATTCTGTTAATCTCTTAAATTAATTTCTGTATAATTCGCATAGCATTTGGTTCTATGCAATTTATATGAAACAAAAAATCTTCGTATTTTGTGATACAATTAATTTAAAGATATGGTATCACATTATTTGTAATTCTTTGATCTAAAATATAAACTGAACATGAAATAGTAAAGCTCCTTGCATGGTGCAATGAATATTATGTATTGCCCAAACCAATTTCCATCCTTGATTCCCTTGCACTGAACCACCCCAATCCCAGGTATGATGTGCCTCAACTGGACCATTCCCGAGTATCCCTACACCGACGAGGAGAGGGAGGACTTCGAGATCGAGGAGGAGCGTCGGCGGGAGGAGAAGGAGGCGCGCGAGGAGCGCCACCAGGACGCCGTCGAGGCCAGGGAGCTGGGCATCCGTCGCCGGCGGGCAAAGGAGGCCATGGAGCGCGAGGTGGAGCTGATGCAGCGGGACATGGACGGCGGCATTAGCGACGCCGAGCTGGATGAGCTGCAGCGCCTGGCCGCCGAGCGCGAGTCCTTCGAGCTGTGGGAGAAGGACGAGCTGAAGCGGATCGAGGAGCAGGAGAAGGAGCGCGAGAAGATCCGCAAGGAGAAGGCCAAGGTCAGGGCCGAGAGGGACAAGGAGCGCGACAAGAAGCGCCAGGAGAAGGAGAAGCAGCTCGAAAAGGAGGAGGCCGAGCGCGAAAAGGCTCGCGAAAAGGCGCGCAAGGAACGCGAAAAGGCCGAAAAGGAGAAGCAAAAGGAGAAGGAGAAGGCCGAAAAGGAGGCCGAAAAGGCCAGAAAGGCGGTCTAGTCGAATCCCCATCCCCCGTTTCATTTACTTTGCCAACAGTAACAACACAAAAAGCTATCAACATGTACTAGGTCCACAAAAAGTCGGGCAAATACAAAGGACACTAACCGAATATATAGCCCTTAAACACTGGTAATACTGTTAAATAAATTAACAAAATTGGTTACTGTTGGCCAGAGAATGCTTTTAAGCAGCTTTATAATCAGCATTAGATGGTAATTTAAAAGATTCAAAGAGCAGGTTTATTTAAATTGGATGCAGTTAATCGATAAAAACAAAAATGCCAATTTAAATGTGAAATTAAATTAAATTAGCCAAACTTTATGGGATGTATAATTCTGTAACCCGTAAATGCTAGTATGTAAATGTTTATCCAATTAAATCTGGCTAGATGTGGAAAAGTTTTGATCGAAGCAGCATTAACGAAAGCATTTTGATGCGATAGTGTAATCACATATCTGGGTTCTGCCACTTTATTAACTACTTAACTCGCCACATGCGGCCATTTCCACGGCAATAAAGCCATCGCTCTGTTTCGGCCCAAATGAGGTGCAGCAACAAAATGGCCGAGAATGCTGGATATATAGCCATATAGCCTGATAGCCTTATAACCAGATAGCATGCATTAAGAGTCAGTCGGGCAGTCGTCAGTCGTCAGTGGTCAGTGGAGATGCAGAGAGGAAATGGCTCATTGCATGTAATCAAAGCCAGCGAAATTGTACCGCGCAGATGGCGAGTAGATGGATGGAATACGGCCCCGGTGCGAATTCAATTGTGGCTTCAATTACGCATCAAACACAGCGTTTCAGTGTTCGCAGAACAACGAGCACTTGTTGTTCGTTCCAATAACGCAATGTTCTCTCTTTCTCTGATCTCGGACCCCCTAATCTTTTTAATGAAAATTCGCTACCGATAGATAGATAGAAAGATAGAAATTCCCCCGCCCGTTCATGAATCTTGGATGCATCTGCATCTGCATTTGTATCTGCTGCTGTGCTAAGTGTGCCGGCTTGTGCGCACATAATGAATCACAATCGTCGTCAGTTAAGCTCGGCTTATCATTAATCAAATTAGCTGCAGCAACATCAGCAAAAGCAACAGCAACAGCAACATCAACAGAACAACAACAAAACACTTGCTTGTCTGCCACCGAGTTGCCTGTTGCTGTTGCAAGTTGCAAGCTGCGGCAATGCGGCACAGTGGGTCGCATGTGGCCAGATCGTCAACGTAATTAACCATTACCATGAATGCCGCGATTGTGCCACAAATGAGCAATTGCCGGAGAGCTTCTCAAATGGAGTAGAACAATCAATTAGCCGGCACGGCGATGAAAATTCTGGTTCAATCGGGTTCACTGACCTGCAGAAGCGATCTGAAAACAGCGTGTATCCTATTTGATTTTGGTTCGCCTCTTCCAAATACTTCATGGGGTCTAATTATATTCCCAAACATGCTATAAAACTCTGGGATGGAAGGTCATGATGCACTAATTACTTTTGGTTTTGTGGGCACTTCGAAAAAAAGAGTTCGAAGATAAATCACTTAGATGTTGCATTAACCCCCACAGTAAACACACTTTCTATGCATTTTCTATAAAATGTATTTTGCTTTCTGTGATTCATTGTAGATTTACCTAATGGTATAACATATAATTTATTTATATGTTAAGTAAAGTACTATTTTTACTCTCGCCAATTCAGTATAAATTTTAAATATATTCAAAATTTCTCACTTTATTGAATCTTAAAATTAATCGAATATAGTTTTCTAGTTCCCTATTAAATACTTATGTTACTTCCTGGTGACCACTGTAGTCGGTGCCCACACATGGCCAGTCCGCTGAAGCTAGCTAATTTATCACTGGCATTCACGCTTCGGTCTTCCCTATTCCACCTATATCCATATCCACTCCGTATCATTCTATATCCCCCCGCTCACCCCCTTCCCTCCATCCAATTCTGACTGCGAGTGACATTATTACTGTCACACTGTGTCGCCCGGTGCAGCTCCTCTGCCTTTTATAATGCATTTATGCTGCAATTTGTTTGAATTAGCGACTCGCCAGTGGACTCCGACCGACTTCGCTTCCATTGGATTGGATTGCAGTTGAGTGGAGGAGCAGCTCCAAGCGGGCCACCACCTTTGGGGGCGGGAGATGGGTGCTGTGGGGGCGGGGGAGTGTCACCGGTTTAGTGGTTTATTTGGGGCGTGTATCCATGTATCTTTGCCCGTTCCCCCTAGTATCTGTATCTTATGCAAGCAGAGCTCGAACCAAAAAAAAACCAAAAAGAAAAGAGAGCTAGAGATTGCTCTAAAGTAAAAGTAGCTGCATTTACCCGGTTGCAACACCGCCAGTTGAAAGCTTCCGGGCAGGGGCGTTGCCAATGGAAAATGGGATCCAAGCAGCTCCACTCCGAAAGAAATTCCAGATTAACTGGAACACATTGTCATGAAAATCCCCTCAAATTACCTTCTATCTGCTCAACTCTGCCTGAAAACAATGCATTTATCTGATGCTGATGTAAGCAAATAAGCGTTTACAACTGAGTTTATGAGTTTGCAGCATTTTCCAGATCGTGTCTTATCGTAGTTTACATGTAAATATTTGCATCGGTGGCTTGGTTTTTAGTTTTGTGATAAGCATTTACAGCAGCACTAACCATCTGTAGATTCTGGGATTACCATTTCATTTACGATCTTCTGCAAAGGTGTCTTAGAAAAATGGGGATTAGTCTCTATGGTACTCGTTAAAAAAAGAAAAGCATCCACAAAGATTTATTCCATCGTCATTAAATATGAATCAGAATTTATCTCTTTGGTTCGCTGATGGGTTTTCCCCAGCGGGTTGATTCTACTAGAAGGAATTTTCAGTTCATTGACTGGCAACTTTCCCCGCCAAAACAAATTGGAACTCTCACTTGTTAAGCGTTACAGCAATTAAACAAATTGGCCAACTGGCTTTGGCTTTGGGGGGCTCTTTTGGGAAATCGAATCGCTGGTAATCGAAGTTGCAGAATTGAGAATGGAGAGCCGAGAGCCCGAGAATCGAGCATCGAGAACTGCGAGCGTGCCAAGCGGCGTTTTGTATCTGGATTGAGGTCTTGCCACAGTTAACCGACCAAAGCGCAGTTATAACAATTCTCCACAGCCATCGTCTTGGCCACAGTGGGTCGATTCTCCACGCTCCACTCTCGGCAATCAATTTGTGCGACTTGTTCTAGGCCTTCTTCTTCGCCGGTCTTTCCCCGTTTTCCATTTCCCAATTGGTTGTTCAATGCACGTAGACCGTTGACTCACTGACTCTCTGCCGCATTTCGTATTCCCATTCGAACTCATATTCGTAATCATCGTAATGAGCCATTTCTCTAGTTACTTTCCTCGTTCGGCGTATGGGCAGGGTTTTTAATTAATTTTCCATTGACCAAGCCTGACAGCTGAGCCTCAGTTTTTATTTTTTTTCTTGGGGAGCTGAGCTCAGCCAAAGCCAAATGCCCAGCCCAAGAGCATTTCGTATTAATTCTCATTTTTTTCGGGCTCCATTTCGGGGGTTTCGGATCCGCCTCTTGTGTGTGGCCTCCGGTTTCGGCTGCCTTCTGTCCAGAAAGCCCAGCTTATTTGTTGTGTGGCCATCGTCAAATTTCGCATTGAAACACGAGACAGTGGGGCCAGAGCCATGGGAATTGTTGGGGAATTCTTGGGATTTCTGCTAGAGATAATTACTTTTGTAATATTAGGATGACATGTTATAAAATGTTAGGGGAAAATAGATTACAATCTATAAAAAACATAATGGATTCTTATGGTATTTCTAATCCATACAATTCTAATTTTAATGTACTTTGAATATTGTTACCAAAAGCATAGCTAAATATAAAACAAACTAATCAAAATCTTTGCATAATAATTTATTTTAAATCATAAAAGGCTTTGCATAATAATTTATTTTAAATCATAAAAGGCTACAGACGGAACTAATTGATCCTTTAAAATAATTCAAAAACCCTTTCCACTGTGCACTGTCCTGCAACTGAGCTTTGTTATAAATTAAATTATTTTTCATGTGCATATATCTCTCTGGTATTTATGTACCCATATGCTGTACCGATATCGTTACACTAAATTGTTATGTCGGCCTCCTGAGGGAAGGAGTCCCTCCCGAACATCAAAATGTAAGAGAGGGCGTAAGCGATTTGTCTTTTGGTTAATTTTTTGTCGGCCCCTTAAGTCAAAATACCGCTAAGGCCACCGCCTTCGATCCTGTTTTTTTTTTTGTTGATTGTTCCTGTTGCGGAATCTCGGGTAATAAAGTAATTAAAGCCTTGACACTGTTCAATATTTCATCTCCCATCTGGCGAACGGGGAGATTAATTGAGATTGGGGCTGAGTACGTTGAACGCGGCAATTACAAACTGTTTTGCATTTAATTGCATATGATTGTAAACAGAAACATATTAATTTTCACATAATTCCGTTTGGCAAATGCAGCACGAAAAGTATTTTCGTTCAGTTCAGCGAAAGCCAACAAAAAAGCGAGAGACTGAGGTAATGAGTGCAATAAAAACCATTTCTTGATGACTTTTAAATACGCAATTTGTTGTTGCTTTTGTTGTTGTTTTTTTTTTTTCAAGACCAAGTCTGCAACTTCTTCATCATTATACAGATGTATGTATGTATAGCTTTTATTTCTTTTGTTAACTGTAAAACGTTTTACTTTCGCGCGCGTTTTAATTGCCGCCTGCTGCTTCTGATGAAGATAATGATGATGATGATCTGCCAAATCCGCAGACCAAGAAACGTTTGCCAACATTTGTTGGCCACGTTAATGTGGCCACCATAAAAAGCGTGTGAACCCGCTGTTAACGTGTCGAACCAGACAATGATCGTCACTTGGCGACACTTTTCTTTGGCCTTCGCTTCGACTTTTCCCCGGCGCAAGTCGATTGGGGCGTTTTGCTGGCCAAAGGTGAAGGCAGTTTTTCCTCGCCACTTCCATTTTCCTTAATCGTTTCCGTTGAAAGTACTTGGGTGAGTTTGTCAAACGGTAAGACGCCTTTCTTTGTTTTCCTCTGTGGGATACCAGAAGCAATTTTAACAAAACTAAAAAAATAAGTGGACAAAATTATGCTTTCCGTGAAACTTTTTAGTACGGCTTACTTGTTTCTTTTTTTGACTTAGAGCAAG